ATAAACAGAGTTGTTAGTGAGAGTGGCATTATCTGAGTGTAGGTCTGTGGAATACAGGAAGTTAACTAACTTGCTAGAGAGGAGGAATCTTTTAAGGGTGTGATGTGGAGTCTGATGTACCACCTAACTTGGTTAACCGCTGATGTACTAGTGTTCTACAAGTGTCGCTGATAGAAATGTTGAGATATAACTTGTTGAATGTTTGGTTTCTTGTTGTAAATAAAAAGTTATATAAGTAATCTTGTGTAACATTTCATTCATTCTACATCCTCATTAGATGCTCTTCTATTCTCTCTTTAGATAATTCCAGTGATGTGAACTTACTGTTTTTTTTTTCTTAAAAAAAAACCCCCAAAAAAACAACATGCAAACAAATAAAAAAACAACACAAAGCCCACAGTGCTAATCCTATTAAAGAGATATTCCCTCTTCTTTTAACTTTCTCCAGCAGGACCTGCTGGGGATCTAGACTCTGAAGTGACCTAGAATAAGTCTGCTTTCCCCCTTACTCTAAGAGTGTGTCTTCTCACACCTGAAGATGGGCATTATGTCTTCCTTTAGTCTGTTCTGGTCCAGGCTACACAGTTCCAGTGCTTTGATTTATTCTTTCAGTGGTAGCATTTTAAACCACTATATCCTGAATGCTATTCTCCAAAGTATCCCACTCTATTACTGCTACTTTAAAAATTTATTCTTCAAAATTGAATGGAGCATTCCAAATGTCAAAGAAATAATGAATAGGGCTTTTAGTGATATTTGTATTATGAAGTTGGTTAGATAAGCAAAAATTGATAAGCATCCTTTGTGTATCTTGTCATTGTCTAAATTTTCAGTCAGGTCAGCTTTATTTCTTATGTGAAAACACACTGGGGGAGGAGTGACAGGAAAAGTGATGGTCATCACACAGATTGTTGTTTGGTTCTTGGTACTGCCAGCTAAGTCCAAGAAAGCAACAACATCATTACGTAGTTTGGCTGTATTAGAATAAGCTCTTTGTGATGTATACATCCATTATAGAGCGGGTTGGAGTGGGATCTTGTTAAAACAGAGATTCCAAATATTTCTAATTGTGAAAGTTTCATAAACTTAAATCTTTAAAATTAAAAGAAGTGATGGTATTTGGATATAATATTTGATTTTGGTAGTTGACAGCAGTAATTGGTTGATAACATCATTCTACTGATATTGCTTTGTGTTTTACACATACACATACTTTGTGGTTTATGTTTGGACCCAATATCAGTTTTATTTGTGTAATTGCCAGGAATGTTAATAAAAATTAACAAAGATCACCAACATATATAAAATCATCACTAAGTTTCTTCTTCAGATGGTGGCATTCTAAATGTTAGGAATATAATTTGACTTAATTTTTTGGTGTGATTTATTATTTAAATAATAAATGAGCATAAGGCAGGTGAGTAAAAAGAAGGAAGTGAATATCTTATTCATAGATGCAACCAAATCATTTGTTGCTTCCAGGCTGTCCTCTTCCTAAAAAGCACATCCATCCATATTGGTCCATGTTAACATATGGCTGTTAACATCCATGTTAACAGATGGCTGTTAACATCTTCAGTAACTAGACAGTCACCAAATGGGAAGCAGCCTTTGTTGCAGGCAGGACTCATCAACAGGTGCTGAGATTTGTGGGTGAAGGTATGGTGAGATACTGTATTTATGTAGTCTCAAGTCTCCCCCACAAGAAAAATGTACAAAGGGAAAACTAATAGTGTTACAATGGAGAAACCTAGCAGATAGAACTGTAACCAAGTGATCAGAGGTTACCATCCTCAGTAATGAGGCAGGGTCATCAATCATGTGCCTCTGGTATGACGCACTGAGCAGGGAGTGGCATCACTTCTGTGTTGTGCTTGCCAAAGTGCATAACCTGAATTTAGTCATTAGGAAGCATTAGACAGACTCAGATTAAGGGACATTCTCCAAAGTAACTGGTCAGTACTCCTCACGTGTCAGGGTAATGAGAGTCAAATTGTCCTAGATTGGAGGAGACGTGACAGTTGTATGTGATGTGTGATCCTGCACCAGAAAAAAGTCATCAGTAGGGCAGTTGGCAAAAAAATGTTGGCTCTAGTTCATTTAATAAATCGTGTTGATGGTTAATTTCCTGGTTTTGATCATTATAACTGGTTATATGATGTGTTAACATTTAAGAAAGCTGGATGAAGGGTACACAGGAATTATTTGTACTATTTTTGGAACTTTTCGTAAGTCTGAAGGTATTTCAAAAATGAAGTTAAGCCACAACCACAATATCAAGTAATTAAACTCAGCTGAGAAACTAAGACTTTCATGCTTTTACCTTGTGACATCTCTTTTGATTGGTTAGGGTGATATTCCTTGCTTCCTAAATCTCCATTGTGATCTGGTTAGCTGAGGTTTCTTACTGAGGAATTTTGGAATAAGTGAGGCGTTGCTGGATTAGACTGCCACTACATTTTGAAAGGTTTTGTTTAATTAATTTATTTACTTATTTATTTTTGTACAGAGCTGTAATTACATCTTTGGGTTTCCAGTGGCTCTGTAGGTTATTTGAGCTTTACTGTTGCAGCCACCAGAATACCTGACTGGAAACTTAGTCCTGTAATTAATTTACTGGTCTTTTTCTGTTTTTATTATTATGTTCTGAATACAGGTTAATCCCATGAAGTCTTCTGCTATGTGTCATAGATGATCAAATTTAGTATTTGTTGGTTGTTGCCTAGGAAGAGCTGATTTTTGCATAAAAATATTTTATTTAAAATTGAAATATTATACCAAATATCTTATTTTTCTCCCAGAAAAGACAGGTTGGAGTTTCTGTAAATAGAACGAATAAGTAAACTTACATTGGCATAAATACCAAGTGGTGATCTTTTATTGGGTAATAATTAGAATGGGGAAAATTAATAATGGAAAATACTTTTGTTAATGGAAGCAGTTATTAATATATGACTCAGAGATTCTTAAATCTAGAAGAAACTTGATGTGGCTATTTTGACCATTGGGGGAGAGGAAAAGAACATGGACTTGGGAGTTAGGTGACCTAGTATTGCATCCCAGAGTCATTGTTGCTTATTATTATATCTTGGACAGGTCATTTGACTTTTCCGAGCCTTAAGTTTCTCATCAATAAAACTGGAATAATAATAGTGGCTTGCACAGTTATTGTGAGAATTAAGTGAAGTAGCATGCCATGTGCCTGGTCTAACGTGGGCATTTTATGTTGTGCTGGCTGTGTTCCGACCTCCAGCCAGGTTTATAACTAAGCTGTCTGCAATCGATGAGACTCTGCTTTGCCTCTAAAGACCTATAAAAAGATGATGGCATATGTCAGTACCTCCTAGTGGTATTTCATAAGTCGTTTCCTAGGGAAGGTTTCCCATATTTCTTATTCCAGAGAAATTATTTTCTTTTATATGTTAGCCACATTAGCTATTACTACAAAACCTATTAGACAACTGTCACTCATTTGTGAGATGTTCCTTTGTGTTCTTACTGAAATTATCTAATACAAATAGCACATTAAAGTCATTTTAGGAGAAACTGTTTTATGAGACAAAAGACAAGATTTACATGGAAGGAAGCATTTCCATGTAATTTTCGGTTTGAGCTGGCATTTTGACCCTCCAAGAGAGACCAACTATTCCTAAAGGTCCAGTGATTGTTTCTGTTTCACTCTAGTTTCAAAAGTGCTTTCATTTATTCTTCAGTTTCCTGATTTTGATATTGTACTGTTGGTTTGTAAGTGAACGTCATTGTTTTTAGGAATTGTACACTGAAGAGTTTAGAGCTGAAGGGGCATGTCTGTAACTTACTCTCAGATGGTTAAGAAAGAAATAATATATGTGTGTATATGTGTATGTGTATATATGTATCTACCGTATTTTTCGGATCATAAGATGCACTTTTTCACCCCAGAAGTGGGGGGAAAAAGTCCCTGCGTCTTATGGTCCAAATATAGCCTACACATATACTTTAAAAAAAAAGTTTTTTTACTTGCCCGGCTCTGTGTGGTCTCTGTGTGCTTGCCCAGCTCTAAAATGGTTCTAAATGCTGCTGTTTACTTTACAGGGTTGATTACATGTGTTTATGACTGTGATGTTGGGTTTTAATGCACATAAAATATTTTAGGACACTATTTGATTCAGAATCTTTTTTTCTTCATTTCCCTTCTCTAAAAACTGGTGCGTCTTATGGTCCGGAGCGTCTTATGGTCCGAAAAATACGGTATATAGAGAGGAGGAGAGTGGTGGGGAGCGAGAGAATGATGTATTAGCCACGGCAGTATTACCAATTGGTGAATTTGGTTGAGGCATGTTCCTTGTGCTTTCCTTATGATTTTACTCATAAGTTTGAAACTATCTCAGAGTTACATTGGTTTGAATTATATTCCTGTACCTGAGGAGATGTAAGTGGCAGTTTTGGGAGGGAGGGAGGTTAGAAGCAACCAAGGGAGTATAGGAAGTAATAAGTGAGTAAGACAGTAAATTCACTTCAAAAAAGTTAGTTGTTCATTTGACTTATTTTTCTTCGAATTCATTTTGTGTAGAAGGGCCTCTGTAGAAAGAGAGGAAGCTGCTGCTGTATCAAAGCAGATAAAATTAATTGGAAGTAAAATAAGATAAAAAGTAAAGATTTTAAAATATGAATTTAAAAGACATATACAAGGATAAAATAATGTATAAGGTAGAAATATTAGTATTTTAAAAATTAAATTGAAGTAAAAGTTAAAATTAATCTTTCTTCTACCATAGAGGCACAAGTTAGTTTTCTGTAATTAGTACTCTACCCTACTAGTTAATAGGTATTAATTGATCCTATATTTTAAATTGATGTTTGATTTTAAAGTTAACATTTTTTTAGTCTTAATAAAAATTTACATGGTATTTATTATAATTTTTTATCCTTCAAAAAGAGTCTTTTATACTAAAAAAGTTTTTCTTGAACCTTTTCCCTTTTCTTTCATGTCAATGATGACATCTCTTTGGGGAACTCAGAAGCCAGCCAAAGGTAAGAGATTTGGTGTATTATGTGATGCTTGTAAAGATCTGGGTTGCATGTTTTTCAAGTACTGGCAATTTTCTTCTCAAAGAGTATTTTCCCGTTGCCACTTCGGTAAAAGTAATCAGCCTATTCATAAATCCGAAGCCATTTATTGGCATAAGAGGGACTTGGGCTTTATGGAAAAACTGTATTTGTATTTTGACCAATTATGGCCAGTCTCCTGGCAACAGCAACACAGATTCCTTTTGTGCTTTGCTCTTCACCATGGATTGGCTTAAAACCTGTTGTTCCAATCTGTGGTCAGAACTGCACTAGGCAGACTCATCTTTGTTGCTCCCAAGACAACTAGGGACACATTCTCAGGCCAACAGAAACCTGCCCTGGCCCACAGCCTCCTCAGAAGGGAACATGCTTTCATCTTAGATTTGAGGCCAGATTCTAAAGAAACTTCCTTGGGTTGCGTCAGTTCCTGTATCTCAGGGAATTTATAGGTGTGCCAAAGTGGGCACCAGAACTATATTTTTGAATTGACCATTCTCTGAAGTTACTTGAAACTTTCCAGGAAATTCAGATTCTTATCTGCATTCTCAGAATTTTGTTTTAGTTTTAGAGTCTATAGTTGAGTTGTAATTCTAACCTCTCTTGTTGCTAAAATATCTATAGCCCTGGCTATTTGGAATTCTGAATGATTTTTTAAAAAATAGTTTAATATGGTATTCATTTCTTTATATATGCAAACCTAATTTTATTAGTTTTATGTCATTTTTTTCTATGTAAAAGTACTGGATTATTATTTTTTATTTATTTGAGAGAGAGAGAGAGAGAGAGAGAGAGAGAGAGAGAGAGAGAGAGAGAGAGGGAGGGAGGGAGGGAGGGAGAGGGAGAGGAAGAAACATCAATGTAAGAGAGACATTCATCAGTTGCCTCCCGCATGCATTCTAACTGGGGATTAAACCTGAAACCTGGGCATGTTCTCTGACCAGGAATTGAACCCGAGACCATTCTGTGTATGGGACAACACTCCAACCAACTGAGCCACACTGGCCAGATCGGTGTTAGATTATTTTTTTATTTTTTTGTTAGAACAGGGGCTGGAGATTTCAGTGAAGATGTGAGGAGACATCACATGGACTATTTTAAAACTATTTATGTTTCATTTGATTCACTATATACTAATGTTTAAAGAAAACGTGTTGATATAAAAACTATGTAAGGACCAACACCATGTTATTAACATTTTGGTTACCTCTAGGGAGCGGTATGCTTGGTGAATGGGAGGCCTTTATTTTTTACTTTTGCTTCTGTGTTACTTGACTTTGTTATAATGAATGAGTGTTTCTTCTCTGGTATTTGAACAAAAAGTTTTTATTAAAATAGTTAAGGAAAAATGGTTGTTTAGAAAGGAAAAGGCTTGTCTGCTTTAGGAAACCCATGGCTGGAAAATTCTTGTAATAATTTATGAAATTGCTAAAACTTAAAGAAGACCATTCAGTGTTGTTAGTAAATATGAATTGAGTGTTCATTAGTTTCCAACTTTGTACCAGGCTATGGGACTCAAAAATTGGGGGAATAAAGCTCATTTAGCCTCATAGTAGAGAGCCTACTGGTGAACAGACTGCTAGCTCAAAGGCTGGGTTCAACTCCCAGACCCCCTTCCCATCCCTTCCTGCCAGCCACTAGGTTCTTAACTTCTTTGTACCTCCATGTCCTTTGTAGCTCAGTGGCCTAGCATGGACTTACCAGCTACTATTATAGTTACTTTAGTGATAGCTTTTCATCTGGAATTGAAAATAAGAAATTCAGTTGTTCTAAGGAATCCCTAAATTAAAAAGAGAAAGAAAAGAAACCAACTCATAATAATGGAGAGAAGAGTGCCTTTTAAGCCAGATCCTGGATAAGTATACAGGTATGGTGATGGAACCTGAGGCGCTCAGGCCCTGGGAAGAATCAGAGTGGTTCCTACGTAACCTTATTAAAAATAGAAGTAAATAAGATGATCAGAGATGAGAGTTGAAAGCTAAAACAGAAGAAATTTAGTTTGAGCTTCACATTTTATTTCATCTTAGCCTGCTGAAATGCTTCTCCCCCTGGCTGATGAATGTACTTGGAAAAGCAGCCCCTACCTGAAATTTTTACACACAGACCTTGGAGACGACCTTCCATCTTCCTTCTTTTTTTCATCTTCTTCCTGTTGGAGAATTACTAGCACAGTGAACCACCACCATTATTGAGAGATACATGTTTCGCTTTGGAAAAATGTTGAAGATTAGTTGCAGCTGGATGGTAGCTTCTGGGCTCCAGGGCTCCTGTCTCTTGCGTGTTTTAAGCTCCTGGGCTTCTGTTTGCCTTTCTGGGCTGTGCTCTCCATCACCGCCCCTTCCCAGGGAGCACATGCCTCCTTTGCCTGCTGTTTTGCACAAAAAATGGGTGTTCTGATCCTTCCCTTCTTGAAGGTGTTTTTACTTTTTTTATTTTTAATTGATTAATTTATTTCTAGTACCAGGCCCAGGATCTCAAAACACTGGCCGGGCTGTATAAATTTTTGTACAAATAATGGGATCATGGTCTAAAATTATGTTAATATATGAAAATTTTTTTTATTAGTTTTTTACAATCTTAAAGCTATACCAAATTGCACATGGATGTGTTATAATTTATTTAAAGAATCTGCTATTTTATAGCTATTTTCAACTTGCTATAGTAATTATCTTTACATATTATTTTTTGTAAGTGAAAACTTATTTGGTAAATCACAGAGGTACAAAAAGTAATTCCTAGAAGAAATGGTCTTAGGAAAAAAGCTTTAGAAGTAAAGGAAGGGCCATGGAGCTTGGGAATGAGGAAGGTACTTGGGGCAGGGAGGAAGAAAGAGAAGGGAAAGGCTCAGGAGAGGAGAGCACCTACATTTTATTTTTAAAGAAATCTTTATAAGCCTTCTATATACACTGATTTGCCAGATTATGATCTCTGAATGCTTAATAATCTGGCCACTCAGTGTATAGCCTATATAATAAAAGGCTAATATACAAATTGTGCCCTCAACCAGGAGTTCGACCAGCAGGCAGGCCAGCCAACCGCCCTGGCCAGGCTGGCAGGATCCCACCCATGCATGAATTCACACACTGGGCATATATACCGGTATATATAAAATGAGTGGCCAGATAATAAAAGGCTAATATGCAAAGTGTCCCTTTGGGAGTTTGACCAGGAGGCTGTGAGTTCGATCACTCACTATGAAAAGCACTGACCACTAGGGGGCAGCACGGAACAAAGGAAGACCCCAGCCAATAGCTGACAGGCTGGGAAGAGAGGCCCCAACTGGGGCCTGATCAGCCCTTATTGCCAACCTGGCCTAGGGACCCTACCCGTGCACGAATTTCATGCACCAGGTCTCTAGTAATTTAATCTTAATTCTGAGACAATGTTTTTATTTCACTATTATGAACAATGTTATCGATGTTATGACTTTGTTATAACATTATAAGTATGTTAAGTTTTTATTCTTTTTAAAAAAGGTTTTGCTCTTAATACACACTATTATTTTTATTTTTCAACAGGTGTTTGCATATGATCATTGTTTCTGGTCTATGGATGAATCTGTCAGAGAAAAGTATGCAGGTAATATCCATTAACTGCTGATAATACAGAAAAGGTGTTTTAATGTTATTTTCTATAAATTATCATAGTATTATTTTGTTTAACTTTAAAAGCTGTATGGAGAAGCTCCTCTAGTCTTTGCTGTTAGAGTTTTTGTATTGGTTGGGAAATGAAGGCTTCACAGTGAGCTGTTCTTGGTTTAAGGTGATCAAGTTAGATTGATAGGATACACGGTTGAGGTTATCTTACATGCATTCGAGGCCTTATCTGGCACCAGTCGCACGCAGTAGCCACTTAGAGTCCCTTAGATATCTGTGATGTGGTCTAGAGAGGCAGCTTGGTGTAACGAATGCAAAGCCAGGGAGAAAATGAAACCTTGAGTTTAACCCAGGCCCTACTTCTGACTGCCTCTGTGACTTTGAGTAAATCACTTACCCTTTCAGTGTTCTGTTTTCTGTCTCTATTGAAAAGTAATGTACAATGTTCTTTGTAAATTTGCTCTGGAATTCTGTTGCTTTCTTTGATGATGACTATCTCAAGCCCCCTTTCACCACAAGTTTAGGACTACAGTGACAGCCTTTAAATGCCTTTATTCCTAACTGCTTATCACACCTGTTTCTAAGCAATCACTCTTAAATATTGAGTGTCATATTGTATTGACTTTTATCATGAGAAACAGCAGTACTACAGCTGTTTCAAAAAGTTAAGGTCAGTTTGGTCTAGCTGGCCCAATGATGACTTTACAGAATGCCTCACTGTCGGAAGTATGTTGATGATCTATTAATCTGGTAAATTAACTAGGAAGTGAGGCATAATGGAATACTATTTATAGCATTTAAGACATAACAAACATAATAGCCTCCAGGCCTCTCATATTTACAGTGTGTCCAGATCCCAGTTCCAGTTTGTGAGGGCAGAGGTGTTTTCCCAACACCACTACCAAGCAATGCTGCAGACACCAGGTGCATGTCCTACAATTCAACTCCATTCTGAGACAGTCTGCCTGGAGATAGCATTAGATCCCACAGGTTAAGGGTTCACTCCTACAAGACTGCCCACACCTCACTTCAGATTACCAATCACAAGTCCAGGTTGTTACATGTGCTTCTGACCAACCAGTTGTAGATTAGAGGTTCCAGTGATTCCCCTCCTTGGACCAGAGACACCAGTCGCAAGTTCAGGTGCACCATTCTCCCTAAATTTCCACATGCTCACTAACCTGGAAGCTCTCCAAACTCTGTCCTTTTCTGTTACGCACTCAGGGGAGGGGGAGGTCCCTCAGCCCAGCCTCTGCCGGCTCGCAGCCGGGGAGCCCTCGGGGGATGTCTGACTGCGCTTAGGCTGGCTCCTCACCACCACTGCTGCGCTGGCCAGCAGTGAGCCCGGCTTCTGGCTGAGCAACACTCCCCCTGTAGGAGCACACTGACCACCAGGGAGCAGCTCCTGCATTGAGCATCTGCCCCCTGGTGGTATTGTGCATTATAGCGACTGTTCATTTCTCTGGTCGATTTGCATATCAGCCTTTTATTATATAGGAATAGAGACTTCAGTACATAATTGATTAAATTATTGGCCACTGATGATCGATTCTATCTCCAGCTCCTCTCTTCTCCCTAGAGGAGAGATGGACTGAAAGTTCTAACCCTCTAATCACATTTGATTTAGCCTGTAGCATTTGACCCTATTATTTATGTTCATGGTAGAAAGCTAGAAGAAATTTTCAATATCTTCCACTCTGTCCTAGCTGGTATATATTATGAACCCTGTAATTTAAAATTGCCACTGAGTAAAGAAAAAAAGAGCCCCTGGAGAATTGCTGCTAGTCACCATAGACCACTAGTTTCAAAACCTTTGTGACAGAAGTAAAACAGGCTACCCGTGAATTATAGAGAGATTTGAAATTTTGTTCCAGAATAGTATTTTCTGCCTTAACAGCTTGTTTAAAAAATAAATGTTTCCAGTGAAAATTACTGAGGAAAAGGAGAGGGAATTTATATATATGATTGTTTTGAACTCAGTAGCTATTGAATAAAGCATTAGCTGAATGTTAATTTCAATTCCACCTACGTCCCAAGCTTAAATTTCAGATATTTATAATAACAGTTTATGGAATTAGTAGTTCATTAGTTTTTTTAAAGCATTGCAGAAGATTTTTGGTCAGTGTTTATTAATTCAAGTTCATAGTGTCAGGAACTTTTTACTCATTTTCTCTCAGGTACTAACTAGAAATATCCTGAAGAACATTAGCCTTTGGGAGCATTCATCAAGTTTAAAAATATTTTTTTTTGGAGAGAAGCTAACAAAAAAGTGCATTTTTGAGGTGTTTTTTTTTTAATTGTTCATGTGCAGTTTTGTCTTAAAACATTCTTTGTTTTTCTTTATTTCTCTCTCTTTTAGGTCAAGATGATGTTTTTAAGTGCCTTGGGGAGAGTATTCTCCAAAATGCTTTTGATGGCTACAATGCATGTGTCTTTGCCTACGGACAAACTGGTAATATTAAATGATATATGTTGTTGTTGTTGTTTTAAAATATATTTTATTAATTTTTTACAGAGAGGAAGAGAGAGAGATAGAGAGTTAGAAACATCGATGAGAGAGAATCATCAATCAGCTGCCTCTTGCACACCCCCTACTTGTGATGTGCCTGCAACCAAGGTACATGCCCTTGACCGGAATCGAACCACAGGCCGACGCTCTATGCACTGAGCCAAACCGGTTTCGGCGTGTTGTTGTCTTAAGCTTTAAGGATTATGGTAGAAAATATACCAAAAAGGATGCATATTGTTAGCATCTTATCAGTTATAAAGGCAGTGGCTCTGATCCAGGGTATTCCAGCTCCAACCCTGTTTCTGCCATTGATTAGCAGTGGAACTCACCCCTCAGTTTCCTTGTCTGTAAAACGTTGATAATTATAGACCTTTCTTATTGGGTGGGTTGTCACAATGAGCTAACATGTGAAAAACTTTTAGAAAAGGCCTGCTATATAAAAAGTGGTGTATTAGCCCAACTAGCATGGCTCAGTGGTTGAGTGTTGACCTATGAACCAGGCGATTCCTGGTCAGGGCACATGCCTGGGTTGTGGGTTTGATCCCCAGTGTGGGGCATGCAGGAGGCAGCCGATCAATGATTCTTTCTCATCATTGATGTTTCTCTCTCTCTCTCTCTCTCTCTCTCTCTCTCTCTCTCTCTCTCTCTCTCTCTCTCTCTCTCTCTTCCTCCTCTTTCCCTTTCTTAAATCAATAATTTTATATATGTACAAATATATATATAAAAGAAGTGCTGTATTAGTTTTGGAAGTTATGATAATGAGATAAAGCAGCAACTTGTGTTTAAAAGTGTGTTTATAGGCCCTGACCAAGTAGCTCAGTTGTTTAGAGTGTGGTCCCAGTACACCATGGTTGCGGGTTCAATCCCTGGTCAGGGCACATGCAAACATCAACCAATCTATAATAATAAAAATGCAATATGTTAATTAGACTGGACAGCCCAACGACCTTCCAGACAAGGCTGGGGCTGCGAGGGCCGAGACAGCCTTCACTCTGTGAGAGGCTGCATGAATTTTGTGCATCAGCCCTCTACTGATTACATGAATAAATGGAACAACAAATCAATGTCTGTCTGTCTGCCCCTCTCTCTCTCCTCTTTCCCTCTCTTATTTCTCCTCACTCCCTCCCCCCTCACTCTCCCTTCCTCTCTCTTTCTGTCAAATCAATAAAACAAATAAAAATATGTTTATAAAATTACTGCTTATAAAAAAGGAAACCGAATTATACTAAGGAGTGTGATTGCTTGGATTCTCTCCCCCCCCCAACCCCAACCCCCATCTTCTGGTGTTTTCTACATTGTCTTTAATGAATATCTATTCTTAATACAATGGGGAAAATAATTTTATGATAGAATAAGATTATTCTAGTTTCTACACTATTGTCAAGGGTAGTAGGTTACTTTGCTCTGGGGTCTATAGAGATAATATAATTTTTGTGGCATGGTTAGTGGTTGATAACAGGCACAATAGAATTATTGATCATATGGATCTTCCCTATTGATTTTAGAAAACTATTTTTCAGTCGTTTGAGGTAATTTTTTAAACTCTGAAGATGCTTAAAGAAGGTTTTTGTTTTCTTCTTAAAGGATGTTTACTTTTGACTTTTCCACGTGCATTAGGAAAGCTTCTATACTTAATAGTCTCATCATTATATTTGGGTATATTTCTTTTTTCTTTTCTTTCTTTCTTTTTTAATCTTTATTGTTCATATTATTACAAAGGTTCCTCATTTCTTCCCCCCTCCATCAGGTTCCCACCCCACCTTCCGCCCCCTCCCCATCCCCCATTGTCCTCATCCATAGGTGCACAGTTTATGTTCAGTCTCTTCCTCCCTCCCTTTCCCGATAGTAAATCCCTTTTCAGATAGTAAATCAGTTATTTAGCATTTTCTCATATCAATAATATCTCCACATGCCCAATGATACACTTCACACAAAAGACATTTCCAAATAGGTCAATCAGCCTCATCCGGGCCCCACCCAAGGCACTCACAGATCAACACCCCAGAGCTATACTAACTCAACACATCCAGATCTAAGTCTTCATCACTTAATTCAGCAGACCCTCAAGTTCCCGCAAAAGTTTCCAGCCAAGTCTGAGAGGCAGCCGTGGGGCAGGGGCAGGCGAAGAGCAAGCTGTTCTGGGCCTGGCTGCTCCGGGCTTGGCCTCTGTTGCTCTGGTTCGTTCCACAACCAGCTGCTCCAGGTCTGGTCACTGCCGCTCCCAACCTAGTTGCTCTGGACATGGCTGCTGTTGATCCGGGCCTGGCCACACCCGACCCGGCTGCTTTAGGCCTGGCTGCTTCGGGCCCGGCCGCTCCAGGCCTGGCCGCTCCCAGCCTGGCAGCTGCTGCTCCGGGCCTGGCCGCACCCGACCCGGCTGCTCCGGGCCTGGCCGCACCCGACCCGGCTGCTCTGGGCCTGGCCGCTCCCAGCCTGGCAGCCGCTGCTCCGGGCTTGGCCGCTCCCAGCCTGGCAGCCACTGCTCCGGGCCTGGCCGCACCCGACCCGGCTGCTCCGGGCCTGGCCGCCGCTGCTCTGGGCCTGGCTGCTCCCAGCCTGGCAGCTGCTGCTCTGGGCCTGGCCGCTCCCAGCCTGGCAGCCGCTGCTCCGGGCCTGGTTGGGTATATTTCTTATTTTATTTAGGGCATTTTCCTAGGTGCTAATCATTTATTTTGAGCATTGGAAAGAGGTTTATGTATTTCAGCTTCTCAAAGAGACAGTAATAACTACAATTTTCATTTTTTAGGATCTGGAAAATCTTATACCATGATGGGTACAGCTGACCAACCTGGATTAATCCCAAGACTTTGCAGTGGACTCTTTGAACGAACTCAGAAAGAGGAAAATGAAGAGCAGAGTTTTAAAGTAGAAGTGTCCTATATGGAAATTTATAATGAAAAAGTCAGAGACCTTCTTGATCCCAAAGGGTAAATGACTTTGAGACTAATATCGATATTATAGTATTATGGACTAAAATTTAAATTAGTTTAAGTGAAATTTAAAAAAAATGTATTTTATTGATTTTAGAGAGGAAGGGAGAGGGAGAGATAGAAACATCAATGATGAGAGAGAATCATTGATTGGCTGCCTCCTGCATGCCCCCTACTGGGAATTGAGCCCACAACCCAGGCATGTGCCCTTGGCTGAAATCAAACCTGGGACCCTTCAGTCCACAGGCTAATGCTCTATCCATTGAGCCAAACCAGCTAGGACTTAAGTGAATTTTTTACATTGAACTCTAGCAGAGAGTTTTGTTTTGTTTTTTTTTACCTAGTTATTTGTGATTTTATCTAGTTTCCTGGCTACTATTTTTGTGATTTGCTGTTAGTTCCACTGAGTGGCTTTCTGCAGCCAATTCTGGGGTTTTGAAGTTCGGGCTGAGATGGGGTAGGGAAGTGTGGGTGAGCAGCACCCGTTTGGGTCATACTGCCTTCCTCATTATGCATCCTCATTACTTAGTATCCAGATAGTTGGTATCCTTAGTCAAGTAGGCTGTTATTGTTTTTTTAACCAAGAAATTTCAGGAGGAAATCAGCTGTTTGTTTATAGACTATGGAAAGATAGACAATGGCATATGAAACCTGGACTCTAGGATCGTTAATTTTAAAGATTCCTAGATTTTAAAAAAGTCCCATTTTATGGCATAGACCACTTGTGTCAAACACAAGGCCCGCGGGCCAAATCCGTCCCGCCAGGCCTTGCAATGTGGCCCGCACCGTGCTGTCATCACTGCACTCCGCTGCGTTTCCATCACAATGACAGTTTATGACTGTTCAGTAAACCATTCGGCCCTCGATTTAGGCTGGATTTTAGATTTTGGCCCCTTCTCTGATTGAGTTCGACTTTGAAATATTAGACTTTGAAATATTAGAAGTATTAGCCTCAGAAGAATTAGAAAGTCTTAAAAATGTTGTTCTCACTCAGCAATCATGTTTGAACCTAATGGGGAAGATAGAGGTATCTGAGGCAATCTGTTCATTGCACCCAGCATTTTCTGAATTCTGATTTTAGGGAAGTGTAACAGTGAGAGAGAAAAACAGATAATAACCACAGCTTGTGGCTACAGATATAGAAACAGAGTCCAGGAGGTCAAAGGGCCAGTGAGCTGAGGCTTACAGAAAGTGCAGAGGGTAACGAGGGGACAGTGAGTTATGTTTGGATGAAGATGGTCAAGGAAAGATGGTCTTAGAGGTAATAAATCATAGTGATTTATTGAGACACTTGCTCAATCACAATAAGTATCTTTGCCTGTAGAAGGGAAGATTCACTAGAGAGTGCTAAATTTTGTGCTGAGTAGAAGTTTGTTGACAGAGAAGTCAGGTGAGAACCATTTGAACACAGGGACAGTCCATGCCAAGCATGTTTGGAGAAATCCCTGGTTGGAGAGTGACCAGTTGTCCAGTGTGACTGCCAGAACAGGGCAAAAAGGAGGCCAGACATAGGAAGGTTGTGGCTTGAGCATCCACATCGCTGAATATTGTGCCATCGTACTTTTCCTGGCTCTACTCTGAAAACTTGGTCTTGCACTTTCATCTCTGTGAAGACCATCATTTTCTTAGAGATCCAGCCTAGACCTATTCAGAAATTTTTAGCTGGTTTCAGTCTTGTGTTTTATATCCCACAGTACATGTGTGGCATAGCTTAAACTTTACAGTTTTTTCATGGTCATACTGTATGCTCTAGATTTATTATAAATATCTTTCACTGGGTTTGTCAATTCTTTGTTTGCTAAGAGGTTTACTTATTTTTTAACTAGAGGCCTGGTGCATGAAATTTGTGCACTGGGGGTGAGGGGTTCTTTAGCACGGCTGGCTCCCTTTCGCAGTCCAGGATGGGGAGTGGACCTAAGCTGGCAATCAGACATCCCTCTCGCTCCTAACCACCCGCCTGCTTGCTACTTCTTATTACTCGGCTTGTTGTTCCTTAGCGCTGCTATAGAGGTGGGAGAGGCTCCTGCCACCACCACTGGACTCACCAGCTGTCAGCCCGGCTTCTGGCTGAGCAGCTGAGCAGTGCTCCCCCTGCAGGACCACACTGACCACCAGGGGTCAGCTCCTGCATTGGGCATCTTCCCCCTGGTGGTCAGTATGTCTCATAGTGACTGGTCATTCTGGTTGTTCTGCCATAATGGTTGCTTAGGCTTTTATTATTAGATCATGAATGAGTACTTAATTTTATACAATAGAATACTTTTCCTACATTTATTGAAATGACTGTGTTCTCCTCTCCCCCAACCCCCATCAGTCTGTCAGTGTAGTAAAGGCCATGGATCCTTTTCCAGTATAAAAAACAAACAAACAAACAAACAAAAAACCGGCAACCCTGAGATAAGCCCAGTTTTAAGTTTTTAAATCATCGGATTCATTATTTGTCATCTTTTATTTTTATTCATGATCGAGGTTGTATGAGGTTGGTCTGTAATTTTTCTTTCTTGCACAGTTAACATTTATTGAGTTTCTGCTCTCTGTCCCACATTCTGTGAAATGACAAGTAGACTGTTTGTATTATTTGACTTGGCATTCTTTGTGGTAGCAAATAGACATCCCACAGTGTACCCTTTTGAGAGATGTGATATTTTACCACATTGTGAAGTGTTTGTTACCAGTCAAGATTTTAAATTTTGGTTTAAATTCTTCTGGGATCAAGTCTGTGGTTTTATTTTTTTGGGATCTTTGTTGAATTTAGTATGTATCTTATGGAGCATAGTTGAGTCCTTTAAAAAACAGGTTATTGTTTAAAAATCATTTATTTGTTTTTAATGCACAGAAGCCGTCAAACGTTAAAGGTCAGAGAACACAGTGTGTTGGGACCCTATGTCGACGGACTGTCTAAACTGGCTGTCACAAGCTATAAGGTAAACAACATCCTTTATGTAATTCGGTGTAGCAGGTTTTTTTGTTTAATTTGTGATTATCATTATTTTTGAAATTTAAAAAGTTACAGAGTGTCACTTAATAAATTACTTTTTACATAATTTTTTACTTAAAAAGCTGTATATGGCTGTCAGGACAGTTTAATTGTGCGAGAAGGTGTACATTTGCAAAAAATACCTATTCCTCTATTGTAAGATACACTTTTTTGTGTGTTTTACAAGCTCTAAAATTTTGATGTTCCTTACAGTGATAAATATCAGCATTTTGTCCTTCCTGATAGTATATAAAATAGTGAAGTTGCTTATGATTGAGTGGATATAATGAAATACAATGTACGAGTTGAGAAGATGGAATTCAAAGCCTGTTTCTAATCTGAGAGAATCTCTGCCTTTAGTTCTTGTCATTTTCAAACTCAGGGTTCTGCTTTGTGTGAATCCAATGGGCTTTGTGCACTGGAGAAATGGGGGTGGGTGACATGCTGTGATGTAATGTACATTGAATTGAGAGTCTGAAAATGTTGATCCAATGACACTTAATCCTTTTGTTCAATTTCTGTTCGACTCTGGGTTCTTTACTCCTCCTCACCTACCCTCTTTGTCCTGGTTTTCAGAATGCAAATTAGTTTTATAGTCTTGACTGTCTTATGAGGTAGGTTCATTTGTTTCTTTGTTCATTAATGAATTCTATCGTTTGGTCAATGACACTTTACTTAGTAAATATCTATTGAATATCTGTCATATGTCAGGCATTGTGCTAGATGCTGAGGATAGAAAAAAGAGAATGGTCCATTACCTCAAGCTGGTTATAGGTGTTATAAAGTTATTATGAAACAACATGGTTTTAAGTGCTGTGGTAGATGCATATTAGAGGAGGGGTATCTAACTTAAATGGATATGAGGTGTTCGTGAAGCGTGGTGTCTGAGAAGGCTTCCTGGAAGAGGTCTAATGGGATAATGTATGTGAAAGTCTTAGAAACTCTAGAGCAGTGGTTGCCAATCTTTCAGACTCATGGACCATTGGTTGGCGACCGCTGCTCTAGAATATGTATATAATGTTAGGTATTATTGGATCATTTGAGAGAATATTTATGCAACATTGGAGAGAGAGAGAGCACGATTGTTTTGAGAGTTCAAAGGAGATTGGATGTTAAAAAAATTGAAAGGCTCAATACAGAGTTCATGCATAAGGCAACAGATTAGAGACCAATGAATAAATGTAGGCTGAAGAGGATAAGCTTTTACGTTAAGCCTTAGGATTGTCAGACTTAATGGGTCTAAAGTGGATTTAGAATGGATCTAGAACATTGTGATTTTTTCCCATTGTGGTGCCTATTTATATATCTTTTTTACAGTTAATATTTTTACTTTGTGAGGCATTTTATTTATAATGTTGACTTTTTCCTTAAGCATTATTTTTTTAAATTTATACAGCAAAATAGAACCTTATGGTTTTCAAAGGTTTTTATATGTGTATGTCAGAATTATGTTTGGCTACATATAACAACAAAAAAAAAATAATAGAATTTAAGTTCTTTGGAATCTGAATTATTATGTTTTGACCATTCTGTGTTTTCAGTATCTTAAAATATACCTGGCACATAATAGTGCTTTCAATATATATTTGAGTAAGTGAATGAAAGAATGAATGTTGAAAGGGCTGGTATGGTGGCCCTAAAGATGATGTTGGGAATCCAGATTCCTGCCAGCTCTGTGGTAATGCCCTTATTTTTATAGTTCTAGGTGGCTTTAAGAACCAAGATGCAACATCATGCCTACCCCCTTTAAGTACAATTCCCAGTGACCTGTATTATACTTTACCTCTCATTTGCTAAAACTTAGTCATATGGCTAGACTGAACTTCAAGGTATCTGGGAAATGTTGTCCCTTAGCTCTGCTGCAATATGCTTACGGAAGATTGGGTTCCTTTACTGGAAAGAGGAGGAGACTAGATAGAAGGAGACAGCTAGTGGATTCTTAAACATATCATCTTTCTTGTTCCTAAATTAAATCCTTATAATGTAGGTGATGTTATAGCTCTGCATTGTTACTTATGAAACTCAAATTCATATTGTTTAAATAACTGTTTTAGAGCTTGTAACATTTTAAAAAATGAAGATCCCATGATCTTTCTGTATTACATCATGCTGCCTCTGTTTTAGCAGTAATGCCAACAAGTAGTGCAGAAATTCATATCTTAAAGTTTTTATTTAAAAGAATAGGTCTAGCCAAAAGCGGTTTGGCTCAGTGGATAGAGCGTCGGCCTGCGGACTGAAGGGTCCCAGGTTCGATTCCAGTCAAGGGCATGTACCTTGGTTGCGGGCACATCCCCGGTGGGGGGTGTGCAAGAGGCAGCTGATCGGTGATTCTCTCTCATCGATGTTTCTAACTCTCTATCCCTCTCTCTTCCTCTCTGTAAAAAATCAATAAAATATATTTAAAATAAATAAATAAATAAATAAAAAATAAAAAATAGGTCTGTTAAGATATACTCTGAGGTGATGCTCTGCCTACTTGAGGGCTTACAAATTATTTTTGCTTGTCGCTTATTCCTATACTCTAATTTGATTTAACAGTGAACTTCTATTACTTCTGTAATTAAAGAAACTAATTTTTTTCCCCAAATTTCTAAATGAGATGAAGATTGGCATGGCATATTTGTCTATTTAATGAGACTCAACATATGGTGTTTAAACTTTTTAAATTATCAGTCAAAGAGGCTACTTTATTTACACCTACAGAAAATAATGTATTTTATTTGTTTTCATGGGCAGTATTGTCTATTGTATTCTGTGAGGTTTAATTTTCATTGAAAAACAAAGTGTAAATGTCAACTATGGCTGAATAAGTAGTTAAACTTTTCATGTATTTCCTAGTTAATATATATTAGATGGATAATGAAATGTATGTCTGTAACTTGTTTTCACTTAGGATATTGAGTCCTTGATGTCTGAGGGTAATAAATCCCGTACAGTTGCTGCAACCAATATGAATGAGGAGAGTAGCCGATCTCATGCGGTTTTCAAAATCACCCTCACCCATACTTTGTACGATGTGAAGTCTGGGGTAGGTGTTCAGACTTTAATTTGTAAAGTAGATCATGGTTTATCTTATTCCCTTTAGGTGTTAGATGACTAGAAGTCCTAACCAAACATGTTTATCAGTTGGGACACAGGACAAGAAATAAAAGCTACTCTCGGTAGACAGAAAGAGATTTAAAGGAGGGATTTGGGTGCTTGCAAAGTTGTTGGAACATCTGAGGAGGAGTGGACTCTAGACTGAATCTCTAGGAGAAACTTTCAGAACAACACAAAGCTTATTGACCAGGATGCTCCCCCTGAGGCCACTACTATGCTGTGGCTATGAGTTCCAGACATAACCCATAGCTGTGATCCAGGACAACATACTACCATCATCCTGCATGCCAGCAAAAACCCCCCAAAACAAACAAATAAACAAACCCCAAAACACACACACACACACACACACACACACACACACACACACACACACACACAAAAAAAAAAGGGACAGAGGATGGCCTTTGCTTTACTTCTGTTTTCCAAATCTTAAGCAAGTGTATCTGACAGAACCCAAGTCAGCCCATAATCCTGCCCTGCAAGGGAGACTGAGAAATTTAAGTTTTAGCTCTCCACCATCTCCAGCTAAAGAAGGCGGAGCAGAAGTTATACAAGCAGATGGTCCAAAATCTTTGCCATAGCATTTTTCCCCCCCACAGCATTTTTTTGAGCTTTAAACTATGATGACTAATGGCATATAAGCTAATGCTAATACTCTAGCTGATTCAGTGGAGATACTTTTGAAATATTACCTTCTGCTAAGCAGCTCAGTATTAGAAGGAATAAATTGCACTGGGGAAACTGTACTATAAGTTGCTGGATTTTTAGAACGATATTTTTGAGTATTTGGTTTTGAAACTTGTAAGAGTTAACAGAGCCAGAGACACATATGCTTCTTCTACACACTGGAACATTTCTGTTGACTTACATTTGTGTTTTCCTTTTTTATGAATTTTTGCATATTTTATTATGATGCCTATCCTCAGCAAATACAATAGATTTCAAATACCAGAAGCTAAAATAATTACCCTGGCAAAGCACTATATTTTGGCAGGATTTTTGTTTGCTGAAAGCTTATTTTTCTTCTATTGCCATCACAGCAAGATTAGTGTAACAACCAAAAGTTCTTTGTTTCCTATTTCCTTTTCTGCATAAAACAAAAAACATACTGAAAACTTTTTTTTTTTTTTTAAACCAGAAGTACTTTTGATTTGGAAAGCTGAATATCCTTTGCAGCAACATGTTTATTTATGGAAATAAATATGAATGTATATTTTAAAGGAAAGTTTTAAAAAAATGATCCAGTCAATAGAATTTGGCATTGATTTCCCACATTTTTTTTTGTATTGCTGCTGAAAATAGAATGTTAATGTATGATTTAATATAAAGCATTTTTATATTAAAATTTTTATTTTTCAATTACAGTTTACATTCAGTGTTACTTTGTATTAGTTTCAGGTGTACAGTATAATGGCTAGTCATACACTTGCAGGGTGTTCCCCTGATATTTTTAGTACCCACCTGGAATCATGTATTTATTACAATACTAGTGACTATATCCCCTATGCTGTACTTTATAACCTCATGTATTTTGTAATTACCAATCTGTATTTCTCAGTCCCTTCACCTTTTTAACCCTTCCCTCTGACAACCACCAGTCTGTTCTCTGTATCCAGAGTTTTGTATAATTTTGTGTTTACAAGATTGTACAGTTTTCTCACAGTGGTTTACAGCAACACAAACTAATTTTGGAAAAAAAAAAACAGTAACCCTTTAATAAAGGATTTCTTTAATAAACTCATTCTATAATGATGATATTCCCTTTTATATTCCTTAACTGTGTATTAGTATTTGTCAATTTACTTTCTAGACATCTGGAGAGAAAGTGGGCAAGCTGAGCTTGGTGGATTTAGCTGGCAGTGAGCGGGCAACAAAAACTGGTGCTGCTGGTGACAGGCTGAAGGAGGGGAGCAACATTAACAAGTAAGTTTTTCAGGACCTTTATTGCTTTGGTGACTTTATAGCCAAATAGGAGAACTTCTGTTGTTATTAAAATAATAAGATTCTGGGCCGATGAAGGCTATAATGGTTTTGAAATTTTTTCAGATGTATATTGTTTTATGAGCTTGAACCTATTTTATGTTTTGGTCAGATATCTGATGGAACTGAGGAGTACAGCCTCAGTCAATCAGAGGTTTTTCAGGAGTGGCCTTTTGAGATTTGGGACTTGGCAATTCTTTGTCCCTAAGAGTGGTCCTGTGTATTCTAGGATGTTTAGCGGCACCTCTGGCCTCTACCCACTAGGTGGCGGTAGTCTCTGCCACCTCTCTCCCTTCCCCCCTAAATTGTGACAACCCAAATTTCTACACATTGCCAGCTGTTCCCTGTGGGGGTACAGTCAGCCCCAGTTGAGAACTGCTGGTCTAAGTTATAGAACAGAACAAAGGTAATAGATCTATCAAAGTCCAGCTGCTGACCTTGACCTAGGTGTCACTGTCTGAACAAACAGAATCTTGTATACTGGCCACATCTGGCTTTCCCTCTTTTGACTGCTGTGGTGCTTATTTATTCCTAGAGATTAGGGCTTTATAAAGTAATATTTTATTCACCAATTCTTTCATATGGCTATATTTTCTTCCTCGGGCTAAAATGTTAGCTCCTGTGGGCAGGAATTTTTCTATCTTTGTAGCTACCAGAGGGACTCATAATGAGATAACCAGTCACCAGTAACCAGCTGGAGATCATAGAACACCATCATGCAGATTCTGTTATTATCCAATGTAGCTTTCTTTCTTAAAGTTATGTGGTGTTCATGTCATTATCTTGACCCAAAGGTTTACAGCTCACATCTTTATTTATAAAAATGGAAAAAAAAAAAATGGCCAAGCTAAGCAGTTTTATTGCTTACAGTAGTATTAGAGGGATATCAGCTTTTAGAGTTTCTGTATTTTTAAACGGAGCAGCAAAATGCTGACAACAGTACTGTTTTCTTGCAGGTTCAAAGGCATCTTGAGATTCAATCTTTGTGTTGAAACGTGATACTTGATATACTTTGTTTATGATTATTATGGTTTGTTGCACCATGCAGGTCCCTCACAACCCTTGGTCTGGTTATCTCAGCCCTAGCAGATCAGAGTGCTGGCAAAACCAAGAATAAATTTGTTCCGTATCGTGACTCGGTTCTCACTTGGCTGCTCAAAGTAAGTTTTTGTTCCCTTCCTGGTTTACTCTTGGTGGTCTATAGCAGGAAGAATAACGAGTAGAATATTAGTCCTTTCCAATGATCATTTCCTCCATCATTAGGCTGTTAGATGGTAACCATAATTTTAATTCATTAAGCACAGGTTTCTTTCTGATTTACCAAAACTGGAAGCAGTGGGAGTTTGGTGCACACTTGATCCCACAGTTTCCCTGATATTTGGGTGAATAGAAGAAGGACCTCATGCTAATCTAATAGGCAAGTGAGTCATAGGAAAGGTGTTTCCACTGTCTTACAGACACAGCTGGACCAATGTTTTTCTTACAGACGCCCTTTATTTGACATTTTTGTACCTTCCATTTTGGTTTAACTTTTAAGATTACTCATGAACATTTTAATTTGCTTTCAGCTTCTTAAAGTGTTGTTTAAGAATATAGAGCAGGTCACATAATCATTCACTGACTGACTCAACGTCAATGAGAGAAATGTAGATGAGAAGGAAATAAAACACCTATTTGAAGTGCTATGGAGAACATAAGGGAGTGCAAGGCACTGCATGCCCTCTCATTGCTCAGAGTTTGGTAAGGGAGATGTGATCTGTACATAAAATATTATAACATGAGTCAATGATTCCATGAGAGATAATAATGACTTGTAATAGGAGTTTGGGGGAAAGAGACTTATTTCCAGGTTTCCACCTGGTCTTCCAGGGTCCCATTAATTTTGATGAACTGAATATTGGCCTGGGAGTTAGAGGATATAAAATCTAGTGACAGTTTAACTCTTTATGGAGGGGCCAACCTGCAACACTATTTTCCTACAACCCCTTTTTTCTAAAAAATGCAGTAATCATTTTATGGATCCTGTTTAGTCTTGTGATAGCTTATTTTCTCCTTGATCAAGATTTATGTATTGAACACCCATTACTCATTGTGCCAGGGTTTGAGAATATAAAGACGAGTTAAACATAGTCCATGACATGCTCAGAGAACTGTGTTTGTAAAAGGAGTAGGATTTTCTTCTAATTTCTACACTCTCCTAGTATTCAAGTTTACTTTTTAGAACTCTGCACTCCGTTTGGACATGCTTTATTAAGTGTAATTTGCCACAGTAGAAAATCAGGTATGTTACTTCCTTTGGACAAAGTGAAGTAAAATTGAAATTTAAAACAAAGGAATAAACAAACAAAACTTAAAAAAAGAAACCTCTACATTTTATTTTTCAATTATAGTCACTATTATTTTGTATTGGTTTCAGGTGTACAACATAGTAGTTAGACAATCATATACTTTACAAAGTGTTCCCCCTGATATTTCCAGTACCCACCTAGTACCATACATATTTATTGCAATGTTATTGGCTATATTTCCTATGCTGTACTTTACATCCCCATGACTACCGGTATTTTCTTTTAATATATTTTTATTGACTTCAGAGAGGAAAGGTAGAAACATCAGTGATGAGAGAGAATCATTGATCGGCTGCCTTCTGCACGCCCCCTACTAGGCATCGAGCCCACAATCCTGGCATATGCCCTTGACTGAATCAAACCCGGGACCCTTCAGTCTGCAGGCCAACGTTCTATCCTCTCAGCCAAACCGGCTAGGGTCCCATGACTATTTTCTTTTCTTTTTTAATATTTTATTGATTTTTTACAGAGAGGAAGGGAGAAGGATAGAAAGTTAAAAACATGGATCAGTTGCTTCCTGCGCACTGGGGATGTGCCCACAGCCAAGCACATGCCCTTGACCGGAATCGAACCCGGGACCCTTCAGTCCGCAGGCCAATGCTCTATCCACTGAGCAAAACCAGTTAGGGCTATTTTCTAACTACCCATTTGTACTTCTTATTTCTTCATCTCTTTCACCCAATCTCCTAGCCCCCTACCCCTCTGGCAATCACCAGTTTATTCTCTGTGTCTATGAATCTGTCTCAATTTTGAACAAACAAAATTTATTAAATAAAAACTATTTCTAAATAACTCTTGAATTAAAGGGATATTACAAAAACATTTCACTACTAAGGAAATAATTGTACTGGTCTTCATAAGTTAATAATTAACCTTTAAACATAATTTGTTTAATTTCCAGAAGAAATCTCAATAAGATACTTCTTCCTCAAAGTTTCCACAAAAACATTTCCTAATCATTCATGGTTATTCCCTGCATGTGCCTGATTTAAAAGACAGAATAGTCATTGTCCTATTGTTTCAGTGTTGCTACTTTAGTCCACTTAAATCAACAAAAGGTATTTCCTTTTGTTCGTTAATATAGTTAAAGTGGCCTAGGTAATTAATGGCCATTCCATAGGCTGAAGGCCAGGAGAACTCAGTAGAATCAGATACCATGCTAAGTGCTTCGTGTACATTATCTCAGTTACCCCTGGAAGGTAAATGGCGGTGTTCCTGTTTTACAGATGAGACACTAGAGACAGAAACAAGGTTGGAATGCAGGGCTTCACCAGCCATCTTTGTGTAGGCAAAAGGTCATCAAAGGTTACTTTTGATTAGAAGGAGAAGCACTTGACTGTTGCCAGGGTTTATAGCAACTATTGGAAATACTTGAACTTGAGGAACAAAACAAAACCCTTTCTTTAAAAATTCACTTTATATTCTGTTTAGTAAAATTAGGTTAAAATTGTAACTTCTATGTATAAATTCTCAAGCTTAAAAAATTAATTCTTTTTTCCCCCTTAAAAACTATGTGACCTTCCTTATTCTGTTTGACTTTTGCAGCAAGATCCTAAGTAGGGGCATTTTTGCAAAACATATTTTGGGATTTAAACAGTTTTCTCAAATGCCCCTAGGAATCTATTGAGATTCAAATCATTCTCCTTTGAAGTGGCTTTTATGTCCCTGTTAGTTTTTCCTTCTTTAATTCTTAATTAGTCTAACTCTTCTTGATCCTTTTTGACCTGATATTCTGGTGTTCTCTCTTGTCACTTTTATTAAACTTATAAATTGCTCATCATATATAAGACTTGCAATTTCTTTGTAAAGTTCCTTTTTTTTTCTTTTCATTGTATTTGCATTATAATTATGCTGTGCTCTTGATGTTCATAACATGTGAGAGTTGGAGAAACTCTGATACTCCTGGTCAGGCATAGATGTGAGTGCTCTTCTCTCAGGGGCTATAGAGTGCTTACTCCTTTGGTAAGTGGCCTGTGAAGAACCATTTTGTATTAAGATGATTTGGGCCTCTGTGTGTTGTTGTACCGAGATTCCGTGAGATTCCGTGATCCCCAAAGACCAGCAGGGAGCCAAGTCCGATGCAATTAACAAGAGAGCCTCTTCCATGTTAACATGGGCTCTGTCCCACACACGCCAATCGCATGGCGGGCGAGAGCACGAACTTTGCCAAGCCCTGGGGTTTTACACCACTGCTTTGGCTGACCCTGATTGGTTGGGTGAGGGCTAGGGTCCAGTTACACAAAATGGAGGATAACTCCACCCTGCCCCACAGTGGAGTCAGGAGTTCGCCTTGCCCTGCCCTGCTCTCTCACGTAACCTTAGAAATATGGTTCTCAATATTAAGTAACTTATGGTAACAAATGTTCCAATAATGATTATCTATCGAATTCATCCACTTTTACTCATTCTTATTGCCACTTACATAATGGAGACTTCATCTTTTGCTTGCATGTTTGAAACCTCTCCCTTAAGCTTTCTTAGTCCATTTTGTTCTTTACAGTTAGGTTGCATTTTCTTTCTATTGTATATTAATACTCTTCTTAAACTTAAATCTCTTTAATAACTCTCCAGAAGCCCTTACAATGAAGTCCAAATTCTTTAATGACTTGTTACTTAGTAGGCCCTTTATAATCTGTCCACTCCTTACTTCTCATTGTTCATCTTTTGCTCTTGATATTATCAATTCTAGCTAAGTGACTTCTAGGACTTTGCTCTGACTCTGGAACATTCTTCCTCCTCTTTTCAGTCTCCTACACTGCTCTCCTTCCCTTTGGCCCCGATGATGTTTACTCATCTTAAGGCCTCAAATATCGCTTTCTTTGGGATCTTCCCTAACATTTCAAGATTGGGCTTTCTGCTGTTTCTCTGTTTTCCCAGACCATACTGTATTTATCCCTACTTGAGTTCTTATCCTGTAGTATTTGTTCACCAGCATCGCCCTCTAGATGGTAAACTCCATGAAGAGTTGAATGAATGAATAATTTCAATTCTGCTCTGAATTAGCATTATGACCTTTGGCTAGTTGTCATTCTTTCTGTGTCTCAATTTCTCTTCTGTAAAATGAAATAATTTCATTAAATGACTTCACAGAGTTCTTTCAGCTTTAAACAATTCTGACTTCCAAAATTAAATTTCTCTCCTAGGTCCATTTAATTTGCAGTTGCTACATTTGAAACAAAGCTCAGCTGATTTGCCTAATTAAGCAATTAAAGAGTAAACAAGAAGTTTCATAATTTCTCCTTGAAAGAGTGCCAGGTCTTTTGTTGCCATTTCCTTTTTGTTAATGGCCTGAGGCCATTTTTGAATATAAGCATATTGTTGTTGCTCATGCATAAGAGCTTTTAAAATATCAAGGATTTGTTGTTTGCCAGGTTTCCTTTTCTCAGCACAAATTGAAGCACAATGTGCATGCTTTCTCCTTTGCCACTTATTGTTACACATCCCCTTTTTCCCAGCAGTATTTGTTGTTCATGTGGGCTAACAGAATGCCGGGGTTCTTGAAGGGCAGCACCCCACCACGGTGCTGCCAGTGAGCTGAATTGCCATCGGAGATGTCATTCCTGTGATCTTTATATATGGCATTGGAATTTCATTAATGTGCATGGGATTCTGCTTGACATTTTTCTGAACGTTCCAGAGCTGGGCACCAGCAATGTGAGATCAGCGTCTCCAAGTGAATAATGAGGCACACACTCATACAGGCTTCACAGAAATTGCCTTTGCTTCCCAAAGCCCAGATGACTTCCTTTTCCTTCCTTTTTCATGCATCAGTGTATTTCCCAACTAGATATAATGATCTTAGCTATGTTTTCTGTGTAATTTTCAGTAATGGACAAAGAAGCAGACATATTCAATCTGTGATTATATTGAACTGTTATGGACACCCAGGAATAATTTTTAAAAATATATATATTTTATTGATTTTTTACAGAGAGGAAGGGAGATAGAAAGCTAGAAACGTCGATGAGAGAGAAACATCGACCAGCTACCTCCTGCACACCCCCTACTGGGGATGTGCCCGCAACCAACTTACATGCCCCTGACCGGAATCAAACCCGGGACCTTTCAGTCCGAAGACCAACACTCTACCACTGAGCCAAACCGGTTTTGGCACCCGGGAATAATTTTGTTTCTGGCTCTAGGACACAATAATTTGGGAAGGTGTCAGGTCACCTTACTCCTCAGGTCAAATCATATTGGACTTGAAGGCAGAATACAGTTGTATTAGAATATAGTTCAATTTACTAGTTCTGGATCTTTAGGCAGAGTATTTAACGTTCTTTGTCAGAACAAACCTCTGATTTTTCATTGGTAGAATGAGGAGACTAGTAATCCAATTCACCAATGCTGAGGGCAAAATAAAGTCTATGCACAAAGATTGTATAGATCACAGATGCCCGAACACATTTTAGATATATTGATAGTGGAAAAACTTTGTATCTTCTAAAGTAAAAGTTTTATGTCAGTTAATGCTGCCCAAAAGTAATGTTGGCTTTCTTATGATCTAATGAATTTCTTATTATTGGTCTGTTTGAGTGTTTTCTCTAATCTTGAGACTATATTTAGTGATATTCTGTTACTGAAAGAGGGTATTGAATTTATTATCTTGGGTAATTCTTTTCATCCTGGGATTGTATATTAGAGTGTGAGTACTTATCTATTGCTATATGACATATTACCCCTAGACCTTATCAGGTGGAAACAATAATCCTCTATTATCTCACAATTTCTATGGGTCAGGATTCCTGGTATGGCCTAAGTGGTCTGTCTGGCATCTGTCATGTGGCTGCAATCAGAGTGTCTGGGGTTGCAGTTACCACAAGGCTTAATGGGAGTTGCATATGCTCACCTAAATAGTTGTTTCCAAACTCATTCCTTTGGTTCCTTCAAAGGACCATCTCACCTCATGGCAGTGGTGAGAGAAAACACCCCTCCTAGAAGCTACAATATTCTTATAATCAGAAATGACTTGCCATCACTTCTGCTGTATTCTGTTTATTAGATGCAAATAAACAAGTTCTGTCCACACTCAAGGGAAGGTATTACTACAGGAGGTGGAAAGCATTTTTAAGAGGCTGCCCGCCACGGCCATTGTATGGTGAAGTGGAGTGGGGGTGGACATGATTTCCCCAGGCTAGTTTTGTGATTCAGTTATATTTAGTTATTTTTAATATTCTCAAGTGAAAGTGGTATTTTTGAATTTGTTGGAGCCTATTCAAACCCCTTCTCACTGTACTTTCCAGTTTCAGTATGATGAGGGTGAGTGAGTACCTTTTGTTCTGCACCCTTGTCACCTGGCCTGTGGAAGTGGTTGTGTAGAACGTAAAGTCTATTTTAGTAGCTTTAGAAGTGGTATCAAAGGGAGTAAAATGAAATACCTTCAATGTATCTTTTGTTTAATAAGACTGTGATTGTACCTTTTTGTATAATTATCGTTTTAAAAAATGTACAAGGTGATTGATCAGCAACACTTTCTGGGCCATTATTTAGGCTTCTCAGAGATTCCAGGTACAAGGCCTTGGATTGTAGGTACGTAATCACTTTTGATCAGATAACAGTATCACAATTGTTCAGTTCCTCTAAGGAAGATTTTGTAGGCATTTAAGAAATCATTCTTTTTTATTCTGAATAAAAAAATCATTCTTTTTTATTCTGAATAAAAAAATTCTTTTTTTTATTAATAAACTTACAGCATCATGTCTATTAAAAGAGAACAAATTATCTTAAAATTAATTCTTATTAAACTAAAATAAGGTAGACTTTATTGTATTTCTCTGCCCATTCTCAAAAACCAAAATTCCCTTTTTTAGAGAAATAACTTGGCAGAAAAGAAAGATCATGGGACAGAGAGTCAGGGTACCTATATTTTAGTTCCAACTTGGTCCTTAAATACATGTTTGACCTTGGGATATTATCTGACCATTTCTGACTTTTCCCTCATATGATGTTCTCTACCAACTTTAAAATGCTACTCAATTTCTCCTTCTCTAGGACAGTCTTGGGGGCAACAGTAAGACAGCCATGGTAGCTACTGTGAGTCCAGCAGCTGATAACTATGACGAAACCCTTTCAACTCTTCGGTATGCAGATCGCGCAAAGCACATCGTGAACCACGCTGTGGTGAATGAGGATCCTAATGCACGAATCATCCGAGATCTAAGAGAAGAAGTAGAAAAACTCCGAGAGCAGCTAACTAAAGCAGAGGTATAAGGCACAGCTGAATGATGCCTTATGGGTCTAGGAAAATCTAGTAAAGCTAAACTTGAATTTTCTCCCCCTTTACCCGTAAGTGATGTCGTTTAGAATTTTTAAATTTCTTATAGGAAGAGAGATTTGAGATGAGTAATAAATAAAGGAAGACAGATTGTCATAATTGCCATTTAGAGAATTTTTAGAGGTGTTAAAAGATTTAATGGGAAGAAAGAATAAAAGGAATTGAGATAATGTTTCATTCTATAGTATAGGCAGCAGACAAGAGAGATGTGTAATAGAATAAGGGAGAATAAGAAAGACACTTGAAAATGCATATAATTAAAATTTAGTGCAAAAAAATGGTGGAGAATGGGCACAAACTAATTGGAAGAAGAAACAAACAGACTTGTGTTTATCATTTGTTCATTGCTTGAAGTCAGGATGGAAATCTTAAGGAGATCTTTCATATCCTAATAATCTATTTTTGCCATGTTGTGGGTTAAATTTTTTTGTAGACAGTATATTTTATACCAGCAGTACCCATTTATTTAGTGGTACTCCATTTCCAGTATTCTTTGAACATTCTATAATGTATGGTATTTATGTTCCATAATTGACTTTGAAACCTACACAATTTTCAGCTACAACTGAATGCTCAGCCTTTTGTCTGTCAAAAGAGGAATAAAATATCAAAATCATGATTCCTCCTCTAGCCCTTCTCTTCGCACAGTTTGCCAGCACCGTGGGACTCTTTCCTGGGGTGGGTCCTTAGTTTTCTTCTTTGTCATAGCCTGTTTTCTGGAAGTAAATTGCTAAAATACATGGTCAAAACAATTATTTTGATCATATTTTTGCCTGTTGAATTTTATCCTATGTTTAAGGAATAATTTTAAAGAGCATCAAGATTCTTTGAAATTTTGTGTCTGTTCTTGATATTAATAACAACATCTAGTTTGCGACATGTACAAATTTAGTCTGTGTGTACTTGGATAAATACCTGAAGTCAACAGTAAAAACTAGACTGAATCACGTATGACTTTAGATATACAGCTGATGGGGATTTACCGTATTTTCCGGCGTAAAAGACAACTCCCTAATTTTATAGTTAAAACATAGGTTTAGGCCTATATTCGCTGTATAAGACTACCCCTCACTTCCGAGGCAACACCAGTTCTTTTTTTAATAGACTGTCTCTCTGACTCTGGCCGATCTGAGCAGGCTTTTTACTAGAACACAGTGTAGCTTCGGGTACAGAATATGCATAATTTGCATGCATAAAAAGCCTGCTTGGATTGGCTGAGTTAGAGAGGCGGTCTATTAAAAAAAGAACTGGTGTTGCCTCGGAAGTGGGTGGTAGACTTATACAGCAAATATAGGCCTAAACCTATGTTTTAACTGTAAAATTAGGGGGTCGTCTTATATGCCGGAAAATACGGTAAAAAAATAAGCCCTGATAACTTGAACTATCTCATTAAACATTGGAAGAAAAGGACAAAGTTGTCTCCCTTTCAAAACCATCCTGGATGACTGGATTTGTTTGTGGGACCCACACAGTTGGGCTGCTGTGCATCAGTGACAGTCACTTAAGTCTCTGATCAGAGACCTCAGGGAGCCGCAGAGTTGAGAGGAGGAAGATAGTTACTTCTGGTTTCTGGATTTAGCTAATTTTTTTTTTTAGCGCATCATACAGACATTTCATGAAATAAACATTCTGCTTATAGGCAATGAAGTCTCCAGAACTAAAAGAACGGCTGGAAGAATCAGAGAAGCTAATCCAGGAAATGACTGTGACCTGGGAGGAGAAATTAAGGACAACCGAGGAGATTGCTCAGGTTCGTGTTCCCTGATTTAGAGAGAAATCTCACAGCAGTTTGTGCCAGGAATCTCAGAGGGCGTTTCTGATTCAGTTTTAGTTTTCTTGCTTTGAGGATGGCAATCTAGCACCGTTAATAAGAATCTAGCGCCAAGAATTTATATTTTACAGCTTATTTGAAGGATAAAAAAATGACATGATTACAATTAATTGTTCATCATATAAGAAATAATTTTTTAGGGTCATAAAAAAGTATTCAATAAAGAGCTACTTTGTAGCCTCTGGCTCTGAACATCCAATTCTATTAAGTGTTTTGTAGACCTAAGGAAATTTGCCTAAACCACAAAATTATTAGTAGAAGATATTAGGTTGTAAGGATCTTGCTTCCATATGACAACTCAGTAAAAATAATGTGAAATTCTTCAATCTGAGGTTACTCTCATTTTTAGAACACTTGATATTGAGTTGTGAAATCTTAGGGTGGAAACATTAGCATTTGGAGAAAAGCCCGAAACGTCCAGCTAAGTCATAAAAGACTTATGCTGTGGCTTTCCTGTTAGATGGTTCATTCAACCCCTGTTTTAGAAACATATATGATAATGTGAAGCTCAGTACCCCTTCAATCAGTCTTTTCATGATTGGACAACTCTAATGTAGCTATTTAATAGAAATCTTTTATTTTTTTTAATTTCTGCTCATTTGCCTTATTTATTCTTCCAAAATTAAAAGAAAAAGTATACCAATTTAATGTAGTAACTAATAATAAAATGGCCAGTTGGATTCACATATGTGTTGGGGTCTATGCTAAGCACATTTAAATACAGTATTTTATTTAATCCTCCCAACAACCCTGAAAGACAATTATTGACCAGATATTTAAACCTCTGCCTCTTTTCCTCCTTTTCTAAACTTAAAAATCTCACCTGTTTTCAGCTGTCCCCTGGATTGGCAGGTACATAGAACTTGCCATTTATTTTGCCTCCCAGTAGATTACATCTTTAAATGTGCTGTTCAAAACCAATCTATATATATCAGAAGTTGTAGGATACTACTATTATGTAGCATGAAGTGGGATGTTTTATTTATAGTAATGCAAACTAGAATTTAAGTCCACTTAAAAACATTTTTTATTATAGTCAACTTCAATATTGGTAAGAGAACAGTATAATAAATCTACATATACTCATCACCCAATTTCATTAAAGATCAATATATGGCCAATCTTATTTTATCTATGTCACCACATTGGGTTATTTTAAAACCTATTCTTCAAATTACAGAGAAGACAATATACCAAGGTATAAACTTTATTTCTCATTACATATTTCACTTTTTTGCTTTTCATAAACTATATCATTCCGATAATTGTTCGTTTGGGAACTCATTTGTGTGAGCTTCTTTGAGCTCTCCAAAAATAAAACATTGACTTTGAAGTGCTCTTGTGCTTGGATTGCTTTGCTGATACAAAAGAAGGTAGGTCTAAGTGAGATTGCTGTGCTAGCGAATTTTATCTTTAGCATCTTTCCTTACCTAGCTGTTCTCTCCCTCTTGCAGATGTCCTTTTTGGGGACTATGCCTGATTTTATCCAATACCTTATCTTTCCAAGCCCCCAGGCTTCAGTGCTGCTGAGCTTTCTTCTCCTCTCTCACTGGATCTGTTGATCATTGATCTCCTTCCAAAATTGCCTTACATTCCCTGAAATGTAACTCTGGCAGTATAGCCAGAAATTGTTAATGAAGTCTTCTGCGATAAAAATGGTCTGTGCCCAGATAACTTTGAGAACATCTGGATAAACTAAGTTAAATAGATTTCATTTTTTGAAGGACTTTCCACATGTCTGTCCCCAGTCTGGGCTCTCAGAGTCCTCTATGCTCTGTGGCAGCTTCTTTAGTGTGCCAGCCCTATGCATCTCTGCCATCGAAGTCCAGAACAGCTGTCTGTATCCTTCTGACCCTGAAGTCATGCAGTATTCTACTGTTGTTCAATTTTTGTGTGAACAGTTTTATTATCTAATGAGTGAGTAAGATTCTCAAGGAAAAAGGCCTTACTTTTTGTTTCTCAAGTGGGTGTTCAATAATATTTTTGAATAAACCAACAGAACTCAAGTTGACTAATTTCATTTTTTTCTATTCTTGAAATAAAAACCTGGATATGATCAGGGGTCAGCAAGTATGTTTCTTTTCATTCTTGGGATCATTCTTTAATTGCCTACCCAAATTCCTATGTAAAAGAGCCTTGCCTCAGAAAGGACTACACAACTTATGTCAAAATTACTCTCCTCGTTTTAGGACCATGTTATTTATCAAGGGTAATCATTTCTTAGAACTGAAAGCTGAAAACTGTAATGTCTCATGCTACATCAATCAGAACTTCTGAAAGAACCCCATAGTGTTTTTTGTTAGAAGGGAGACTTGATTCAAAAACCCAGACACAAAATATCTCTACTTTTGTAATAGAATACTTCTAGGCAAAATGTATTGACTGGGTTGCAGTGGCCATATAAATTAGGATGGTATCCCTAGAAACAACAAGATTCTGAAGCTGTGAGTTAATTGTACTGCATTTTTATTGTGTGGCCCTAATTAAATGACTTTGCATGTTTTGTCTTTCCCCAGAATCAAAAGTCCTTGGTGGCTGTGACTCATTACTGCTTGCTATTTCTAAAGGCCAAAGACACCTTCCTCTGCCCTAATTCATACACCTTAATTATAGAGCATCAGCTGCAGGATTCATATGTATCCATTCATATGCATACATTCATATTTTGAGGATTTAGAGACAGTAGGCACAGAAAAAGAAAGGTTCACATCCTTGTGAAAATAGCACTTGAGTGCATATGCAGGTTTTATTTTGATAATTTATAAGACCAACGTTTGAATGCTCGCTGTGTGTTATGCTTTGAGCTAGGAGTACACCTTGGATAAATGGGATCCTTGGTGCATAGAGAAATGGGCAAGTAAACAATTACCAGTTGAGAACAAGTGTGCCCCAGCTAGAAGACACAGGTATAAAATCTCTTAAGCTAAAGAGAGCATTCTCCACACTTGCAGGGACCTCGAAGATGTTCCATGTAACTGCAGTATAGGTTTTGAAAGTAGGAGTAACAAGGTGTGACGATGGGGGTACATGAAATAGGCCAGATTGAAGGGCCTTGTGGACTTCAATGAAGGAGTTTGGCTTTCATCCTGGCTGGGGAGTCACTGAGCCATCAAGTAGCAAGTGTGTTGAAAACTTGGCTGTTTAGAAACATCACAGTTGAGTAAAACAAATGTATAATTGCTCATATATACAGAATTAAGTGAGAAAGATGAATTCAAGATGTTATTTTCAAGAATGAAAATTGAGAATGCAGTATACTTGGTTGTTATTTGTAAGGCTTTATTTTTAAAATGAAAAAGTTTTAATTAATAAAGTAAGATAGCATTACATAGTTCAGAAAGAGAAAATAATGCAATCTCCTCTCTATATAAAAGCCTAAGCAATCAGCTGACCGTTTGGTAGCTATGACATACAGTGATCACCAGGGGGCAGATACTCAAAGCAAAGGCATAGAAACATGGAACAGATTGATGAATCTCAGAGGGGAAGGGCAGGGGGGAGGGCGGAAAGAGATTAATCAAAGATCTTATATGTATATTAGAGGCCTGGAGTACAGATTCATGCACCGGTGGGTCCCTTGGCCTGGCCTGCAGGGATCGGGCTGAAACTGGCTCTCTGACATCCCTAAGGGATCCTGGATTGCGGGGCACAGGCCAGGCCAAGGGTCCCCACTTGTGCATGAATGCATGCAGCAGGCCTCTAGTAATCTATAATGCCATGTTCTAAGTAAACATTTGACTTACAAGGTTATTCAATAATTACTCTAACGTAAGATCCTTTATATATCCCTGCATCAATAGCTATGGAATTAATACTTCTCTAATACCTTTACAGGAACGGCAGAAACAACTTGAGAGTCTTGGGATATCTCTTCAGTCTTCTGGAATTAAAGTCGGGGATGATAAATGTTTCCTTGTTAATCTGAATGCTGATCCTGCTTTGAATGAACTTCTGGTTTACTATTTAAAGGTGAAGTAATAGGCTTTGCTACTGTTTCCTGTCACAAAATAGAACAGTATTTCACAGCATTTTTTTTTTTTTAAGTTGGAAAACTATGCTTATCCCAAATAATGAATTAGCCAATTGTTCTTATTTGAAAAAGTTGAAGTGTAGAAAAATCTTGGGTTTCTGGAATAGTTTCCCTTTTTAGTTTTTGAGTGATGTTATTCAACCTTGTAATATAAAAAATAATATTCTAATATTATTTCTAACAAATAGCTTAGTTATTATTCTTTAATTTGATTTATACAAGAGAGTTAAATAGACAACTTTAAAGCTTAAGAATTGACTTAAAACTGATTCATTAGTAGACTGAACCTTTTGTGGTTTATATGAAGCACGCCTTTGTGTGAGTGCTTTGTAAGCTTACAAGAGGAAATGCTTGAAGAAAGTTATATTCATAGGATCACTTGATATGAAAGGTGTGTTTCCAGTAACTCTAGGAAAATTAAAAAATTTGGATTATCACCTTATAAAAAAAGAGAATTAGGTCACATAGAGATTGGAAGGGTCAGAGTATGAAATAGGAATAAAGTAAATACTAATGTACACTGAAAGCTATAAATAGTGGGACACATCAGGAAGAAGACAAAAGACAAACTTATGAATCCTAAGATTACATAATTATGAGGAGTGACCCCAAATTGTTTTTATCAAGTTCAAAGCATGAGTTATATAATGGACTATATGATTCTAAAGGAGGTTAATAAATATTAGGAGGAAAATTTCCCTCATAATATATGTGGTTTTAACTAAGGTAACTAGGAAAGTAAAGGTAATGAACTGGTAATGTTGGAAACTGCTTTAAAATTATAGAATTTTGTGGTTTCATTTCCAAAGAGACTAAAGAATTCATGACGTATTGGCTAGTTTCCCAGTTTTTATCAAAGATCCTGGGATAACTGCATGGTATAATTTTGAATACCATGTTTTATTACTGGTATTATAACTGTGGTTAAATCCTGTCTTTGATACATACAATCGTGTGGTTATCAGGTACTTTGCTGCAGTGGGAGCAACACTGTTATTAGTCCATATTACCATTTAACAGAAGTCTGATCTCCAGTCCTTTGCCAGCCCCTGCAGATGTTTCCTCTATAAATGGAAGTTTTCTCTGTCTGGCTACCTCACAGAGTGCCTGAGAGGATTAAATGAGATTGTGTATATAGGAGCTCTATATAAACAGAAGCACTATAAAAATATAAAATATTCTACATATCATTTTCACATTTGATAGTCTCTGTGGTACCTTATGCATATTATTTTTGTCTATTGAAAAAATATGATGTATTCTCTCTCTCACTTCCTCTCTCTAAAAATCAAAAAATTTTTTTTTAAGTCTTGGCCAGTGTGACTCGGTTGGGCATCATCCCATGCATGGAAAGATTGCTGGTTTGATTTCTGGTCAAGACACATGCCCAGATTGAGGCTCAGTTCCCTGCAAGGGGGCATGCAAGAAGCAGCCAATTGATGTTTCGCTCTCACATCGATGTTTCTCTCTCCTTCTATCTATCTTTCTCTCAAAAAATCAATTAAAAATATATGACGTATTATCACATCACTTAATGTGCTTCTAGACAGTGTTGGCAGCATTTTGTTAGAATGTCAGCTGTAGATATTCACATGCTTTAGGAGAGATGCAATATTAGAACAGGACTTGAAATATTCTGCCCTTTTTACTTCTCAGAACCACACATTCTTTTTCTTTCTGATGTGGAGAATTTCAAATTGGAAAACAAACACAGACACCCAAGAAAAAAACTGATTCATATCTGTTCTTTAACTAAAAAGTTAAACAAAGAAATGGTTTAAAGGCTTTTGGAGGGCAGTCAAAATATTTCTGGCTGCCTTGTGTGGAGATGCTGGGATTCTGTTTCAGACTGTGTGGTGAACTCTGTCCTGGCAGGATTTGATGTAGAGTGGGTTTCTTCACTGTCCAAGCCAACCCCATGACGAGAGTATATTCATGACCAAGCACATTCAAAAGGATGAACTCAGTCCAAGAACAGCTTTTGCTTCAGTAAAGCTGTACCGTGATGTGGGACGGAGGAATTCGGAGGCTGTGTATTTTGTGTTATTTTGCTTTCAAATTCTCAAGTCAGTTGAGATGCTGGGCAGATGACTTCACAGCTCTTGGCATCCCACTTGTAAAATGAGGGCACTGGATTAAAATACCTCTAATGTTTTTCTAGTTCCAAGCTGTATGGTTCTCTTCCAGAACAGTGTCTTCCATTTATTTGTTCTGTCCAGAACTGGCAGAGGTGAGGTAAATTCTAGTTGCCATGATTTAGTAAATAATGTTGGCACTGCTCCCACTCATGAGATTCTAGATGCACGGCCAGAGGAACATAGGGCGAATTTATCAAGGTAAATAGTGAAAGTGGTTGTGATGATAAGGATAAAGATGTCTCAAGGGAGAACGCCAGACAACACTTAGATAAGGAACTTCCATAGATATTTTGCAACATTAAAAGCACAAAGGATAAAATGATCGAAGTTTACAAAGGAGTATGACACTTTGCCAGCATATGGACCATTAGCTCACTCCATATTGTAACTTATGCGTTGAGAAGATGGCAAGCACTGTTCAGACAACTCTAGATAAGCTTTATACAAAGAAATATAAAATGCTTTAAATTTCAGTGCAGCATCCTAAATAAATGTTTCACTAGTTTTTCATTTCTCTATACATTATAGCAATAAGAGAATTCGTAATGTTTTTATAGACATTTTTAAAGGTCATAGGATAATTGCAACTTTTCCCATTGATTAGTAAGATCTCCTTGCACAGGAGATTAAGGGTTACTTTTATGTCCTGTGCTCACATGCAAAGCAAGACCTGCCTGAGTTCTGAGGTCAGCTTGGAGATTCATTTCAGCATGAGCCAAGCTTCTAGAGCACATGTGTCAAACACAAGGCCCGCGGGCCAAATCCGTCCCGCCAGGCCTTGCAATGTGGCCCGCACCGTGCTGTCATCACTGCACTCCGCTGCGTTTCCATCACAATGACAGTTTATGACTGTTCAGTAAACCATTCAGCCCGCGATTTAGGCTGGATTTTAGATTTTGGCCCCTTCTCTGATTGAGTTCGACACCCCTATTCTAGAGGGAAGAGCTGCTTCCCTCACCTTACAAACATTATGGCAGTAATAAACTCCCCCTCTCCCAGCCCCCTTAAAAAGCTTTATGAAGACATATTAGAAAAAGAAGGGGGGTGATGGTTACCATCCTAATTGAAACATGCAGTACAGTAATGTTCATAGTTAATATTTGGTATTTTTATCTGTATCCTCTGGGTCTATCCCCATATGTATGTGTATGGATTTATATTGATAGCATATTTTTATATTATAGAATTGGTGTCATAGTGTGATTGAGTCTAATCTTGACTCGGAATCATCCACCAAATCTTTCAGGAGAGCTATTTTGCTTATGTAGCTCTGGGTCTACTCTTTTTACAAGTCAGCTATTTCATAAAGTAATTTTTAAAAATTTCAATTACAGTTGACACACAGTATTTTATTAATTTCAGGTGTACAACTGATTAGATGCTTATATAACTTATGAAATGATCACCCCAAAGCCTTGTACCCCTCTGACACCATACACACAAGTCAACTATCAATGGCTCGGAAAACAAGGGCGATTCTGAAGGATTTGAGGCTTATTACACATATGCACACTTGATAAGGATTTGTACCAGTGATTTAGTAGAAGCTTCAAAGCACATGTTGACCCCATATCATAGCTCCCATTGACAGAAAACTTCATGTTGTTATTGGCCAATCACTAATTGTGATCAGAATGGCAAGGGCAGCCTCCATTCAGTGTTTATGGAGCTGTGTACCAGGCTTCAAGGAACCCAAGATAAATAAGAAGTTGTGGTATGTTAGAAGTTCTTGGATGGCAGCAGTTTGATTCACCTATTTTAGTATTTGAATATAAAAGACAGGCAGATACTGGTACCTTTTCTTTCTTCTACCTCCATTCCAGAAAAGCTGTCTTCAGAGTCTTGGTTATGTTGAGCAAGAGTGAGTCCTTTGTTAAAGAATTTAAATTTTAAAAAAAATTAATTTTAGAGAGGAAGGGAGAGACACAGAGAGAAACATGGATGAGAATGAAGCATCAACATTGATCAGCTACCTCCTGCATATGCTCTGCTGGGGATTGAGTCATGTGCCCTAACCCTAAATTCAGCTGGCAACCTCCTGGTGTGTGGGTTGATGCTCAATCACCATTCTTTAACAGGCTGAGCCACACAGACTGGGCTATTGAAGAATTTTGATTATTAAGATAAATAAAGAGAAACAAAAACTTTTTTGCTTATTATCCCTGGCATTCACTTACTCTTCCCTTCAGAAACTGAGAATACTGGTAAGGCTGAGGGAACTGCACAGGCTATGCTAATATGCTACTTACCCTGATTGCAGGATAGGAAAAGCCACCCTGTGGTATGTCACTAGTGAATATATCCTGTCTCTCTTCTTCTTTATTCCTCCACCCTTTAGGACTTAGTTGATCAAAGGGAGAGTCTCAAGAAAGCCACATAGGAAATTCATTCATAAAGGAAGCAAGGTCCAGTAAATTCATAGAATAGTTAACTAATCATCTCCAGTGAAATTAAATTTAAATGAAGAAAGGTTAAAAGCCATTTCTGTTTTTTATTGTTTCTGAGATTTTAAAATATAATATTTTGTGTTTGCTAAAGTTTACCCTAAAACTAGTATTTTTTATTTTTGAATTTTTATGAGTTTATTTGAACCAAACTGACAACATATGACAAGGAGTAAGATCTCAATTGCTCCCTAAAACTAGTATTTTTTAAGTCATTCATTATACTCATATATCACATAGAAACTAAAAACCTATCTCTGATTAACTTTTATCTTATTTTAGTTACCTTGTACCTTCACAGAATTTAGTTACTGACTAGATAAATTTCTATACCAACCTATGATAAGTTAATATTTTTCCTCATTGGTATTTTTTATTGCAGTATTTAGAGAACTATAGGAAGAATTTATCAAAAAGCTTAATGTTTAACTTGTTTAAACATCAAAGAGCAAAGCTTTGGCTGAATGGAGCTTTTACAACTTAATATTTGAGATTTCAGCAAATCATCATCCAAATTAGGATAGATAATAACCCTAAATGAGATACTTAAATAGTCATTTATAGTGTCAGCTCTATGATTAGGACCTCTCCTGTTTTTTGGCTCTAATGGCTCAGTGCTCAGCTCAAAATAGGTGCTCAATATATTTGTTGAAAAATATAATTTTTCTTTTAGAATTTGTACTAGACAAGTACATGTTTGGGTTAATATCTTATTTCTAATAATTAAAAAAAAATCTTTATTGTTGCGATTATTAACTATGTCCCAGCCCTTTTTTACCCCCATTGCTTCCCTCCACATGGTTCCCACCCCACCCCAGGCCTTCACCACCCTATTGCCTGTGTCCATAGGTTATATATGTATACATATAAGTTCTTGGTTAATCTTCCCGCTCCCCTCCCCCCTCCCTCTGAGATTCTTCAGTCTATTCCATGTTTCCATTCCTCTGGTTCTATTTTTTAAAAAATATTTTAAAAAATACATTTTATTGATTTTTTACAGAGAGGAAGGGAAGGGAGAGAGATAGTTAGAAACATGGATGAGAGAGAAACATCCATCAGCTGCCTCCTACACACTTCTTACTGGGGATGTGCCCACAACCAAGGTACATGCCCTTGACTGGAATCGAACCTGGGGCCCTTAGTCCTCAGGCTGACACTCTATCCACTGAGCCAAATCGGTTTTGGCTGGTTCTATTTTTTAATCCTCATCTGAGGATATTTTTCCCATTGATTTTTAAAGAGAGTGGTAGGAGAGGGAGAGACAGAGAGAAATGCCAATGTGAGAGTGACATTGGTTGCCTCTGGCATGCTCCCCCGACCTGCAACCAAGGTACGTGCCCTTGACCACAGTCAAACCTGGGACTCTTCAGTCCGAAGGCTAATGCTTTAACTACTGAGCCAAGACAGCTAGGGCTGGTTCTGTGTTATTCATTCGTTTATTTTCTTCTTCAGATTCCTTGTTCATTTGTTTTTGATTTTTAGATTCAATTGTTGATAGATATGACTTAGCTGAGTAGAAGGAGAGGGTGGCCTAGGACACATCTAGGTCATGTGAATATTTAATCATGGATGGACAGTCAGATGTTGAAGCACATAAGAGAGAACCTGACTTTTATATCTGTTTTCTCAGTAACCTGCCAAAAAAGTGAGGCTGGTGATTGGAGTGTAGAGAATTGAGTAATTGGAGTGGGAGGGTGGGGGAGTAGAGTTCTATGGTGAAAAAAACACATCTGTCATATCTCTTATGAGGTTTAAAGAGACTGTGTGATTCATAAAATAATTTTAGTCTTTTTAGTTTCTTACATTTGAATAACATTTTATCTTTGTAGTTGAATTATCTTAATTGAGACCAGTTAAGTAATGTGCAGTTCAAGTACCTGTAGTTTTCAGACATACATTTTTGGTACATCTTTGGCCCATGGCTCATGCTCTGAGAGTAGCATAAAATATTTGGAACCAAGATTGCATTGGAGCTCTGGAGTTTTGCTCAGTGGTTAGAGTGTTGGCATGTGGATCAAAGGGTTGAGGGTTTAATTTCTGGTCAAGGGCACATACCTGGATTATAGGTTCAATTGATGTGTCTCTCTCATATTGATGTTTTTCTCTCTCTTCCTCTCTCCCTTTTACTTTCTCTAAAAATCAAAGGAAAACATTTTCTCGAGTGAGGATTAACAACACCAAAAAAAAAAAAAAGATTGCAATGGAAAATAATGATTATAGTAGAGGTATTAATATAAAACTATAGTTTTCAGTTTAAAAGATATAACTCAACTCAGTATATTATTCCTTAAAGGAAATAGAATTTATCAAATGATTTTCAGAGAAATCCAGAAATTCCCCACTGTTCCATTTGCTTTATAAATCTCTTAGCTAAGGTAATGGATTAATTAATATAAGAGGGCTCAGAGTAGATTATTTCACTTTGTATACATGTAAAAATATGGTATTAATCAGTGAATTTGATTTCTTTGTAGGAACATACATTGATAGGTTCAGCAAATTCCCAAGATATCCAGCTGTGTGGCATGGGAATTCTTCCTGAACACTGTATTATAGACATCACACCAGAAGGCCAGGTTATCCTGACTCCTCAAAGGAACACCAGGTAATGTACTTGAATTAGTGTTAACGTCACAATAATTTTTAAGAGGAAGAAACTACACCAGTTGCAGGCTATTTAGCCTTGGTTTGCTTTTAAGTTCACTTAATGAAGATATCCAGTAATATTGTAGGTGGTAGGAAGGGCATCAGGAGTTACACCAGACCTGAGTTCAGCAACCTTAGTACTTGAGTTCTGGCTAGGAAAGAATTCACAGCCAAGACTCAAACTATAAGAAAACATTTATTTGGAAAATCAGAGGTAGAAGAAGTAATTCATAAAGGAAATGGGCTTAGGAAGTGAGTTTTAGAGGCAAAGGAAGAGCTCTAGGAACTTGGGTGTAAGAAGGGTAATGGTAACACACTTGGGGAAGTGGGAGGGGGAGGAGCAGGGGAGGACGAAGGGAAAGGCAAAGGCATGGGCGGGCTCAGGAGAGGGAGAGCAGCGAGGTCCTCTCTTCTAAGGTTTTAAGGGTGGAGATTATAGGGGAAGTTCTAGGGGAAGATCTCAATAGGATATTCAGCAGCTTTCCAAGTGTGTCCTTTCAGGGTTGAGGTCTCCATTGATTGATTGCTTGGTACCAGGGCAGGGGGTCATTATTCAGTGCATCTGGTCCTGAGGTCAGCCTTGATTGTGGTGTTGCTTATCTGGTTTTGCTGCTTTTCTGGGCCAGTAGTTGAAATAAAACTGAGGTCTTGATGTCATCTCTAGGGAGGAAAGGTCAGGGGGTACAAACTGCATGACCAGGGATATGCTAGGGGAGTGGTTGGCAAACTGCAGCTCACGAGCCACATGTGACTCACAAGCCGAAGTTTGGGGCTCTGTTGACTAATGAGTTTGCTGACCACTGCGTAAGGTATTACCTTTACCCAGAAGTTTTGACTTCAGGTTAAAGACATTAGTACATTATTAAAATGTTTTTTAAGTGTTTTTCCCTAAGGCAGTGGTTGGCAAACTCATTAGTCAACAGAGCAGCAAACCTCGGCTCACGAACCACAGTTTGCCAACCACTGTGCTAGGGGACAAAAGGCCACCCTGGGAACCGGGTCCCACCCTACAATTGTCCTTTGCTAGGCTTTCCATCCTGTACCTAGCCTATTATCTTTGTTCTGCTCATGTCTGTCTACTAGTAACTGCCTCCCACAGTTAGTTACCAAATTCTTTGTTAACTTTTTAATCTCTCTTAAACCCATTTTTTCCTCTATGCCCACTACCGCAGCTTATTTAAATAAGGCCCTTATCAGATCTTGACTAGAACCCCTGCCAGTACCCTAATCTTTTTTTCTGCTCTACCCACTGTATAGCCAGGTGACTTTCTACTATTTTTAATACAAAATTCCTTACATCCCTCCTATTTTTCTCCTATTCTTCTGCCTCTGCAATTTCTTAGGTCAACTAACTTATAAAGTTCTGTTATTATCTACTTTGGGAAACTCCCTGTTTGGTCTAAATTAAGGGCCCCTATAATGTATTCCCAGTGTACCTTATGTTTCTGTGTTGTATTCTTAAGGGCTGTTAATCTTTATTACCCCATTGGACTGAGAACTCTTTGAAGACAAGGACCTTTCCTTTTTTTATTCTCTATCTTTAGCATGTAACATAAGACTAGTGAGTAAGTGCTCAGTAAGTAATGAATGAATGAAGAGGCATACCATTATTAAATTAAATGTCAGTTTGTTTTCTTAGCTATGAAACTGTTAACTAACTTGTTATATAACTGTCTAACTTATAGGTGACTAGAGGCCCAGTGCATAGAATTCATGCACTGGGAGGGGGCATGGCCTATGGGGATCAGTCCACTGTGGAAACTCCACTCATCCCAGTCAGCTGAACAGCCTCCCACTGTGGGAGTGCACTGACAGGGGCAGCTTCTGCATTGAGCATCTGCACCCTGGTGGTCAGTGTGTGTCATAGTGACTGGGTGACTGGTTGTTCTGGTCATTCAGTCACTGGCCTTTTATTATATAGGATGATGAACTGACTTATATTAATCTTCTGAATTTTGATCTATTTCATCATGTGATATTAAAAAAATCACTAATATCATCATGAATTTCATCTCAAAAGTCTCTCTATTGGGAAGCTATCAAGCTCATGCTGAAGGATATAGTTGAGAAAGGAAAAGAAAGAACAAGCCTGGCTGGCATGGCTCAGTGGTTGTGCATTGACCCATGAACCAGGTCACAGTTCGATTCACAGTCAGGGCACATGCCTGGGTTGTGAGCTTGATCCCCAGTGTGGGGCATGCAGGAGGCAGTCTATCAATGATTCTTTCTTCATCATTGATGTTTTTGTCTCTCCCTTTCTCTCTGAAGTCAATAAAAGTATATTAAAAAAAGAGCAGAAACTGGCCTGGCACTCCCAGCTCTAGGGCATGTTATTTTCCTATTAAATAATCGTACAGAATACACCCTCAGGCAAGATCATTCTCTGTGATAATAAAGTAAGACAAAGCAGGCCACATAATAATTTTGTTTTAGTGCAAACAAAAGACAAGGTCACTGTGCCACACACAAAATAACAAACATCTCCTCTTGGCTAATGTGAGCCACTCCTTCACTCATTACAACTTTCTCCTTATTCTAGTCTCCCCTATATAGGTAAGATTTCTAAAAAATAGCTCATCATGCCGAAACTGGTTTGGCTCAGTGGTAGAGTGTACTGAAAAGTCCCAGGTTCGATTCCGGTCAAGGGCATGTACATTGGTTGCGGGCACATCCCCGGTAGGGGGTGTGCAAGAGGCAGCTGGTCGATGTTTCTCTCTTATCGATGTTTCTAACTCTCTATCTCTCTCCCTTCCTCTCTGTAAGAAATCAATAAAATATATTAAAAAACAAAACAAACAAAATAGCTCATCATAGAATTTACTCCTGCTTTCTGACAGCATCCCATGAATAGAGAACCCCCACTCCCTTACACCCACTCCCAGATCATCCAGCTAAAGCCCCAATCTTGCAACAGGTCCTCAACACCCTCTTACTGATGCCCCCGGCTTCCTAAGGCATGTTTTTTCCCTTTGCATGAGTAATAAACCCAACTTGTTCAACTATAGGAATATCCCTGTGGTCTGTAGTTGCAGGACGTTGACACAAGTTTTCCAAAACTCACTTGAGAGCTTGAACTTCACAATTGGCAACAAGTATTGTCAGTTATTTTCCTCAAAGTGAAAGGCTGGCTTTGTTTATTTTCAAGAAAATGTCTGACAAAAGACCACTTTATATATGTCTTTGCCTCAGACAGTCATCATACTTTGGAATGCATTAAAGCAGTGCTTTTTGTATACTTCTCATTTTGTCATCTATGTTTAAAAAGTTGTGTACTCAAGAGTCAAGATTTCATACAAGCCAAAATTTTTACTGCTTTGTTAAGAACATTCACAAACAAACATTTCTTTATGTTTTAAAATATATTTTTAATTCTTTATTGTTTAAAGGGGGACATATGTTCCTTTTCCCCCTTCCCCCATTGACCTCTCCTCAGCCACTCACCCCCCAGCACATGCCCTCACCCCCCTACTGTCTGTGTCCATTGGTTATGCTTATATGTGTGCATACAGATCCTTTGGTTGATCTCTTACCCCCCTCTGCCCTGCACCCTTCCCTGCCTTCCCTCTGAGGTTTGACAGTCCGTTCAATGCTTCTATATCTCTGGATCTATTATGTTGTTCATTATATTCCACAAATGAGTGAGATCCTGTGATATTTATCTTTCTCCAACTGGCTTACTTTGCTTAGCATAATGATCTCTAGGTCCATCCATACTGTTGCGAATGGTAAGAGTTCTTTCTTTTTTACAACAGCATAGTGTTCTATTGTGTAGATATATCACAATTTTTTAACGTGCTGGCTGGACTGCTGTAGCTTTAAGAAATAAGCCTACCTATGCCCTGGCTGGTGTGACTCAGTTGGCTGGGTATAGTCCTATGTACTGAAGGGTTGCTGGTTCAATTCCTGATTCATGGCACATGCCTGGGTTTCCCGCTAGATCCTCAGTAAGGGACATGCAGGAGGCAGCCAATCAATGATCCTCTTTCATCATTAATGTTTCTTTCTCTTCCTTTCTCTTCCTCTCTGAAATCAATAAAAAAATATTTTTTCAGAAAAGAGAAACAACCACAAATCTGATTCAAAAACAAACAAAATCTAGCAGTATAATGCCAGCAAAATGCTTTGGGAATTTAAAGAAAGCAAGGTACTATAGGCTGGATGGCAGCCTTTCGTGGGAAGTATAAACCAAACGGCTTTTGAGGGTTGAATAAGATTTGGAGGAATGGAGAAGAATGGGAACCCTATTTCAGTGTGTAGAATGGGTATAAATCTGGCTTTGGAGGAAGAGTCAGCCATGTTTAGTGGACCGAATCTAAGGTTTTGTTTGTTTGTTTGTTTGTTTTCTGTTGATAGTTCACTAGAAGAGGGAAAGGAGGAGATAAAGAGGGCTTCCTTTAACGTTAAGGTAAAGAACTTGACCTTTAGCCCTAGCTGTCTTGGCTGGGTGGATGGAATGTCATCCTGCAGACTGAAGTGTGGCAGGTTCAATTCTGGTCAAGGCCACATGCCTAGTAGGGGTATCTTTCTCTCCCTCTCCCTTCCTGACTGATATCAATATATTTTTAAAAAAGAACTTGACTTTTACCCTATATCTAAGCAAATGAGTTATTCAGCAGGAGAGAGGCATGATGACACTGGTATTACAGAATACCAATTTTATAGCGGTATGCATAATTTTCTATTTACTTCCTGGCCTCTCCAAATTCTTCATTTAATATTCTTCTACCCATTTCTTCTGTTTAACTCCATTGTCAAGGTAAACAGTTAGGTGGACTTGACAAATCTTCACTGTATTGACAGGATATGAACATTTTTCTATGCTATCGTCAGTTATAGAAGAATTTAACATTGCTCTCATTTCTTATTACTGATACCTATAGCTACTTCTAGCGTCTCCTCGGTTGACTGGCTTCTTTTTTATTTACGAGATTGGACATACTTATTTCAATTGCTACATTATTTTCCTATTTTTGGCTGTAACATTATATAACAAATTTAGAACTTTGAAAAACAGAGGATAATTATTGTACTAGTACCATAAGCATTTTAGGTAAATTAGCAAAAGAGTAGATATAAATAATAAAATTCACCAATGGCAGGTTTTATTTTGGAAAACTGATTAATTCATTTTTTCTATTGTAGTAACCAGATCTCTGTGATCCTGGAAAATAAAAGGAGAAAATGTGATAATTGTTGTTTATATGTTTGACCTCTTCTCCCCACAGAACATTTGTAAATGGCTCTTCCGTGTCCAGTCCTATACAGCTACACCATGGGGACAGGATATTATGGGGAAACAACCACTTCTTCAGGTATGACATTATTCATGGTTCTTAAAAAGGATTATTGAAATCTGTACTCTGAAATAGAAGAATATATATTGAAAAGTGAATATAACTCCATAAACATGATATATTTTAGTGTATAATATTTACTTATTTTCTAAAGGTGTATTTATATACTATATTCATAGTAGGGCAAAAGTAGGTGTACTGTTGTTCTTATGGAAAATAATATAATAAATAATAATACAAAAATAAACGGTTTGTAGTAACAGCTATAAACCTACTTTTGCCCCAGCTGTATAGGTGTTTGCTTGTAGCCCAAGAAACATATGAACCATACACTCAGGAAAAAATGGTTTACTTACAGATTTTTTTCCTTTTTATTTCTCAGTGGAAAATGATTGTTTTCCCATCTGCTATAAAAATACATTAATTTTTTTTCTGACATGCTTATCTTTTTTGTTGTTTATTAAAAATTTTTAAAAATATGTATTTTATTGATTTTTTACATAGAAGAAGGGAGAGGGATAGAGAGTTAGAAACATAGATGAAAGAGAAACATAAATTCAGCTGCCTCCTGCACACTTCTTACTGGGGATGTGCCCACAACCAAGGTACATGCCCTTGACTGGAATCGAACCTTAGCCCCTCAGTCCGCAGGCCGATGCTCTATTCACTGAGCCAAATCGGTTAGGGCTGTTTATTAAAAATTTTATAAATAGGGATTGTATTACTTTTAGCTGCAATAGCAGCAAACTTGACTGTAGTGACTAAAATAGATAGTTTATTTCTTTGACAAAACAGAAAGTCCAAAGGAAAATGGCTGTTGGCATTGGCTAAGCCCTCTAAAATGTCATGGCAGAAGTCTTGTCATCGTCTTAACATTTTTCATGGTCTAAAGATGGCCACACCATTCCAAAAGTCTTTTCCGAGTGCCCAGCAACCTTCCACGTAGGTTTCATTTGCTGGAATTTGCTTCTTGGCTGAGAGAGAGGCTGGCTGTGTGCAGACCTGGGACTGCACACATTGTTTCTCATACAAAACTGGTTTTCTGTTGGCAAGAAAGAGCAGCTAGATATTGTATGAAATTAAAACCCCATCTGTTTCGCTTCCTGTAACTGGTCAGTGTGTTTCAAATATCAAACTGACTTTTCCTATCATTCATGAAGATCCTTTGCTTGTAGGCCAGATGATATTTTGATTATTGAAGAAAGGGTAGAGGGGTACAAAGTGTGTGGAAATATAGTTATTTTTTTCTCAAATTAAATCAAATATAAATTGCTTGGCTTAGTATTCAAAGCCTCCATACTTTGGTTAATTTTATCTTTTCAGAGTTTATTCTTCACAACTAATAATATACAAATTTTGTGTATCCCTATGTTGTTTCATTCATAACTTCTTCTAGCTTGTAATAGCTGTGTGGCATTGTATCATATCTCTTTTGTTATTATTTGCATTAATATGTGTGTTTTCTTTCTACTACTTGAATATAAACTGAGTAATCACCTTATATTAAAATGGTATCACCTCTAGCAAATGCCAGTGTGCAAAGGGCTACTAAATGAAATGATGTGGGTATCTTTATTTTGAGAGTGATCTGTTTTCCCCCAGATTGAATTTGCCTAAAAAGAAAAAGAAAGTAGATCGAGAGGATGAGGAACAAGATACCTCCATGAAGAATGATACCAGTTCTGAGCAGCTAGATGTAGATGGCGACTCCTCCAGCGAAGTATCCAGTGAAATCAACTTCAACTATGAATATGCACAGATGGAAGTTACCATGAAGGCTCTGGCTAATAATGGTGAGCAGATCTGTTGTGCATTTTAGAATCTATTTTTAGATTGAGTTAATTTTTTTTACTTAAGTAGAGTTGGTATACTATCTTATATTGGTTATATTAGTTTCTGGTGTACAATATGGTGATTCAACATTTTTACACGTTACAGTGTGAACATCCCCTAATTCTAGTCACCACGTAAACTTATCACAGTATTATTGACTATATTCCCCTTCCTCTTTTCACTCATCCTCCCTCTTTTTTCTGGTAATTATTTCTTTGTTCTCAGTGTTGTTTTTTTTTAAAGTTGTTGGAGAGTTAAAAATGTTTACAACTGAGATGCTTTAAATGTTAAAAAGGAATTCTTTAGTTGTTCTCCTTATGCTATCCATTTTTGTCTTTGGTTTTAATTTATTATACAATATTTATAAAAACTTGCATTCTTTCTGCCTTGATCTACAAAACTCTGCAAACTATGTTCTCATTGATAGAATTTCTGAGGTTTGAAGCTTGATTATCACTGGCTCATTACTGTAGTGGATTTCTGGAGCATTAAACAGTCTCTTAGGTTATGTGTGGAACATGTAGACCTGCTTCTTCTGTAAGGAAGATAGACAGAACAGAAGATAAGTAATTGAGAGCAAGGAAAGCTAAGTTTATTCCAAACCCTTTTTTAAAATCTTATTTTTATTAGGATGACAAACAACAATCCTATATAATAAAAGTCTAATATGCAAATTGTCCCCTTGGCTGTCATTTAATTGGGAATTTGACTGGGAGACCAGGAGTTTGACCACTCACTATGACATGCGCTGACCACCAGAGGGCTGTGCAGAACAGGGTGGGCGTCAGTGACTCGCTGTGACCTCTCACCGGCTACCCCAGGGGCAGGGGTGACGGGGATGGAGATGTGGTGAAAATGTGGGTGTCCACCAAGCTCACTCTCACTCCCCCTGCTCCCCTCCACTGGGATGCCAGGGCTCGTGTACTGGGAAAGCCCCCGTGCTCAGGAGCTGGGTGCCCGCCAGGAGCCTGCCCCACACCTGTGCAGCCTCTTCTGGCTGAGCTGGGCTGCAGCCAGCCGAACTGCAGGGGCCAGTCGGGCTCCCCATGGGTTCGTGCAGGAGCTGGTCTGCTAGACTGACCAGGAAAGAGCACGCTGCTCACCCTGCTTTTTTGCGCCCAGAGGCCACACTGCACTCAGACCGTGGCATCCGGATCTTTGCATGGGGACTCAAGTGCTGTGACTCAGGTGGAGGGGGGCACGTGGGGGCCCAGGGACCCAGGTGCTGCCCAGCGGTCAGCTGGACCTGTCCTTCCACACCAGATGGTCACACTTAGATCGCCGCAAGGACTAGGGACCGCATCCATGTGTGAATTTCATGCACTGGTCCTTGAGTATAGAATAGTACTTGAAATAGATTGTGTTGTATAGTTTACCTTTTATTCATTATTTACTTTTTAAAAAATCACGTTTAGATCCAATGCAGTCAATACTGAACAGTGTAGAACAACAGCATGAAGAAGAAAAACGATCTGCATTAGAGCGCCAGAGACTTATGTATGAACATGAATTGGAGCAGCTACGAAGAAGGCTGTCTCCTGAGAAACAAAACTGTCGCAGCTCGGACAGGTTTTCTTTCCAGTCCCCCAGCGCTCAGCAGCGATTGAGACAGTGGGCTGAAGAGAGGTAGGTGGTGCCTCGGGCCTTCATTGTATGCATATAATACCTAGGTTAAGATACCACATGGAAACATAGATATTACTTTAGAAAGAATCATATTAGAAGAGAGTGGCACAGCTAAGAACCACTTGACATTATCTTGTTATTCTTTCATTTTTGGAAGAAAAAAAGGGAAATTGTCAATTTATATTGACTTATTTAAAGCTGCCCATGTTTGGTGCTGCCCTATTTTTAGTTTGTATGGCTTTTGGATGTAAATAAACAAGTATTTGTGTTTAGGAATTACACTCTAATATTGTATTATACTTTAGGTTCTGGAGCTTGGGTAGATGCTTTTTAAAAAAAGGAAAAAAAAAAAAGAAAGGTGGTTATCTGGACTGATTAGCTCAGGTAGGTAAAGCATGGTGCTAATGAGATTCAGATTGCAAGTTTGATCTCTATACTGGCTAATTAGTGTTGCTCTAAAATGTCTTATTCGTGGTTACAGACTGTACTTAACTAACCTCTTGCTATCCAGTGTTTGGTCTGCAGACAGGCAACATCTCTGTCACCTAGAGATGGATAGAAATAGGGCATTTCAGGCCCCTCCACAGACCTACTGAGTCAACATCTTCAGTTTATCAAGATCCTTGGTTGATTTATACACAGTCAAGTTTTGGAAGCAGTGCCCTATCCTAGGGCCTGTGTGTTACACGAGAGAGAGCCAGTGCTTATAACATAGCCCAGATACAAGCGCATGCATGGGTCGGTGTCAGTGATATATTCCCTGTGTGCGAAAGACAGTTGTAAAGCTTGGTTGGCAGTTTGGCATTAACATGTCATGCACTGTATAATATTCTCATGTGCTGCTTGTTGGTTATCTCTCCCTCCCTCTATTTTTTTTAAAGAGAAGCAACACTGAATAACAGCCTGATGAGGCTAAGGGAACAAATTGTTAAAGCCAATCTGTTGGTGAGAGAAGCTAATTACATTGCAGAAGAACTGGATAAAAGAACAGAGTATAAAGTAACCCTACAGATTCTAGCCTCCAGCCTCGATGCCAACAGGAAGGTGAGGTAGCCATTAATGGAAAAAATAGATATTGTTGAATAAAGCTGCTTTATATTTCACTCGTGTTTATTTAAATACCAGTGTGTTTGGCCTCATCCCTATCTTTACCTCCACAATCCAGATCTTTTTACACTTGTCCTCCTCTGTTTTTTGTTAGAACTTTATTTTGCTTGTTGGTATTTGTAGGACAAACCATGGGTGCAGTTGTAATTCACAGATTAAAAAAAAAATGTGTGTGTGTGTGTGTGTGTGTGTGTGTGTGTGTGTGTGTATATAAAAAAGCCTAAGTGACCGAATGACTGGCCAACCAGTTGCTATAATGCTATGATACACACTGACCACCAGGGGACAGATTCTCAATGCATAGGATCAGGGATCAGGCTGCTTCCTATTTGGATCGGGCCCTTCTGTCTTCTGTCTGGATTGGGCCTGCGGGGATCAGGTCCAAACAGGCTATCCAACATCCCCCGAGGGGTCCCGGATTGTGAGAGGGCACAGACCAGATTGAGTAACCCCATCAGTGCATGAATTTGTGCACCGGGCCTCTAGTTATTAATAAATGGATACCAATCCCCTCTATTATTTATTTAATAGATTAGCATTTTCAGATTTCAGCTAGAAAGAGGAATTGAACAAGGAAGTATTTCTTAAGGAGATAGTCTCCCTAGGCTGGGTCTTGCATGTTTTTATCCAACAAACCTTTTTTGTACTTGAAAATTCTTAAAAAATAAATAAATAAATAAATAAATAAATAAATAAATAAATATATATATATATATATATATATATATATATAAATTTTTTTACATAGAGGAAGAGAGAGGGACAGAGTTAGAAACACTGATGAGAGAGAAACATCAATCAGCTGCCTCCTGCATACCTCCCACTGGGGATGTGCCCGCAACCAAGGTACATGCTCTTGACCGGAATTGAACCTGGGACCTTTCAGTCTGTAGACCGATGCTCTATCCACTGAGCCAAACCGGTCAGGGCTGGACTTGAAAATTTTTTATTTTATTTAATGTCCTGTTCATGCTATGATGCTGTTTTTTTCTAATCTTTACTCCTGTTTTTTTGTTTTTGTTTTTTAAAATATATTTTATTGATTTTTTACAGAGAGGAAATGAGAGGGATAGAGAGCTAGAAACATTGATGAGAGAGAAACATTGACCAGCTGCCTCCTGCACACCCCCTACCGGGGATGTGCCAGCAACCAAGGTACATGCCCTTGACCAGAATCGAAGCTGGGATCTTTCAGTCCGCAGACCAACGCTCTGTCCACTGAGCCAAAACGGTTTCGGCTTACTCCTGGTTTTGTACCCACCAATGTATGGCTATTTTTGGTAAGGGACAGAAATTTCTTCTTTTTCTTTTTCCAGTCCCTGTCATAGTTATTTGCATCAGGACTATGTCATGATGCATATTGCTCATTGCCATTTAGTCCCAGTTCTGCTATTGTTGTCCTGAAAAACTACTCCCTACAAATCACCAGTGAAACTTTTGTATTTATTCCCAACCCAGCTGAATAAAGGTGAAAGCGCCTTTACTGAAGGTGAGAGAAGGGTGATTTTTTACCTTCAGATTTTTAAAATCTTTGTTTTATTATGTAACTTCTCTTGTTTTTATTTATTTTTTTATTTTTGAAATGATTATAGGCAAGATGTTGAGCACTATTGGTGTATTTCATAATTCTCCAAAGTTCTAAGTAGACATACAGAAAAGTTGATAAATTTATCTAATAAATCTAAATTTGATTAGATAATTGACATTAGATAAATTGATATCTCTGGGACAGAGGAACAGGGGCATTTTGTTTCTACTTTGTTGTTTTAGAAAGTTTAAATATTTTTCTACATTAAAAACACATTGTTTTTATAAGCTGGAAAAATTTTAATGAAATTTTTTTTTAGGTGAAATTCACATAACAACCATTTTAAAGTGAATAAATCTGTGGCATTTAGTGCATTCACAATACTGTGCAACTAGCATCTCTGTCTTGTTCTATACTGTTTTAGTTTTAAATGTAAACTATATATATTTAGAAATTGATATAATTTATTGCCTTTAAATGGGTAAATAAGATACTTTTTAGTTTACTCTTGTAAACATTTTGTGTTTTGTATGATGTTACCCGTTCAGAAAAGATGTTACCCATTCAGAAAAATTTAAACTTTTGGAAAGTGAGAGATACTTTCTTAACCATCCCTCCCAGAAAAACATCCCCTGCCATTCAATATTTATGACTCTTCTTCTACCCACTGATATTCAGTGGTCATATGATGGCCCAAATAAAACATTTTTACTCCCATTACACATGGTCTTGTCTTTTGTGTTTTAAATTTACATTTATATCTGACTGCAATATTTTAATTTTAGTTGCACTAAAATTATAAAAAGGCACTATATTAAGCTTTGAGATTTCTGGGAAGCTCTGCAATGAATTGAATAACGAATGAGAGCTGTTTCAGTTTGGTTGATGACACTTGACTGATAGGTATAGAATGTTCAGAGTGAACTTTCATTACGGATACCTTTGTGTCTTAGTCACTCTCCCTGTCTTTGCAGCGAGGCTCTCTTCTTAGCGAACCTGCAATCCAGGTGAGAAGAAAAGGAAAAGGAAAGCAGACTTGGTCCTTGGAAAAATTGGACAACAGGCTTTTGGACATGAGAGACCTTTATCAGGAGTGGAAGGAGTGTGAAGAAGATACTCCAGTAAGTTATTTGAGAAAAATTACTTAGCTCGTACTCAGAGAAGGAACCAAGCATTTTGGAATGAGCCTACCCATTTTAGGGGAAAATTGTTCATTTTTCCAAAATAGTAAGCTTATTTATTGGATATTTATTTTAATCCTCTAAGTTGTTTAGTTGACCAAAAATTTTAATAACCCATTGTCCTGGCATCTTCTTTTTTTCTCTTCCTCATTTTGTATCCTCTGGATTTCTGGTAGAATTTTTTATGTTCCATACTCACTTCTGTAGGTGTTACTGTTTCCGTCTCCTGGACTGCACTGTGAATTTATATAGTACAGAGACCATGTTCTTTTCCTTTCTCAACACTTTAACTCTGTAGGTAATACTCCTACAATATTTGTTTTGTTAACTGAACATCAGTGATACCTTAATACTATTAGGAACATATTTTGAAGGTGTCTTGACCTTAAGTAGGTGCCATAGATATGGAATCTGGTACCATCCCCTCAAGTTGCCAGTTTTCTCATTAAGGCCAGCTGTATACTGTACATATTTAAAAGAGAAAGATGTATTGAGCATATTTTTACATATTTTCAAAACTCCTGTGTTTGCATAGAGTTGTTTTATTCCTTAGCTTCTTGTTTTTCAAAAGGTATTATTTTTCCAAATTGTCATCAATAAAAATGAATTTTTACTTTGCTCAATGCACGAAATTCGTGCAAGAGTAGGCCTTCCTTCCCCCAGCTGCGAGTACTGGCTTCCCTCTGGCATCCAGGACCTGGGCTTCTCTCCTAGCCCTGACTTTGTCCAGAAGGATGTCTGGTCTAATAGCATATTATGCTTTTATTATTATAGATGTTTTTCTTAAAATACATTTTTGTTTTCTTGTGTGTTCCTCTCCTATTTCAACATAGAAATAAAACAACATTAGCAGCAAATACAAAAAGACCCACCACACCACTCTTCTGTAATGGGTCACTTCTCATTATTAGCAACATATCTTATATTCATTTTTTTTTTTTTAATATATTTTATTGATTTTTTACAGAGAGGAAGGGAGAGAGATAAAGAGCCAGAAACATCGATGAGAGAGAATCATCAATCAGCTGCCTCCTGCACATCCCTTACTGGGGATGTGCCCACAACCAAGATACATGCCCTTGATCGGAATCAAACCCGTGACCCTTCAGTCTGCAGGCTAACGCTCTATCTATTGAGCCAAACTGGTTACGGCAATACCTTATATTCTTGTAGGAACAAGTAGAATAGATATGAATGAAAAATGGAAGAGTTCTCCTATACATTTTATTTCTTTTTGTAGTCAGTGTATGTCTTCTATGTTTTCATGGCAAGATTTCCAGGTAAAGGAGAAGGAATGATAAAAATAATGACATAGTCACAGGGATGTAAATTATAGCATAAGGAATATAGTTAATAATACTGTGTATGGTATTAGATGGGTACTAGAGTGATTGGAGTGATCACTTCATAAGGTACATAAGGTACACTATGCTATATACCTAAAACTAATAGTATTGTATGTCAATTGTTGTTAAAAAATAAATTTTTAAAATTAAAAAAGAAAGAAAAGTTATGGGGATTGCAATATGGGGATTGCCCTCTCAAGGGTGAAGAATGCTGATCATTTATTCTAAAATAGGAATGGGGAGAGGAGAGAGTAAGCACAATACAGTGCTATACTTCAGCTGAGTTTAATGACTTATTAGAGTGCATTAAAAGTGGTGGGTTGAATTCATTTTATTTTAGTAGATTTTCTGAGGTTGTATGTTCTGAATCTTTTTGAAGGTAATACGATCTTACTTCAAACGTGCTGATCCATTCTATGATGAGCAGGAAAATCACAGTCTCATTGGGGTGGCGAATGTCTTCCTTGAGTCCCTCTTCTACGATGTGAAGTTACAATATGCTGTACCAATTGTCAACCAGAAAGGAGAGGTTAGTGTCATATGCATGCCTTTATCCTGCAGAGAATGGTTCACTGAACAGTAGAGTATTGATAATATATAGTTACATTTTTTTGTCAATAATAACAAGCAATACCTGTGTTTTTATACTGCCTTATGATGATTATTCCAAGTACTTTGGAAAAAAGGAACTATTAGAAGCTAGGCTTCTAAATTCTCATTTACCAGTAACCTAACCACTTGACTTTAAAGCAGAAGAAATAACAAACTCTGGAAAAAGGACCTGCTTTTTCCTCATTGTTGCAGGTGGCAGGTCGGCTGCATGTCGAGGTGATGCGGATCAGTGGTGACATTGCGGAAAGGATTGCTGGAGGAGATGATGCTGCAGATACCTCCTTTGATAAGGAGACCCATGAGAACAAACTCACATGCATGGTAAGTCCCCATTTCATTTACAAGTAGGATAAGTGTGATGGATTTTGAGGATTGTAGGTGTTAAATTGAGGATGATAAATATTGTGTTCTTTTTCAAATTTTGAAAATAGCTATAGTGAAGTAAATCTTTAGTATTTAGTATTTTATGATAGAGTAGAGGCCCTTACACATAGGCATGAACTACACAGAGTGGTCCTTGAGAGTTGGAATCCTGTCTTGTTCATCTTTATATCTGTAGTGCCTGGCACAATGTCTGACAGATAACACTCAACACATAGCCCATGAATGGCATGCATGGGAAGAGCAGGAAGAAAAGGACTTGCAATTAGACTCTAATGTTGTGTAACGCTGGTGCTCTGAGGGAGGTAGGCCAGACATTCTGGGACACAGAGGAGAGGTAATTGATTCTGATAGTAAGGTCTGAGGAAATTTTCTGGAAAAATGAGATTCCAAGTGAACTTGAAGGAGAGTGTGCTATGTATAACTCTTACCCCAGAAGTAGTTATGGTATTTTTATGGGCAATTGCTCGGTAGATTTTAGGTAGGTTATCACATTCTTGTCCTCACAGTCAGCAGAGGTAGTCCCACCTCTGTCACTCATGACAATGGGGGGAAAAATCCCTTCAGACATTTCCAAATCTACTCCAGTGGGCCATCCTGCCATTGCTTAAGAATCATAGAGAAAGCAGTTAAAAAGGTTTCTAAGGAAGAGAAATTAGCAAGGGACATTGGAACAGTGTACAAGACCATTCAAATGTGAAGTAGAAAAAGCCTGACCTGAACTCTTCATAATCTATCCTGTGTCCAGTCCTGGGTCTTAGCACATGTTTCTAGGATGGAAGTTGATATTGAAAGTAGGCATTAGCTGTCAAGCATGGGAAGTTGGGCTACTTTCTGTAGATCTTTGTATATATTAAGAAGGCCTCATATGTTTTAAGTCAGTTGCTTCAGGATTAGCAGGAGATTCTTAATTCCCTAAAAAGTTACTCTTTATTGTACTGTACTTGTTTTGCTACCATCTCCTTTAAGGTTATAGGATTATCAAAGATGGAGACATAGGCTTGATGACTCCATATGGCCCATTTTATTTTACTTATTTATTTAAATATATTTTATTAATTTTTTACATTGAGGAAGGGAGAGGGATAGAGAGCTAGAAACATCGATGAGAGAGAAACATCGACCAGCTGCCTCCTGCACACCCCCTAATGGGGATATGCCCACAACCAATGTGCATGTCCTTGACTGGAATCGAACCTGGGATCTTTCAGTTCGCAGACCGACACTCCATCCACTGAGCCAAACTAGTTTCGGCAGTATGGCCCATTTTAAAGGCGATGAACCAGTAAATGCAGCTGTGTGAAAGATCAACTGTGTGAGTTTACCATTAGTAAAGTAACACAAAGGATACTATCTCATTTGGAAAATTTATCTTTATCACTCTTAAGAAGTAGTATGTTCTGGGTAACAAGCTTTTTAAAAAAAACTTAAGTTTAAAAATCTGAAGATTTTTTTTTTTAGTGAAAGATATCAAACATAAAAGTAGTGAGAAAAAGTGTTATTGATCCTCAGTCATCCTCCCTGGACAATTATCAACTCATGGTCAGTCTTGTTCCAATCATACACCTAAGCCACTCCTGCACTGACTCCTTCCTTTGAATTATTTTTAAGCAATTCCAAACATCATATTTCATCCTATATAATAAAAGCTACCAGAGGAGAGGTAATTGAAACTGCTTAATGACTAGCAGATCGATTGGTCGCTTTGATGCACACTGACCACTAGAGGGCAGACACTCAGTGCAGGAGCTGCCTCCAGCCTGCAGGCCCCAACCAGTGGCATGCAGGGGCTGTGTCTGGCGAGCGGGCTGTGCCAGGCCAGCGGGCTGTGCCAGGCCAGCCAAAGTGGTTGCCAGTGGGGGTCCCCAATCACCCTGCCATTCACCTCACAGATTGGACCTGATCATTGGCCAGGCCTAGGAACCCTACCCATGCATAGATTTTTGTGTACCAGGCCTCTAGCCTATAAACAGTTTAGAATCTCCAAAAGAAGAGTACTTGCCCTAGCCAGTTTGGCTCAGTGGATATAGCATCTACCCATGGACTGAGGGCCCAGGTTCCATTCCAGTGAAGGGCACATACCTGCATGGAAGCTTGATCCCAGGTCTTCGTTGGGGCACATATAGGAGGCAGCCAATCAATGTGTCTCTCTCACATGAATGTTTCTCTCTCTCTATCTCTCCCTTTTGCTTCCACTCTCTCTAAAAATCAATGAAAAAATATCCTTAGGGAGGATTAACACAACAACAACAAAAAAGAGTACTTAAAAAGATCAAATAAAACTAAAATATAATAAAAAATGAATGCTTTCTTAAATATCACTAACTGTTCAGTCAGTTTTTTTGATTGTCTTAGTTGACATGTCTCTGAAGTCTGTCTTAATCTTTAGGCTCAGTCACTTGTGGGTATTCTTCCTCTCTGCTTCTTTTTGTCTCTCATTCTTTCTTATCCTACAATTTATTTTAGAAAATGGGCTATTATATTTTCTCAAAGTCTTCATTTTACCAATTGGTATTATTTAACATGTTATGCTGTGTTTTTCATTAATTGCTATGTAGATATACAGACAATGTATAGGGAGAGGAGTAGAGAAGATACTTCATTATTTTTTTTTTTAGAAGGCACATTATGTCTGGTTCTCTTTCAAGGTGGTAAGCGATCATTAGTGTTCATTACCTAGACATTTCATTAGGTATTAGAAAAAAAAATGATGCTATAATTCTATTTTTCCTTCAGTTATTAGCTGGAATACTTCTATAGAGAGAATCTTTCTATTATCAACTATTTTGCTATGGTAAATATCCCAGTTTCTCTCATTACTTAGATTTTCAACATAATAAGGATTTTCCTACTAATATCCAAAAGCAGCCAAGGAAATTTCTTTTTGATTTTAGTTTTAATATCATTATGAACTTTTAGTTTTAAATATATTTGATGTGTCCATTGAAGTTCAGATGATCCCATCTTTGGCCTGTCCTTTGACACAACCTTAACCCTCATAAACTCTGCTAGCTTTCTTGCGTTCAGGTACGATGAATATTCTGGTCTCATCCTGTACATTTCTTCTTCTAGACCTGGAATTAGACATTTCTCCAGGGAACCTGATTCCTTTTAATTGAAAGTGGTATTTAGAGAACATATTATGAGCATATAATAGCCTTTTGTATAAAAGGAGGAAGACAAATAAACTAAGTGATAGCAAACAAAATATTATTAGAAAAAAACAAACCAAACCTGTCTGGGGACACTTTTATTGCATGGGTAAAGTGAGTGTCGCCAGCCCATAAAAAAAGCCTGGGTTTATTTTTCTGGGGTGAAAGAAAGTTTTTACATATTGACATATTGACATTTTCAGTTGCATTAGATACAATTAGTGTATCTTAAAATTCTAAACCACATCAATGTCTTCTGACATTGTTGGACTCCAGTATCTTGAGCAGAGGTGAGCTGATTGAAGTCTGTGGTATCCTGACACCTTGTGGTGACTTTTGGTTTCTGTAGGCAAAAACTAAAACTGTAAAAGAACCCCAAACCTATTTCTGGATATTCCTCATTCTGTTATATCCTGTTGTTCTTCATTCCTGGCAGTCTCATTCCCAAGAAATTGCCTGTAGGGAAAAGTTTAGTGTATAAAACCTTGTTTGCTTATTTATTTTAACCCCAAAACTGAGATTGATATCTAAAAAAAAAAAGCTTTCAGGTGGAATTCAATCACAGGGAGGTACATATTGAACATCTATTCACTCAAAGCCTTTTCATTCATTTCATTTCATTGGTAATGGTCATTCCTCACACTATAATAGTATCATTAGCTAGCTATCCTGTTATACTTAGGAGAAAAACTAAGCCTAAGGAAACTAAAATGTAATTTTAAAAGTAATTTGCTCAAAAACGGAAGCTAATAAGTGGCAGAGATTTTTATTTGGATCTATATACTCCAAAATCTTACAATTTTCCCAAATACCACATTGCCTCAACTTAAAGAATATAATAATCACTTTTAACACTTAATAAAAAAGTGATAGTTTTTAAAATTTAAGGAAAAAGTAATTGCTGAATTCAGATTGCCGTATTTGGTTCTGATGAATGTAATGTATTAGTCAATTCATCTTTCATAGCCTGTCAGGGAATTACCATCTAGATTTTCAAACTCTTGTTGCAGTCACAGGAAAATATGGATAATAACAGGAGTTTCCCTTTACTGCTCAGCCATTATGGACCTGGTATAGAAGAAAATAAAGTCATTTGCCTTGTAAGATTTTATGTGGCATTAAGACTTCCTCAAGTGCTAAGACTATTTTATTTGTGTTTGCTGAACTACATCAACTTCTCACACATATTCAGATCTACTTTTGTTAAATTTATTTACTGGAGATAGAGTACATCCTACAACATGCAAGGAAGAGACCAGGTGAAGAGTAAATAAATGCTTAGTCATATGAAAGTTGGCCTAATCAGTTATAAAATCAGAATTTAATTTCACTTAATTAATTTTAGGATTTAGTTTCCTTCATAATTGGAGGAGTATTAGAATATTACAACTTAACACAAAAACTTCCGCTTAAAAAAATCAATTTGATGCTAGCTGTCAAAAGAAATATTTAGAATATTTGGCTTCTTTAAAATCTGTTATTGGCATTTCTTTAATCTCCACTGTTTACCCCTCCAGATCTCTAAACTTTACATTCATGAGGCCTTTAGAGTTTTCCCCAAAATGCTCTAGTCACATGTAATAGTCTACTTAGAACCTTGTTAAAAAGAAACAAACTTTAAAGTATCAAGTAAATGATTTTTTTGCTTATTGGCACATATACATTCTTCATTATTCTTTATAATTCTGTGTTATTATGATGTATTCATTAACCAAATTTGTATCACAGAATGGTGTTGATGTTTGAGAGCTGCTTCTTTAAAAAAAAAAAAAATTGATTTTTTTTTTCTTACAGAGAGGAAGGGAGAGGGATAGAGAGTCAGAAACATCCATCAGCTGCCTCCTGCACACCCCCTACTGGGGATGTGCCCGCAACAAAGGTACATGCCCTTGACCAGAATCGAACCCGGAATCTTTCAGTCCGCAGGCTGACGCTCTATCCACTGAGCCAAACCGGTTTCGGCGAGAGCTTCTTTCTTTTGAGTTTATTATTGTTAATCCTAGAGGCCCGTACACAAACTTTATGCACGGGGGGCGGGAGTGGCGGGGCGCCTCAGCCCAGCCTGCACCCTCTCCAATCTGGGACCCCTCATGGGATGTCTGACTGCCAATTAAATCAGCATAAAAAAAATCCCTCTCATAATCTGGGACTGCTGGCTCCTAATTGCTCAACTACCTGCCTGCCTGATTGCCCCTAACTACCCTCCCCCTGCCAGGCTAATCACCCCTAACCATTTCTGCCTGCCGGCCTGATTGCTCCTAACTTACCCCCTCTGGTGACCTGGTCATCCTAATTGCCAGCCCCCGCCAGCCTTGTTCCCCCTACTGCCTCCCCCTGCCAGCCTAGTCACCCCCAACTGCCCCCACCCCAGCTAGCCTGATCGCCCCAGGCAGCTTGCTGTTCAGTCATTTGATCATCCCTCATTAACCCCCCTGCCAACCTTGTCACCCCAGGCAGCCTGTGTTTGATCATCTGTCCTATTGTTTTGGTTGTGACAGCCCCTGGCTTTTTATATATTAGGATAGGATGATTATGATGATGTTATAATACATTAGAATTTAAATGTTTTTCATCAGTCTGTAAATGCTTTAAAACATCCAACTTTATAGTCAAGGTTGTTACCTTTGTTACCCTTGTCAACCTCTTGCTAAATATGACTAGGGCAGAAGTACAGTCTAGAATGAATGGGATTTGGTCAACATAAACCAACAGTTAGTGACAGGACTGGAATCCACATCCCTGACTAAGTATTTCTTGAAACTCTTTGAGTTAAAAACTAAAAGAACCTTCCTTTTCTTTCAGGTTAAAATACTCCAAGCCACTGGGTTGCCACAGCATCTGTCCCACTTTGTATTCTGCAAGTACAACTTTTGGGATCAACAGGAGCCAGTAATGGTCGCACCGGAAGTGGACACTTCATCCTCTCCTGTCAGCAAGCAGCCTCAGTGCATGGTTGTCTTTGATCATTGCAAAGTAAGTGTGTCTTCCAGACTTGGTCAACATTTAATTACTCAGATAGACACAAAACAAGAAAATGAACCTTATTAAGTTGAATAATTTGGTACCGATATGTGTCTTAGATCAGAAATTCCTAGAATGGTGCTATATAAAAAATATGATGTGTTATCAGTACATTACACACCTTAGACTTACACAATGCTATATGTCATTTATATCTCAGTAAAGCTGGGGGAAAACCAAAACTAAACCACAGTGTCAATGCAGTTAATTCCTCCATAATCAAAAGTTAACTTTTGTGTGAATACATACACACATACACACTTACATATGTGTGTGTACATGTGTGCTCTTCTCCAAAAAGAATCCAGTTTTTATATTAGACTAGAGGCCCGGTGCACAAAAATTTGTGCACTGGAGGGGGTGCCCCTCAGCCTGTCCTGCTCCCTCTCACAGTCTTGGAGCCCTCACGGGATGTCCTACTGACAGCTAAGCCACAGTTTGGACTCTCTGAGGGAGGTGGCCAGGTTGATCAGGGAAGACATCACCCCCATCATCCTGCTGCTGCTGCTGCTGCTGCTGCTGCCGCCACTGCTGCCACTGCTGCCACTGACAGCTGCAAGAGTTACAAGGCCTGAGCCCCGGGCCTTGCAACCACCAGGGCTCATGGCTGCCTGAGCCCACAGTTGCCGTGAGCGCATGCCTGCCATGAGCCCCGGGACTCTCAGCCTCCAGGGTTCATGGTTGCCTGAGCCCAAGCTGCCTGAGCCCATTCCTGCCATGAGCCCTGCCCTCGCAGCTGCTGGGACTCATGGCTACCTGAGCCCATAGCTGCCGTGAGCCCAGCACCATGCAGCGCTGGCCTCCCTGCCTGTGTCCACTCCAGGGCCGCCCGAGTCGCCGTGCCTGCTTGAGCAGGACCCCCTGCCTCTGTCTCATTTCTGCTCCAGGCCTCATCTGCGCACCCAACCTTCTCTTGTCTGGTTGTGACCCGTTGTGGATTCCCAGCCTTATTTGCAAATTACTTCTTTATATAGAGAAATTACTAGAGGTCCAATGCATGAAATTTGTGCAAGGGCCTACCCTTGCACCCTGGCTGCATCAGCTGCTGCCTCGCAGCCCCGGCCGTGTAGGCTGTCTCTCAGCCCTCACTGCCCTGCCTGCCTCATGGCCCTGTCCCCCTCCACCCACTGGTCATTCCAAAAGGTTGTCTAGATGGCCATTCCACTGTTTGGCCATTCGGTTGTTTTGCATATTACGCTTTTATTATTATAGATTGGAGAAATTATCATCTAAAAAGGCTAAGACACCAGTGTTTTAAAGAAAAGTAAAGACAGAAAAGAGACAAGAACTAACTTTATTGAGTACCCAGTGCTCTACTAGGCACTGATATTATTCTCTCATTTGACCTTTTCCACCGTTATATTTGATGAGGTGCTTTTTTACAGCAGAAGAAGCCATTCAGAGAGACCAGTTTGCCCATGGCTGGTAACCAGCAGAGCTGGGAATGTCAGATTTTAGATCCCTTTTTTCTACTGTGGCACAATTGACCTATCTATTTTTTTTCAAGAGAGAAATCTCTAATTAGTATTTAAAATGTAGAAATACCTTTAGTGTATTAAGATTAAGATCAAGAGAGAGTGAAAGAGCCGAAGCTGGTTTGGCTCAGTGGTAGAGTGTCGGTCTGCGGACTGGAGGGTCCCGGGTTCGATTCTGGTAAAGGGCATGTGCGTTGGTTGCAGGCACATCCCCGGTGGGGGGTGTGCAGGAAGCGGCTGGTTGATGTTTCTCTCTCATCGACATTTCTGGCTCTCTATCTCTCTCCCTTCCTCTCTGTAAAAAATCAATAAAATATATTTAAAAAGAGAGAGAGAGAGAGAGAGAGAGAGAGAGAGAGAGAGAGAGAGAGAGAGAGAAAGAGAAGGAGATTCTATCACTTTTACACATAAACGGTTTTTAGCACTTAATCCTAACTATTGCAAAATGCTGTCTTAAATACATGTGTAAAGATGGACAGGGTGGGAGAATTTTTTTTTTAAATGTAGGTGATTTGTTTTTTTGTACTGATGATCATTTTTTCTTTTCTATTATTGGAGATAACTTCCTAAAAATTGGGAAAAATATTTTTCCAACACACAGCTACACTCTTTTATAAAGACATCATAGGTCATTGTTATAATTCTTTTTTGTTATATTATAATTCTTAATATAATTGTTTATACTTTTTAAAATTGCTCTCAAAGTATTGCTAACAAAACAGAATACAATGCTGGTCTTTCATAATAGATTTTCAAGGTGAAACATTTTTTTTTTAAATTAGAGGTATCATTTTTAACATCAAGAACCTTAGACCATCTGAGAATTCATTATGGATGTAATATAAACAGCAGTTCTGTTCTATAACTAAAATAGTCTTTTCTATTTTTCTTCTTCATGAAGTATATGGTACAAGTTATCATAAGGTAAACAGAAAGTGTTTCTTCTTCTGTGATTTTTTTTTTTTAGGAGTTTTCTGTTAACATCACTGAAGACTTTCTAGAGCACCTTTCAGAAGGGGCACTGGCAATTGAAATATATGGCCATAAGATGACCGACCCACGGAAAAACCCAGCCCTGTGGGATTTGGGGATTATTCAAGCAAAAACACGTAGTCTTCGGGACAGGTGAATTTTGAAGATCCATCTAATTTTCCACTTACAATTTTTACAAATTGCCAGAGATTAAATACTGCCATTTATAAAGGTTGTCCTTTCCTGGGCATTATCACTAGTAACAGATGGTGGTGTTGCCAGGTCATTAATAGCCCAATTAAACTTTTTTAGAGGAAGATAGAAGGAAGTTAAATATATGGGTAGTTAAGTATACAGAGTGAAATACTACATTTTTGGAGAATGGATAGCTTATTATGAATTACTCCAATTAATCAATTGTAGAGAAAAGGGATCAAGATATGTTCTAGAATTCAAGTTTACTTATTTTTCCTTAGCTCAACATTCTTTTCACATGGCATCAGTGATGGGAGTAGGCAGGCTTATTTGTTGACCAGGATTTTAAAAGAAGAGTTAAAAAAAAAAAAAAAAGGGCGTTAAAAGGAAATGACTGAAAGAGCACATATATTTGTACTTTTGATCTATTTTTAAATGAAAACCAGATGTTCTTATTTTGCAGTTAGAAAGTTTTAGCAAATTCTACAATAGACATTGAGGGGTTTTTTTGTTTTTGTTTTTTTTCCTGATTCTCTTTTTTATGTGAGCAAAGATACTTGTCAAATTCCTAAAGCCTATATTTATCTACTTATGAAAAGATAATCATTGTACTTGCTCCTGTCCCACTGGTTACAATGTTTAGATTTTTAAATAATCACTGAAATAGATTTGTAGTTATCATACCTTTTTATTTTTTAAATATATGTATATATTTTTTTATTGATTTCATAGAGGAAGGAAGAGGGAGAGAGATAGAAGCATAGATGATGAGAGAATCATTGATTGGCTCCCTCTTGCAACACCTCCTACTGAGTATCAAGTCAAAATCTGGGCATGTGCTCTGACAGGGAATCGAACCATGATAATCCTGATTGATAGGTTGATACTTAAACACGGAGCCGCACCGGCTGGGCATCATATCTTTCTGAATGAAATAAAAGAGCCATTTCTGGTTCTGGTGTTCTAGAAACTCCTCTAGTTCAGAGAAACTCCTCTAGTAATGAACTATGGAAATGACCCCTGAAAGTTTTAGTCTTAGTTCTGATACTATTTGTTTAACTTTGCTTCCATTTATATTTGCCAATATGTACTTGCATATTACTCATTGAGCTACAGATCATTCTATTTCACTACTCTGTTTGGAGGTCATTATCATTGTTAAATCTCATGTAGGAGCCTAAGCTGCTTGTACTGAAATAGAAATGTATGATTTTCCAAGAATTTCAACTATTTCCTAGATGGAGTGAAGTCACCAGGAAAATGGAATTCTGGGTTCAGATCTTGGAACAGAATGAGAATGGTGAATACTGCCCCGTAGAAGTAATTTCTGCAAAGGATGTGCCTACAGGAGGAATCTTCCAGCTCCGGCAGGTAACAGAATTATGAATGTTATTCTGAATGTTCACATTAAAGTCTTTGGTACCATAAAGCTTTCTATTGGATTTCTTTGACAGAAATGTCAGTTATAATTAAAGTTAGACTGGCCAATTCCATTTCTTATGTTAAAATCATCTCCTACTTCATGTGTATTTTCTTTCATCTTAAAAAATGATTTATTATTTATATTTATAATATTTTGAAGTCAGTTTCTGTTAGATTTAAATAATAAAGAGATAAGCTTTAAAGAACAACTTAACATTAAAATGTACAAGATAAAACATATTAAGTAACATTAGAATATTTACAAAAACAAGGAGAAACAGGGATACGGTAGGAAGAACAAACCTCCAGAGTCTAACCTGTTAGGGTTTCCCGTGAGCATGTCCAGTGACCTCTCAGGACCTTTAATGGAGTGGAGGTGGTGATAATACTAACTTTGTAGGGTTGGTGTGAAGATTAGAGATATTATATATGAAGCACTGTGCTTGGCACATGGGAGGTGAGAAGTAATATTTTCTCCTGACACCAACCAATGTTCTGCAGACATTAGTGGGTGTCCTACTGTTCAATTCAGTTTTTACCTTACCTGACAGAGTTAGCTCAGAGTCCATAGGTTTCAGGGCATAGACTTAATCACAAAAGTGCTGTTGCTTCTGATTCCTATGCCAAGTATCGGGTTCCCAGGTTACCCATACTTCTGTTTGACTTGGTTGCAGTCAGGGGCTCTCATAACACTCCTCCAAGGGTTTGATAAATTGTAGAATGACTCACAAAACTTGGGAAAGCCTATTACATACTGCTACCAGTTTATTATAAAGGATACAATGCAGGAACGGCCAAATGGAAGAGATACATGAGTCAGGTATGGGATGAGGAATCTCTGTGTATGCCACTCTTCCAGCATCAACCAGGAAGCTCTCTGAACCCCATCTTTTGTAAGTTTTTATGTATGTTCCATTATGTAGGAATGGTTATGACAACATTTGCCATTGGCCATAATTTCCAGCCCCTCTCTCCTCTCTCTCTGAGGGGTGAGGCTGAAAGTTCCAACTTCTAATCAAGGCGTGGTCTTCCTAATGACCAAGTTATCTGGGGCCTGCCATGAGTCGCCACATTAAAAGTCACTTTATTAAAAGATGCACCTATAACCTTTATCATTCCGGATAGTCCAAAAGTTTTACGAGCTGTTTGCCAGGAATGAAGGACAAAGATCAAATATCTTTTTATGATACCACCGGAGGAGTTAAATAAATGCTACTAGGCAGATATGATACCTTCCAGGAATCAATACAGCAGAGAAATACGTGGGAACTATTACTTGACCCCAGGCAAGTTGTAATCTGGAAAGTGTCTCTGCTGCTAACTAAAGATGAGAGAATATCCTAATAGAATTTACATAGTAGATTTGAAAATATTCCTTTTTTTTTTTTTGCCATGCTTTATATTAATTCATAATTTTTTAGAATATTGCATCCTATGATAGTTTCCATACATTAGAACAATAGTCAAATATTAGAATAGCTCTAGTAAATGAATGTTCAAATCATTCATAGCAAAATATGAGAAAAGGTTAAAGGAAATAGAAAGTTTTCTTAAATATTTAAGTTTCTAAATGTTTTTAATAGGAGAAAGATGAAAAGCATTTATTCTCTAACCCCAGCAAATGAATTTTAGCAAATTCTTCATGCATGTAAGGTCAAGGAACTGAAAGCAGAAGGAAATTAGTTTAAATTATAGCATGAGATATAGACATAAAATAGGGTCCTTAAGGGTGCGAAGAACATCTTTTTCTGAACATCTGTTAAATCTAAATATATCCTTGTTAGATGCCTTAGAAATTCATCTCCTGGAAGGCAAGACCAGATAATTTTCTGTGGTTTAGTGTAAATTGAATACTTAAGTATTTGTCATACTTCTGACAACCTATATTATAGATGTTTAAAGGTAGGTTGGGTTTATCAGGAAAGACTCTTTTTGAAGCAGATGCATCTTAACCGGATGCTGAAAGTATCGTGCAAAGGCTGGAGATTTTTTCGTATGTAAAGGTCAGGGATGAAGAATAAAGATAAGGAGGTTGAAATAAAGTAGAAAGTAACGTGGGGGAGAGCTGGAAAGCAGTGACAGAAGAGGTTGTAGCTAATTCATGGAGGGTGTTGATGGTAGGCTCATTGAATTTAATATATTTCAAAATTGGAACCTACTGTTCTAGAAAAGGAAAATGGGAGGGGAAACTGGTTAGATTAACATATGAAATTGCTGTTTTATAGTTAAAAATGGTTAAATATCAGCAGTTACAAGAAGTTCAGTGGAAAAACAAAAAGAAATTCAGTGAAACTGTTTAAGTATATTGATCAAAGCTCTTCCTGTGGAACATTGAGCCATTACTGGATCTTTTCCATTCTTTCCTTCCCTCTCCTTATCTTTTTAAAAGTATATATATTTTATTGATTTTTTACAAAGAGGAAAGGAGAGGGATAGAGAGCTAGAAACATTGATGAGAGAGAATCATCAATCAGCTGCCTCTTGCACACCCCTTACTGGGGATGAACCCTCAACCAAGGTACATGCCCTTGACCGGAATTGAACCCGGGACCTTTCAGTCCGCAGGCTGAGGTTCTATCCACTGAGCCAAACCGGTTTCGGCCCCTCTCCTTATCAAAGTATATGTACTTTACCTTTCACATTTGGGCACACATTTAAAATAGATCACTTTCTGTTTTAGGCAAAGTAAATAATTACCTAAACTATTTTAGACAATTACATTGTTTTCTGAGGTATTCTTTCCACAAAATATCTGATGCACAGTCCTTGGAAAATATGAAATGAAAATACATCTGTAACCTATCTTTTCAAATCAGTCATTACCTTAGTTGACTTTACTGATAATGCAAAACTCTTGGGAATTAAAATCTGATGGAAGAGGGGAAGAGTAACTGACTTGAAATTGTATATTCAAAATCCATTTTTAAGTTATATTTTTAATTCTGTATTTTATAAACCAACTTTGAAGTCAGTAATTTGGGAATGCTGAGGGTTTAAAGAAATGTATTGTTTCATTGTAAATATACAGAGATACACATATTCTGAAAAAATGTGCCTAAGAAGGGATATTCTCTGATCAATTCTTTATTTTGCAGTTTGGTTAAACTTATTTTATTTGGGAATTAGACCAATGAATCCAGGATAGTATTAATCATTCTTATTTTTATTTTGCTTATTACTTAAAACAAATCATATTACATAGGCTGGGTTTGGTAATTTGTTCTTTTTATGTTTTTATTTTCAAATATATTTTTATGGATTTCAGAGAGGACAGGAAAATGAGAGAGAAATAGAAATATCAATGATGAGAATCATTGACTGATTGCCTCCTGCAAGCCCTCTATTGGGGATTGAGCCTGCAACCAGGCACGTTCCCTGACCAGGGATCAAACTGTGACCTCCTGGTTCATAGGTCAATGCTCAACCACTGGCCAATCTGCTCTTTTCTTAAAAGTCTAGGTAACATCTATCACTATAACATCTGTCAATATACTCTCTATATTTTAACTTAAAATATAATGTATATTTTTAACAGCTACATTTTATTATATATAGTAAAGTTTTAAGCAGTTAACAATATTTTTACATTTGATTATATAACTAGTTGTTTTTTTATTCTTAACATTGCTTTATGATTCTTTAAATGCATACCTCATTATTTACTTAGAAGATATTTCCAGAAAGTTGAATTGCTGGGTCAAGGAAAACTTAAATTTTTTATTTAAATTGCTTTGCAGAAAACTTTACCAATTTATATTCCCACCAATAGTCTATGTAAGGTAACTACTTTGGGAAATTTTGGAAATTGCCTTTTTAAAAGGTAATTGTCAGCTTAGTAAGTGAAAATAACTATGTATCCTGCTAATTTTAATTTATATTTATTTGATTATTAGTAAGTTGAATGTTTTTTATTGTCTAGCTATTTGTGTTTCTCTTGTTAGAATGTTTTCTTTTAACGTTTCTTATTAAAAATGTGTAAACCATATATTTGTTCTGTGATTTTCTACTTGCTTAAAAGCTAATTTATCATGATTAGTTTTTCAGTTTGTAGTATGCTATTTCACATTTAAAATAGGATAGTATCTCCAAATTAAATGCTTTTCCTAACATCAGCCTGTAGAGGTCTCTGTAAACCAAATTTTTACCAATGAAACCAATTTTAAGAGGTAGTTAAAATTGTCTGTGTTACAGGGGCAGTCCCGGCGAGTACAAGTGGAAGTGAAGACTGTGCAGGAGTCTGGGACGTTACCACTGATGGAAGAAAGTATATTGTCCGTTGGCATTGGGTGTGTGAAAGTTAGAGCACTCAGATCCCCGAAGACACATGAGACCTTCCATGTGAGTTATGTTCTTGTAAAAGACCCATTAGGTGAGCGTATCTGGGAACCTGTCAGAAAATGTCTTCCACGAATAATTCTTTCAATATTCCTTTTGTTTTCCTTTGCTGTCTTTTTATTTTTTAACCTGGTATCTCACTGTACTAGACTGTTGGTTTTGTCCTGGTACGTGTCAAGCTGAGGGTTAATCAGATATCTTAGACTCCAGAAAGTCCTCAGTGCCTACTCCTGATTAACCTCCTCCATCACCACCCTCTGCAGAAACCCCCTGCTGGTTTGTAAGGACTGTCTGCCAGCAGGTGTTTGATTTCCCCTGGGAGTGGGACTGTAAACCCAGCAGGGGAAGTATTGTATTGGTTCCCGGAAAAGGTCAAATATACATTCTTCACTTTCCCATGAGAAGCTCAAGATTTTACTCCAACCTTCTGAAAACTATCAAACCAAGAGTGAGGGTGAGCATGGGCGGGAGATGAAGCAGTATGTTATTCATTAAATTAGAAAATATGGCCGAAACTGGTTTGGCTCAGTGGTAGAGCATCAGTCTGCCAACTGAAAGGTCCCGGGTTCGATTCCGGTCAAGGACATGTACATTGGTTGTGGGCACATCCCCGATGAAGGGTGTGCAGGAGGTGGCTGGTCGATGTTTTTCTGTCATCGACGTTTCTGGCTCTCTATCTCTCTCCCTTCCTCTCTGCAAAAAATCAATAAAATATATTTTAAAAAATTAGAAAATATGAAGTCTGGGGAAAGATTTAGGTTGTTTAGCATTGCCTGATGCTTGGATAATTGTTTTGGTTCTGCATAATGTATTTTTTTTCTTTTAGGAGGAAGAGGAAGACATGGATAGCTACCAGGTAATGAAGCACCTCTTAGCCTCATCACATAAGTTTGATTAAAGTACCCATTCCTGAGTCTTGCTATACTGTTACTTAATAATAACACAATTAATTTTTATTCAAATATCGCCTTTCCTCAGATTAATACAGTAGGGAAGAATCAGTGTGTCATAGACTGTAAAGCCATAGTCTGTACAGTCAGTTTAGGTTGGGAATCATTTGTGACTTTTATCCTTTTCCTAACCTGGTGCTCCCCACCCAGGTTCCCTACAGATCTATTTCTGCAAATTCTCTTCCTTATTTGTTCTGTCCTTGCTTGGACTCACCCACCCCTTTTCCGATAACAGCTGTGTCATACTGCTCTTCCGTCAAGACCTGCTCCTAGATATTTGTCTTACTTTAAGCCAGGTCTTGCTTCTTCCACTTCATGGAGTTATATGGATTTAGTTTTGTATCTCCTCCTGCCCCTCCCCTTTTCCTAATCTCCTATAAAATTCTGTTTATGTCTGTTAAGTTTTATCTTGTTAGTCTTGTTAGGACTCTCAGAGCTCTTTGGATCCTGATTATGTCATCCAGTGTAGTCACTCTCCTGGTTTTGCATCATTCTAATTTGATAAAAGTGTCTGCCTTCCTATATAAGTCACTGATAAAAATATTGTATCAGAGAGGGTTAAATACAAAGTCCTATGGCACAACAATAGAGTCTTCTTTGAAGCTGACATTATTTCATCAATCACTGTTCCTTATATGTGATATTTCAGCCATTTCTGATCTCATTCAAGTAGACTCGTATATTTCTCCATCATGTCCACACGAATGTCATGAGCTATTTGGTTAAGTGCCTTAGTGAAATCCAGATACACACCATATCCACAGCATTCCACTGATCTACCCAGTCCTGTACCTTTTTTACAAAAGGAAAAGAGGTGAGATTGGTCTATAGTCAGGTGTCGACTGGCAGAATTGTTTGGCTGTTGATAATGCCCCTGTTCCCACTCCCCTCCTTCCACCAAACCAAGGGAGAGAAACATGTTGAAGACTGTAGTGAAGAACTTTGAAGAAATCTTACAGTGGTCCTAAAGAATATAAATACGAAGGTTATTGATAGCTTTTGTAATTTTTATCCAATCCTGAGACTTTGGAGAAGATCTTACTTGTGAGTGCTTGGAGTTCTGCACTTTGAGCCAATAGAAAAAAACTGATTCTGGATATCAGGGTAGCATTTCAGAAAATCTTACTCTAGAATAGGGGTGTTGAACTCAATCAGAGAAGGGGCCAAAATCTAAAATCCAGCCTAAATCGAGGGCCGAATGGTTTACTGAACAGTCATAAACTGTCATTGTGATGGAAACGCAGCGGAGTGCAGTGATGACAGCGCGGTGCGGGCCACATTGCAAGGCCTGGCGGGACGGATTTGGCCCGCGGGCCTTGTGTTTGATACATGTGCTCTAGAACAATGATGCTTTAATTTCTGAAAGTTACTATTCTGAATAATGGCTGGAGCCAACTAGTGATGATAATAGACATCTGTATATATAAAAGCCTAAGTGACTGTTGCAACCAGAATGGCTGGAACAATGGGTTGACCAGTCTCTTTGATGCTCACTGACCACCAGGGGGTAGATGCTCAATGCAGGAGCTGCTCCCTGCTAGTAAAACTCCCACAGCCAGTCTGCAGCCCTTCTCCCCCAATTACTCCCTCCCATCGGCCCCAATATAACTAGAGGCTGGTGCATGAATTTGTGCATGGGTGGGGTCCAGCCAGCCCACTCCAATTGGGCTGGGCCAGCTGAGGGGAGCAGTCATGGGTGTTTGGCTGGCTGGCCCCACCCCCTGGTCAAACTCCCTGTCAAGAAGATAATTTGCATATTAGCCTTTTATAATATAGGATACTTAACATTTTTGAAGCACATTAGAGTAAGTAAGATAGAGCATCGGTTTTAGATATATCACCTACACATTATATTTGCTGTCATTTCCCTTGTTTTCTTCCAGGATCGGGATTTAGAGAGACTACGTAGAAAATGGCTAAATGCGTTAACAAAACGTCAGGAGTATTTAGATCAACAACTGCAGAAGCTTGTCAGTAAACATGGTAGGAAAAGCACATTGAATATTTCTCTCCCCCCATTTGTAGCCACGCAAATTAGAAGTAAATGATCACATCAGTTATGGGGATGGCAAGAGCATAGGAATGTTATTTGTGTCATAGCCTTTCCGAAGAACATTTATGTAATTCGAGTGATGTCTCTGCATAGGTCTCTCTTGGCCCCCATCAGAGAAAGAGAAAATATGGTACACAAAATAAACTTTGTTCCTCAAAAATAACTTCAGGGAACACGCTAACATTTCTTGATTTCTTGTCCAAAGTACTTAAATCCTCTAACTCTGGAAGAAATTATTCAGGCCTTCCACGAATTGGGTATGGCCTCTGTAAGAGTACATCAGCCTTGCTAGCTTATAGTTTTTTTTATCATAATTTTTTTTTAATCATGAATTCAGGAAGTTATAAGTTTCTAGTGAACCCTCATCAATAAGTAACTGAAATATAGACAAATCCTGTTGATACACAGGTCAAAAGTGTAAGTAGCAAGTGAAATAGCCCTGTCTGATCCTCATTCCTGATGTTTTAGATAAAACAGAGGATGATGCTGACCGTGAAGCTCAACTTCTAGAGATGAGGTTGACTCTAACTGAGGAGAGGAATGCGGTCATGGTCCCCTCCGCCGGCAGTGGGATTCCAGGGGCCCCAGCAGAATGGTATGCATGCTGCCACATGTCTCCTAAAGTTCTGGATGCTCACTAAGCCAACTGCTTTCTGTAGGAATGTTGCCTACGCTTTAATTAATGGCAGGCTCATTGCAGCATATGGGGGAACAGTTGTTTGAATTAGAGGAAGTGTTTAAATTATTTTCATGAGTTGGAATAACTATGGCCTAAAATTGTTTTATTAAATAATATTGTTATGAGCTCAACTAATTAAGATTTCTGAGAATCTAAATCAATATTTAGTATCAGTGCACTTAGCATTTAAAAAAAATAGTTAATATGTTAATTACTTGGGTCATTCCCTTAAAAGACCATTTGGTCATCATAAAATTGCATCTCTAGGAGTTTTTAGTTTTTGGCGCTTGTGAAAACTGTACTGTCAGCAGATTTCTGTGCCACTTTATAGAAATTAAAAATAGTAAATGAAGCCATATGGGGCCCTTAGGTATATAATTTTATAAGAAAGTAACTTTAAACAAGGAAGCCTCATTTATAAACAGGTATATGCGTCTTAGAAGATGGAGTTCTAATTTCAGAGCACATGATAATTACACCCGAGAGCACCCGAGAAGAGAGGCAGCACTTACCGCCAGGGCTCTGTGGCATCTGATGTTTATTACAGCAAACCCACAGTTATTGCTGGCTGGCTGTGATTAAGGCTGTGGCACCATGTCCGTGCTGCTGAGACTGTCTGCTTTATTTGAGATGCTATTTGTTCATTATGTTTTAGGACCCCAGTTCCTGGGATGGAAACACACATTCCTGTTATATTCCTTGACTTAAATGGTAAGTTAGGAGGTGCTTTTGGAAGGTTTACCTCTGACGCATTACTGTCCATGTAACACTTATATTGTAACAAAGGATGCAGTTGGGCAATTCTGTAGTCCTAAGGTTCAGGTTCACTTTATGTGTGCCAAAGGACTTGATACTTGACCAAGAATGAACTTTCTGAAAGAGTAGTATTTTTGTAACTGTGATAGGTATATTTCATCATGATGTGTTCTCATGTTTCATTCTACAGCCCGCACTGCTGTGTGCATGCTTTGTTCTTTCCTCAGTTTAGGAAGGTAGTCATGTTTTCCTGCACTTAAAATTAAAGGAGAATTCTTAGAAAAGGCTTCTCTCTGGAAGGGACTAATGACTAGTGATTGCTTATATAGCCTGTTTTCTTTTATCTGGTGCTTCCTTAACATTGCCTACTAAAGTTATCACTTTTTCTGTGAGTTCTTATGTCATTCATCCCTACTTTGCTTATTTTTTTAATGTCATTTTTTTTTTTTTTTTTACATTTTATGGTCATGTAAAAATATTTTGGGTGTGGTACATTTTATATATACTCTATCTGAAAAGGAAAATAAAAATGAAGATGTAGATTTAAAAAATAAGTTAAAAGTCAGCAGTTGAATTCCTAAAACATGTGCAGAAGAATTGTGTATTAAAATTAACTATGTTAAATGGGCAAGATGGGATGTCCTCAGAGCCTTTCTTTCACTGAGCTGGAAGTGAGTTATGATATCTGAGGTTTTTCATATCTTATGCTGGTTAGCTTATTTAGACACATGGGAGAGTTTCATATACACACAGAGTTTGAAAGAGGACTTAACCACTTCCACTGTCTGTCCACCTGATAGGGTTTTAACGTATTGCTGCAACACTTTCTTCTACCTTGTTCTCTTGAGCCTTGAACCTAAAGGTGACTCTGGCCTAGTCTTATGCTGAGTTCCTGGATAGGTGAATAGGTGAGCTGTGTGTGTGTATGAGAGTGTGTGTGTGTGTGTGTGTGTGTGTGTGTGTGTGTGTGAGAGAGAGAGAGAGAGAGAGAGAGAGAGAGAGAGAGAGAGAGAGAGAAAACTAAGCCTAAAGAAGACCTGTTAATATGGATATTCCTAGACACATCAGGAACTTGTTCAGCCTTATGCCCATTCTTGATCTGCCTAAGCCACATACTAAAATATACATTTGATTCCTACTTACAGTTTATGGACAGAGAGTTAGGAGGACAGGTTTGGAACTGAGTAACCAAAGGAACAGTGACAGCTCAATGTAGTTTTTGATCCTGGATTGGAACAATGGAAAAATTTGAGTATGGACTCTATCTATTGTATATATATAAAAGCCTAAGTGACCGAACAACTGGTAGACTGGTTACTATGACACACACTGACCATCAGGGGACAGATGCTCAATGAAGAGCTGCTCCCACATTGGGAGTACCACTCAGCTGACCAACAGGTGCCAGATGCAGGGCTCACAGCTGGCTGCTGCAGCCCTGAGACCACAGTGGAGCAGCAGCGAGCCTACTGAGCTGTGAGCGATGGCAGCTCCAGGCACAGCAGGGCCAGAATGAGCAGGAGTGGCAGGCAGGAGCAGCAGTAAGCGCTGAACTGCTCGTTTTGGCCCGAACCCTGCAGGCTATGCCAAGGGTCACCACCAGTGCATGAATCCATGCACTGGACCTCTAGTATTATATAATTGGCTTCAGGAACTAGAAACCCCTACAGTTCCTAGTTCTGGTAGCCAATTGATTCTTTTAATGAACTCAGCTGTCAGATAATCGGAATCATTCTTGCTTCTACTTTTGTCAGTGCACTCTCAGGGAACTATATTTGGGTTATAATCTTATTAACATTTATGGACTGACCTTGAGTAACCTCTTAGGCATTTGGCTTCAGTTGCATTTTATGTAAAATAAGGCATAAAGGTAGGAGATTGGGTAAGATAATTTCTTGAGGCACTTTTCATCTCTAAGATCTGTGAACTATTTAATGGTCATCATCCTTGTCATGTAAGATTTTAGAGCCAAAGGAAATGAAATTTGAGGCAGAGGAATTTTAATACCAAGCACATTGAAATTTAACTGGTAGGGGTTATCCTTTAAAATGATCTTTGTACGTAATGGAACTTTCTTGTTTTTAGCGGATGATTTCAGCTCTCAGGATAACCTTGATGACCCAGAGCCTGGTGGATGGGATGCTACCCTCACTGGGGAAGAGGAGGATGAGTTCTTTGAACTGCAGATTGTCAAACACCATGATAGAGAGGTAAGTGGAACATAACTCAGGAGGACAGGATGAGAAGTAATTTCCTTCACCTTTCACTGAGCCTTTTGAAACAGCCAGCAAGGTTATTTCAGTGCTAACATTTCTAGAGAAATGTTAAATGGAAACTTTTCATTATGGCTTCCAGAAAGAATGGAACCACTTCCAGAAGGAGTGGATCATCAGATTAGTCCACACACCGCTTACTTCCTCTCCTGGTGAAGGCTGTGTGTTAGTGTTCATTGTACAGGTCTGTAGGGCCCACTCTCTAGGGAAATGCTGCTGAAGTGAAGAGGTAAAGTGATACCATACCTGGGATTTGCTTTGAAATTCTTCAGTTAATACTTTCTAAAAAAGGTAGAGTGAGGAGAGAATCAATGAATCCAATGTGGTAAAATCCTAATAATGTTGGAATTCGAGTGATGGGTATACAGTGGGGGTTCATTTAAAACTTTGGAGTATATTAGGAAAATTATAAAATATTTTAAGAAAGGGAAGTTGATGTGGTGCTTGAAGGACACATGGCCTACGATGCACAACCTGGGTCTGACAGGGGGAAGCAATCAGATAACCCAACTGTGGCACACTTTGTAACAGACGCCGGGCCCTTCTATCGTAGGTCAGTGTCATGCATGATAAAGAAAGACTGGGGCACCATTTCAGATTAAAGTAGAATAAAGGGACCATGACAGCTAAATGTAGTTTATGATCCTGGTTTGGAACAATGGGAAAATTTGAGTATGGACTCTTATGTCATAGTACGGCATCAATGTGAAATTTTCTGAATATGATAATATTCAGGAAGTCATTGGATGCCCTTGTTCTTAGATAATAATTGCTAAAGTATTTAGGGATATAGAGTTATATGTCTATAACTTTCCCTAAAGCAATTCAGCAAAAATTGATAACAGTGTGTGTATGTGGTTGAAGAAGAGGGAAAGGAAAAGTGGCCAGTGTTAACAGTTGATGAATCTAGATGAAAACCTGAATTTGAACTGAATTTCCAAAAACTTTTAATGTTCATGGCTGGCAGGTGAGCATTTAAAAAAAAAATAAATAAAATTCAAATCCAGCCAGCAGAGAACATTCTGCTCTGTATTCCCAGCCGAGGATGGTCAGGGCCACACCCTCATACTCCACAGTCTTCAGGTCAGGGCTCGTAGTAGACTCCCTCATGACCGGTGCGTTCCACCTCAGCCCAAGCCAGAGTGTCTCTTGGTGAGGTTTCCTGCTCTTAGGAGAAGACGGGGAAGCATGTTCTTTCTGTCTCCTCTGCAGGTGAAAGCGGAAGCTTCGTGGGACTCCGCAGTGCACAGTTGTCCTCAGCTCAGCAAAGGCACCCCTGGGGATGAGCGAGTGTTTCTGATTGTGCGGGTGACGGTCGGGCTCAGTCATCCAGCTGACATGCAGCTAGTGCTGCGCAAGCGAATCTGTGTCACTGTGCATGGCCGGCAGGTGAGTCACTCATCCTAGTGGAAGAAATGACTGGAAGCAGGGCAGGGCCGTGGAGTGACCGCTCTGGCCTCCTATACCACAGGCTCTGTGCAGCATCACACACTTCTTTTCAAGGGGCTATTCCTGGCCTGTAGCTGAGCTTGCTTCCATTCCAGAGCATGTTATCCTGACTTCCTCTGAGCCAGTAGTAAATCATTACATTGACAACCATTTATCAGGTGGTACAGAATCTTGTCAAGGTGAAGTTCGCCGTTTTTGTTTTTGACTTTTCATCTGGGTCCTCCAAGATGAGAAGGTGCACTGCAGTGAGCCTTTGTGCTTCTTACCCTTTGCTTTCCATACCTTTCTTTCCTTTCAGTCATCTCTCTGAATTGGCTGATTCATAAATTTGGGATGTGGACTCTTACTAGGCTTTGGGGTAAAAGATGAATAAGTAATAGTCTCAGTCCATAAAGAGACAGTGTCCATTGGCATGTGTCTGTGTTTAAACAGGTGACTCTGCTCTCCCATGACAGTGCCCTGATGCGGGTGCTCACCACGTTCTGGGAGAGGGCAGGTGCAGAAGGGAGAGTTCAGGCTGAGGATGTCAGGGGAGACCTGAGAGAGCAGGTTTCATGTGAGCTGCTTTTTTACAGACAAGGAAGGAGTTGTTGGCTGTTCCGTGTGCAGGGGTGGCGAGGATGGCAAGGGTGTGGCAGGCTTGGGGAACCTGGAGAAGCAGGTGCCCTGCAAAGCCCAAGGCTGTGGCCAGCATGGTTGCAGCTAGATTACGAAGGACTTTGTACCACATGAGGGCCACATTTAGTAGAACATTTCTGGGTGGATATAAACTCTTTCCGTTATTGATTTTGCAAATACAGGATTTGGGAGGTTGATTCTAGGGATTCTTTTTAACTGCCTATGCTCACTCTTTGGAGGCCTTTCCAATACACTGACTAAAACCAGAACAGAGGAAAATAAATCTTTTCATTTAAAAGAGCACAGTCATGGTTGACAGAGTTTTAGATGTAATCGCCACCCCTAAAAATTAATCTTTAATTCTAAATGTCACACTGATACAATCTTTGAAATGAAGACTGGTGGTAACGCTGTTAAAATTGCAGCTCTTTAGCTGGGCAATCCAACATCAATAAAGCCCAGGTCGCCGGGTTAGCCAGAGATGCATATGGTATGTCTCCCATTCAATCTTCTCTTCATTTCCCTTTTCTCAGAAGGCTTGATGGATTAAAATCGACACGCTAGGGAACATTTTGAAGAGTTACTTGCCGTTTCAGAACTAGAGATTCTGGTTGCCAAGCACTGAGACTAACCTGTTACAACCGAGACTGACTGGGTACTGGCCCCACAGGATATTTAACAGAAAGGGTACATGGTGGTGTCACCAAGTTTTTCTACATTTTTTTGTTTGTTTCTTTTTATTTTTTGTTGTAGGGATAAGGACTTGCCTCATTTTCCCCCCTGGTTGGAATGATTTGATAGTATCCAGTTGATTCTGAATGAAATGGTAGTATAGTAGGGCACAACAGTTTTTGTCCCAATTACAGGTATTTCATTTCTAAAAACGGCATCTGTACAGAAAAAACAGGGACTTCTTTAGGAGCCTAATACATGCAGGTCAGCTTCAGTAATTGCATAGACATAGAAAACAAGAAAGGGAGATAACAGCAGCACCCACACGCTCCCTCCCTTCCTGCCCACACACACCCATTAGAAAATAGCTGTAGCTCCTCTCTGGCCAGTGGGACTAGCTCAGCTTTGCAGGCTGTAGTCAAGAGAGTAAAGGGATGAAGTAATGGTCTCTTTGCATTCTAAAAGTTTAACATCTCTTTTAAAAATTAACTAAATATTACTAAATAGGAAAGAAATTACTCAGTAGGTTTGTGAAAATATGTATTCCTAAGACCAAGCAGTTTGATTTTTCTGTTTTCTTTGGGGGGTTTTCACATATTTCCTGCTTCCCTTTTTGCACGAGGAAAAAAGTTCTCTGTTAGTTTAATATTCTCTCTTCTTCTTATCTTTATTCACCAATTATATTCTGCCCTCATCCTTGCTCTCTTCAACCTCTACAGGATGTTCAGTCTTAGCAGCATCTTTAAATGAGTCATCTATGCATTAATTCAACAGTTCAATTCTTAACTGCAAAGAGCACAGTCAGCATAAACAATGACCATGCACTCTTAAATCATCCTTCATAACGATCCTGCTTTGGTCAAGAATTTAATGCCTGAACTTGTCAATATTCATGGTACAAGATGTCTATCGTACTGGGATAAAAAATGTGTAAGAGTCACCAGTCCTTGCTTACATCTTAGTTAGAAGGTCATTTTATTGTGTAGAAGTTAACAGCCTTATTTCTGTATAAGCAGAGTTGTACCAGATGCCTAGTGTCTGTTTCCAGAGGTCAGGATCTGTGCTTTCAATGTGTTGGGTATAGGACCTAGCACACATGTAGACACACAGATATCTAAAATGGGTTGTGTGCACTAAGACAAAGTTGAGGAATCTGTGTTTGGTGATTTGGATTTCAACTTGCATAGATTGGAAATATGTTCTCTTTCTTTTTGGTTGGAGTGAATGCAGTATCATTTACGCTGTTTTTCTGATTATATAAATTCAGTTTTTGAGGTGGGAAACCATATCTTCTATTTTGTTTTTCTAGGGTTTTGCTCAGAGTCTCCTAAAAAAGATGTCTCATCGAAGTTCTATTCCTGGCTGCGGAGTGACTTTTGAGATTGTCTCCAATATCCCAGAGGTGAATGATCATATGAAATTTGAATTTACTAAAAATAAACATGTAAAAAGAGATAACTCCCTGAAAAGCCACCTATCTAAGGTGTTATTATTATAGTTACTATTGTTATTTTATTATTATTTCTCTTTATGAACTAAGGGAGATATTCACAGGAATTAAACAAATCAGGCTTAAAATGTCCCTGACAGAAGGTTATTGGAGGATGCAGTTTATGCTTCCCAATGTTTAATCCCTGATTGAGAGAGTTATTAATTGGGCACTGCACCCCTGGTATTGGAGGCCTTCAGGACATGAGCAGGAGAAATGGGCCTACAAAAAGGATTCGATGACAGAGAGAAAGAGGAGCAGTCCCTCTCTACACTCAGTATCTGAAAGCTGAGTGTCTCGACACTCAGTGAGTGAGGAGGTGAGACTCCTTCCTCAGGAGTGGAGCATGGAGTGTGAGTCCTGGGGGCCCGCCTTCTCGCCTCACATGCCACCCACGTCAGCCCCATTCTCTTTATTTGAGGGTTTAGTATGTGTTCATTGATCCTATTGAGTATCTGAACAATAGATGGAACAATATAAATTTTAATTCAGAGAGCAGTTTTTGGAAGAGATTTCTTGTCTTGCAAAACAGTTTTTCTTTCAAATAATGTCAAATAGTAACTTGTTTTTCCTAGATCTTCAAAGTGTTAGACTTTTATAGTAAATATTAACTGTTAAACTATTTAATTTGGAGCCTGCTGAACAAATGTTAAGTCTGTTTTCAGAGTTAGACTACCTGCAAAATCTTGGGTCCATAATAAATTACTCTTTGCATACTTATATGTTTAACTAGAGACTTACTGTTTATTCTCTGCAACTGAATGTTTTGTATGTTTTTCTGGTTGTTTCAGATCTTAACTCTATAAGTGGTTTGAGTGTAGTTGAGAAACAGTGACAGCTATAATGAACCATCTCCATGTTTCCTTCCTCTCTTCATCTTTCTGTCCCCCATCACTTCTCCCTTCCTATTTTTAGTTTTCTTATCTTCTTTAAAAGTGTTTTGATTCTTCAGGTGGTGTGGTTTTCAAAGGAAGAAATGTGAGGGAAAGAGCTGAAATAGAAATATAACCTTGTGTGTTTGGGTTACCTGCTAATAATTAGCTAAACACGTCAGTTGGCAAACATAATTTTTACATTGCCAAATTCTGATGATAAAGTAAAAGGGAAAGTGGATCTTAAAGCCTACAGTGAAAGGACTATTAATTAGTTAATTTTTTTTATTTAAAAACAAAAAGATCCCTTAAGCCTTGGCCATTGTGGCTCAGTGGGTTTGATTCCTGGTCAAGGTCACGTACCTGGGTTTCAGGTTCACTCCCCACCCCAGGTTGGGGTGCCTGTGGGAGGCAACCAATTCATGTGTCTCTCTCACCTCGATGTTTCTCTCTCTCCTCCTTCTTTCCTCCCTTTTTCCACTCTGAAAAGCAATGGGAAAAGTATCCTCTGGTGAGGATTAACAACAACAACAAAATGATCCCTCGAGAAGCTAGTTCTCATCATGAAAAAGCCCCAGAAAGTCCTTTTGTGTTCCATATTTCAGAAGCTGTGAGGGCTTGGTGGCAAGAAGTGGTCATAGGCCAGAGAACAACAAAAAACATATTCACTGTGTGTGTGTGTGTGTGTGTGTGTGTGTGTGTGTGTTTTAGCAATGTGAATGCTTTCATTGCTGGTGGGAGTATAAAATGATTCTCCACTTTAGAAAATAGACACCTACCCCATGACTCAGTAATTTCATTTCTAAGTTCTTACCCAAGAGAAATGGAAGCATATGTCCATAAAGACTTGCACAGGAATATTCGTAGCAGCTTCTCAAAATAACCTGAAACCAGAAACAACTCAAACATCCATCATCAGATAAATGGATAAATAAATTGTGGTATCTCCATATTGTGGAATCTTGATCAGCTATATAAAGAAATGGACTATATGAATGAATCTTAAAATTATGCTGAGTCAAAGAAGCTAAATACAAAAGAGTATGATTTCATTTATTTGAAGTTCCAAAAAAGGTGAAATGCTTAACGTATGTGGTCAGAGAAATTATCTTGCCTTGAGGAGGGCTGGGTTGATTGTGAAGCCCATAAATGAACTTCCTGAGGTAATGGCAATGTGTTATGTTTGATAGGTGTGTGGGTAACATGGAGCCATATGCGTTTCTTACAACTCAAGTTTCCCCTTTCTTAGAAAATCAGGATAATGTCTGTACCCTTCAGACACTGAAAAGTGTTCTGTGTTGAGTGGAAAAGCAAATATTACTCTAGCCTTGCCTCTTTTGCTAATTATGTGACCTTCCTCTTCCCTCATCTATGAAATGAAGATCATTTTCTTCTCAGGGTTATTGAAAGGTTCACATGCATTACTATAGAAATAAAAAATGTAGCCATCTTCCCAATTCTCCCTTTTTTTATCCATCTTAATACTCATTTATTATTATTGTTTATTATTATATTTTTTAATCCTCACCTGAGGACATGCTTAGAGGGAGAAAAGATGAGGGAGGGGGGACATCGGTGTGAGAGAGAAACTTCAATCAATTGGTTGCCTTCCACATGCACCCTGACCAAGGATCAAACCTGGAACCCAGGCATGTGCTCTGATCAGGAATCAAACCAGCGACCTTTGATGCACAGATGATGCTTAATCAATCGAGCCCCTCCAGCCGGGCTCTGATGCTCATCTAAATTTTAACAAACATTTTTGGAAGTTGGAATGTGCCTTATTATTAATGATGTCTTAAAATCAGTAAGCAGACATTTTTTCTCCTTAGAGGTATATAAAATGATGGGTTTTTTTTTTCATTACAGTTGATGGCATCTTAAGATGCAGTGGCATATGGATATATATTTTGTAGTTTTTGACAAATTCACAAGTAAATAAAGTATTTGATTTTCCCTGAGCAGAATAATTTGTTATGAACTAAGTTTGCTGGAAATAAATACATTAATAAAATCCCACCCCGACTTGTGTATATCCCATTCATATGCATGGCCGGTCCATGTCAGACAGAGGAGCAGGGTTGGGCTGTGCTGGAAAGCACAGGGAGAATTTTCCTGGATATTTCTCTTCTTGGTCAGCTCTGCCGCTCCGGAGTTGAGGATCGAGACCAGTTGTAGAAGCCAGTGCACCTTGACTAGTCTGTGGCAGGCTGCTTAGTGAAAGTGTTGAAACCCACCCTTCTTTCCATTCTTATTCTCCATCCCCATGTCTGCCTCTTACTAGGCTTGTTTGGATCCCACCCTTATCTAGCTGTTCCCCAGCTCCTCATTCTTCTCTCCTGCCCCTCAAGATGCGTTCCTAAAATACTGTTTGTTATATTTCCAACTAGCCCACCAAATCCTTTCTAACCAGTAATGCTTTTGTTTACAGTGGGAATCAAATAGGGAACAGTTTTGTTGAGAACGTACTATTTCAGCTACGTTGTGTTTAACTAACCTTTCAAAGCAACCTCACCACTGTTTATACCGTGATTTCTGTGGGAAAACGCATTCTGAGTTCCAGAAGCTGACTTTACAATGGAACTTGGGCCTATATCCCATTTGTTAGCTCAGTACTCTGTATGTACATGTGTGTCCGTGTAGATCAAGATGCTTTTAATACTGTTTTCTTCTGCCATGTATTTAATTTTAATATATAACTTCCCATTCTCCAGGATGCCCAGGGCGTAGAGGAACGAGAAACATTAGCGAGAATGGCAGCTAATGTGGAAAACACGGCTTCTGCTGACTCCGAGGCTTACATTGAAAAATACCTTCGAAGCGTGCTGGACGTGGAGAACTTGCTCACTCTGGATCGCATTCGCCAGGTCAGCCCCGCGGCGCTCGGTGCAATGGGGCTGACCCAGCCCAATTCTGTGTTTGACTTTCGGCATCACAGGACTGTTACGTGTAAACTTTGAAGCATCTACTTAAGTGGAGCATATTAACTTAGCCTTGCCAATGTAGTCTGTGAAGATACAAGAGTTACATTTGGGAAGTTATTGTTTCTAAGGCGCTGTCTGGTATCTAGTTGCCTTGAAGTAATAGGAGAAAATATTTAACTTTTGCTAGCTAAAGAATCACTTAAAAAATTCCTTCACCCTGGGCAGTAATGTTGCTGAAGAAATATGTAGTAGTGAGGCACAGGGTTCCTTTGCTTAGCTGGACATGCCTCCCGCAGCCATAGAACGGTCTCCAGACGGGAGAACAGAAATGCTAGCAGTAAACCTAGCCCTCAGGGAGACCCTAAACCTTATGCTACCTAGCAATGAGACTTTTTGCAACCAAACATACTAGTGAAAAATAAAAGTAAATGATCTGATTTTCACAACCTTTCTCCTGGGACGGACTTTCTGCCAGTTTCAGTGGGGCCGTCGGTATAGAGGAGTGAAGCATCAAGGTAGCCTGTCAGCTCTGTAGCTAACACAGTAGTTGTAATGGGATCACTAGTCATGTGGAGTTACAGCTATTACATATAGAACTAGGAATGTATGTGTAGGAGGTCACTCAAGGCTTGCTTTCAGTGGTATTGCTTCGGAGTGTCTCTGATACACAGTTTTCCTCTGCTTCTGACTGGCAGGAAGTTGCAGTGAAGGAGCAGTTGACCGGCAAAGGGAAGCTGAATAGGAGGAGTATCAGCTCTCCCAATGTGAACAGAGTGAGTACATGGCGTCCCATTCTATGTCCTGGAAGCTAGCAAAAGTGTCTCCTTCCTCTTCTCTTTCCTTGAATAGCTCTTCCCCATCCTTTAAATCTCACCTCAGATACCATTTCCTTGTCTGAATGGGTTGAAGGGCCTCTTTTCTCTTCCCTGGAGAATCTTCATGGCTCTCTCCCTGCCATTCCCGATGTCAGGGGGAAGTACCATTTATTGATAAGTACCACTCTGATGTTTCTCGTTTCTTTAGCACCAATGCCTGCCACAGTGACTGGGTGTTCTGTGACCAAGTGCCTAGGGCAAGCCATTTGAATTTTCTGGACTAAATTATTTTTAAATTGATGAGAAGTCTGGGTTAGGTTTACAAACTCAATTGCTAACAGGCCATCCAGGTTAGTATAAATGAGTAAAATAAGTTTATTTCATAACAGTGTCTTAAGTTTTTTTTTTTTAAGACATGAATGTATAGTTTATGTGCATATTAAGCATGCAGATAATAATTCACAAGAAATATGCCTGTGGTCCTGATTTACCCCTCCTTCCTTTTGAAAAATATATGGATATAGGAAACATTGTACCTTTGTCTGGACTTTAGGCCAAGAAAACCCACAGTACAAGCATGTGACAAAGAGCAGCTGACCCTCAGTCTTAGCCTTTGAGACGCAATAGTGATGGGGCCCCCGAGTGACTGAAAGACATCACTCGTGCTCTCAGACTGAATGGTTGGGAGCGTTCTCAGAGGTTAAGAAGTATCACTTTAATTCAGCATTCATATCTCTCGTTCCTTCGGAAAATGATATGTTTAAATGTACTGATACATGCTGAGATTTATTATTTAGAATACTATGATTTAAAATAGCTTTTGTGTATACATTTGCTATGAATACCCAGAAAAAGGAGTCATAAGATCAGGATACATAAGATAACCAGTAACCTGTATCTTTTAAATGGAAAGGGATAAACGAATGAAGTGTTTTTTATTGAGGCCCAGTTGGTTGTTTCCTCAGCATAAACTGGGTATCTGATCTTATACAAACCTCCCTTCTTAAAATTGTAGCTAACCAAATCGATTTAAAAAATGTGCCTTCCAGTCCCAAAGGCCACTCGTCTACGTTTGCAGCTATGGCCTTGGCAGCCTGTCTGCTCCTACCCAATTGGAACATTCTGTTGACTCAGTTTTCAAAATCTTGTATTTCCAGGGTCGTAGATTTATGTACTTTTACACATAGAGGACTAATCTCCCTCCTTATTTCTTCTTCAGTTGTCTGGCAGCCGACAAGATCTCATTCCTTCTTACAGTCTAGGCAGCAACAAGGTACGTGTTTGTAACTATTTTCTGTCTGTCTCAGCCTATTATATTTCCCCTTCAGCTCTCCTCTCAGTGACCACACACTAGTCTTGCAGGCCCAAATCTCTCCTACTCTTCTATGCATGTGGAATTTATTAGGATGTGTTTAGAGTTCACTTCTTTTTATCTGATAGATAAAAAGCCTTCGTGTTACTCTAATTTGGGGGGGCGGGGGGAGATGTTAAAAAACAAATTGGTTATTAAGTTCATATGCCTGTTTAAAATACTCTTCTTGTTTGTACCAGAAAAAGAAATTAAAGTCAGATTTTTAATAGTAAAATACTGATGTAATGATTGAAAATGTATAATAAATATGAAGATGATACCTAAAAGTTAGTACTATTTGTTAGAAGAAAGAAAAATGAGGGAACAGAAATTTTGTTAGCTGGAATTTATTTACTTGTTAATATAGCTTTCCCTGATTGAACAGAGTTTTAAGCATAGATATATCATTATTATTAACTTTAAAGGGATCTCTTGAAGATGTCATAACTAGATGTCACATATTACAGTTTGTGTCTGATATTTTTTGAGGACCCTGATTAGATGTTAGCACTCTCAAATGTCGATAACATGCTCTGTGTTGATATCTTAATCCTTAGGAGTTGAACTAGTGGGAGGGATTTATCACCAAGGCTAGGCTCGGAGGGCAAGTATAGGAGCAGGAACTGGCCAGAGCGAGAAGAGGAGTCCCTCAGAGAGGGAGGAAGGTTTGGAAGGGAGAGTGGCTTGGAAACTGGGGGAGAAAGGGTTCCAGATTCTTTAGAGACATAAAGTCAGGACTGAAAGACTATTTTGGATGTGACAAGTAAGAGTGTATTGGAGACCTTGCCCAGGGCAGTTTCTATGAAGGGCTGGGTAGAAGTTAGCTGGACATGTCACTTAAATGAGTAATTATAATCTTACACACTTCAGTTACTCTTCAGGACTTTACTTGTTTGAGCCATCATTTAAAAAATATATATATTTTATTGATTTTTTTTTTTTTTTTTTTTTTACAGAGAGTAAGGGAGACACAAATAGAGAGTTAGAAACATCGATGAGAGAGAAACATCGATCAGCTGCCTCTTGCACCCCCACATCTAGGGATGTGCCCACAACCAAGATACATGCCCTTGAATGGAATCAAACCTGGGACCCTTGAGTCCGCAGGCCAACGCTCTATCCACCAAGCCAAATCGGTTTTGGTTGTTTGAGTCATCTTGATTTCTTGGGGTGTCTGAGTAACTTAGCAAAATTGCGGAAAGCCTGATTTCCATCCTCTTTGATTATCCCCATGTCAGTGTGCTGTCCCAGCAACAAGGATATGTCCACCCTATTGCAGTATATATTTTCAGTAGGCATTACTTAAAAAAAGTTAAATACCCTTTTTCCCTAGTTTGCAATCTTCCTCAGCCAAGGCAGTCTCGCCCTCTGACAAACGTTAGAGGTGGTGTCAGGGAGAGCGGAGGGGCCAGCTTGCCATTGCTAACTTTGTTCCCAGTGCAGCCATGGAACGAGCCCTAAAAGGGTACCAGGTATAACTGGGCTTCAGTCAACTTCTGTCATTGTCCTGTGCTTGTTTTCATATCTGCAGGTTACTAGTAAAAGGACTATATTTACACTGTAAATATTTATCTCTTTTTTGAGTCCAGCATGACTAGAGAGCAATCCAGTTCCTGAGGAGGGGTGGCTGGATATTGAGAAAATGAAAGAAAGAGACAGGCACAGAGATAGAAAGGAAAAGCTGGGACCAAGTGGGACCACTGTCCTCCGACATGGATATGGACAGTGACCCTGAGCCAATACAGCGTATTCATTTTATACAGCAAAAAATAGGAAGTTTTACTACAAGTCGAAACAAAGGAGATTATGTGCTTTCTTGGGTGGGCCAGAGTCGTATTCACTCCTGGTGCTTGGCTGGATTTAAATAACAAACCCACCCCCTGGCACCTGGGACCAAGATCAAGCTAACAACGCTCTTGCCTTTTGGCAAAGAGTGTTTCCAGGATGTGGTTTTGCCAATGGCCACTGGATTCAGCTGACAATAAATAAAGAAATGCCCATGCGCCTTCCCTGGTAATCTCTACAGTTTACATATAAAAATTAGAGACCTTTGCTTTTCACTAGGGGAAAGGTAGAGAAAAAGTGTTCTAAGACAGATTTTTATAAATAAGGAATAAGGAAATTCATGTGATAGAGGATTATAACTGTGATGCTCGAAAAGAAAGTGGAAAGAACACTAAGCAGCAGAGTTTTGATTTCAAGCTCACTTCAGTAAGGGAGTACAGGGTATACTTACCCCCCACCCCACCCACTTTCAGACGGGGGGCCCCTCATCCAAACCAGAGCATATTAATAGATTTTTAGGGAAAATAAATATTTTTAAAATTATATTTTCTTACTAGAAGAAAAGAACCCTCCGTAACTCCCTCCCTACTGCCCCAGCATTAGTAGCAAGGAACAGAGTTTGCCCTGTGGCCTTTTAAATGAAACAATGGAAAAACATCTTCAAATATGGCATTGCTTGGAATTCAAAGTTTGTTATTAATGTTATTCATAATACAGTTCCTCAGGATTGAGTAATGTTTAAACTAATTAACATACAAATGATCTAAATCCTATTAACTCTCTTTACACTGCAACAGTGCTTATATACATATGAAATGACCTGAGGTCAAGGGAGTCCATTGTGACATTGTCTTTAATGGCAGATTAGAAACAAACTAAATGTCCGTTCGTTTAATCTGATTACATACATTTTATGTGCATCTGGGTGTGCACATACATGTGCAATAAATAAATGGTATGTTGTGCAGCTATAAAAACAATAAGGAATCCTTCCAGGTGCTAATATGGAAATTTAGTCTATAAACTTTGTATATCACCAGGATATACTAAGTAATTAAAATGAAGTGCTGGATGTATAGTAGGCTGCCATTGTATTATTGAAGGAGGGGACAAGAGGGAAGTGTGTGGCAATTTTTAGATTTGCTTATACATACATAAGAAGTAGCATGAGGATATATTATAAACTAATACCATTTCTTATCTGCCTGGGAGAGGGTGGAAATGTGTGGGGAACTGAGCAGGCACTGGGAGGGGGAAGGCAGCTTCTCACTTTGAATTGTATGAATGCCTTTTTATATTATTTGGTTTTGGAGCATATGAACAAATTACCTCTTTACAAATTAAATACATTAAAATGTAAACATTTTATTCTATACCTTTTAAATTGCTAGAAGTTTTTGTTCTCTTGTATTGATATATATTGGGTTGAGAAAGTCTCCACTTAGTTTATCCATAACAATTTGCGCACAAAACCCTAAAGGAAAGATGATTGATAAAATTGTTATGGGAAATGACAGACTCACATTGGTTTTTTTCTTTTCTTTTGGGGGCTTCCTGTATTCTTCAGTTTTCAGAGATCCAGGGAGAGGTAATTAATCCATTAGGTTTGCCTAATGAGTGGGATACAAGTACTATCCTACTACTTAAAACTTAACACTCTTGCTTTTACCTTAGGATTAAGACTGAATTTTTAAATGTAGCTTTTATAAGATTACTAAATTTGACTCTGCTAATTTTTTTGGACTCAACCTTTTGTGAAAATAACTTTGGTTGTCAGTATGTGTCATTCCTTTCAAATGTTCCTTGTTAATTGGGCCTAACATTGTAAAAGTTCCTGTCAAAACAGACGAGGAACTAAGGCATCTTACTAAATTTAGGAGGCTCTGGAATGGGAGGAGTTGGAGTTAATTCGTATTAAGCAAATAGTACAAATAAACATTTGGGAACTTGTAAGATGTTTTTTTCTGAAGCATGGAATGGGGGAGAGGAGTGAAAAAATGGTGAAGGTGCTTTGAACATTCTTTCGACAGCACCGAATTTAGCTCAGCTGGACCATCTTGGTTTCTTTGCACAGAAGTGTTTAATGTTCAAGAGAGTTGAGTCAGAAACATAATTTTATCATGGACTTGATGATGCTTAAAATGTTAAAAAAATTGGTTTTGAAATGATTGAAGATTATGATTATATTAGTTACACCTACCTTGCCAACTTGCATGGCTTTTTCTGGGTTGTTTACATTGATCTATGTATCTGTCCCTTTTGAGCTTGATTATGAAACCAGACTTTTGCAGTAGAATTTGATGTGCTGTGTCCTTCCCTGTGTGACATTGGAACACTCAGGTTAGCTGAAATAATGTGTTGAATCAGGAAATGGCCACAGCATAGGTTCAGGACTCCTTTCTCTCCTAATTTTCAGTTAATGTCATGGCAGAGAGTAATCATTTGGAAGCAGAGCGACAGTAAAAGGTGCAGCAGGAAGGTGAGAGGGAATAGTCAGGTACTAAAACAATCCTCTTTGGCCTATACCCCTTTGAATCCAGCCAGTCATATTTCACATTTCCTTATTTATTGATGCATCTTACATATTAGAATTGCAATAGTTTTACTGAACTCCATCAAAATGGAATTTTATGAACTATTTCCAACTTATAAATTCACTTTAGGGCCTAAAATAAATCACTCTTACTAAGCTTTTCAATTAAAAAATATAATATACCCTAATTGCAGTGATGTTGCTATTTATTATTACTGGATATTTAATTATGATTGTTAAGGCAATTTTTTTAAGACCAAATGAAAACTTAGCAAACTTTATATGACCAGTCTACCAAGATGGGCTCATATTTAGGGGCAGAATTAATTTCAGCAGATTGTTTTTTCCACTCTGAAAACACAATGGAATACTACTCTGCTGTAAAAAGGAAGAAAATTTTACCCATTAGGGCAGCATGGATGGACCTGGAGAACATTATGCTAAGTGAAATAAGCCAGTCAGAGAAAGAAAAGTACCATATGATTTCCTATGTGGAATTTAATGAACAAACTGCACTACCAAGAAAAATAGAGACAGATTCATAAATAGAGGGCAGGTAGACAGCCCTGGTGGTGGGGAGGTAATGGGTGGTATTTCTAAAGCCATTTGAAATGGAATTATATTTTTAATAACTTTACAAGATAGTGTTTGTCATCTTCCAATTGGAGTTTTTGATGCAATTAAAAGCAGCCAGAAGCTTAAATGAGTATCTGGTTAGCAAAACTGAGTTGTATGTTTTGGCCACCATTACCTTCCTGAAAACTGCCCTGAGTTAGTTAGTTAGTTAAGGCTGAAGCCAAAGGTGCTTTGTTAGTTGCAACAGAATCCACCTTAGAATCTGGAATGTCACTTCTCTTTATATACCTCTTGTGCAGGTATCTGATCTTCCACTTTTCTGATGGAAAACCAAACCTCTTTACAGAAAACCCAAAGGTTCGATGTCTGTATGAAGAGCTGCAGTGGGAAAACAGAGGTGGACAGAGGTCTAAACCACATTCCAAGTCAGCTGAGAGACTCCTGTGTTTCCCTGTTCAGTTTGCCTAGCTACAAGCATGGCTGTCTTCAATAGGGTTTTATTTCCTTGAATTCCTCCTGGGGGCACAAGTAATCCCTAATCCGTATGAAGTTCCTGTAGGGATCCGAAAGGAAGCCAGAGTTTTCTCTTGTGCCTCCTCTTCTGGGCTGATTGAAGTTCAATAGACAGGCAGGCAGAATGTTGAAAACAGATCACAGACTTATCTTTTTAGATTTAAAGGTGTAGATTACTGTGATGGAAGTTAAAACAAAACAAAAGAAAAAATCCACTATCCTCTTGGACTTTGAGAACAGTGCTCACATGATTTCACTCATATGTGGAATTTAATGAACAAACTGAACTATGAACAATCCAGCGGCCCATTGTGTGGCCAAGTGCCTTATATTCGTTGTCTCGAGTTCATCTCTCTCTAAAGTACCTTGAACAGAGATGCTTCCTCCCACCCCCAACATTTCAGTAAAGGGAGACTAACTGTAGAACAGCCAGGCATGTGACTTTATTGGAAAGACACAAATCCTTGCCCTCAGGGGGCACAGTGTATAAGCTAGACCCTGAACCACAGGATTCATTTCTGGCGGGAGAAGGGGCACATACTGCAGGAGAAAGGGACGTAGTGAATGGTGTCGCCGGAGAGTTTCCCCAGAGGTCTGTGGGTGCCCAAGGAGTGCTTTTCCCAGTTTATCACCCACATTTGTTCCCTCCGAAGCAGGGCTCCTTCCAGCCCAGAGTGATTTGTGTCCTTGTGTCTGGTCGGTAAGACCTGGGAATAGTTAGCATTCACGATTCCTCAAGGTTACGATGACGGTGAAGGTGGATGGATGAAGGGAAATGTGTCTCTGTTTTTCATTATCCGATACGCCAGCAATATGGCTAAGGCGGTATTAATTAAGGTACTGCATGCATCCTTTCAAATGTTCTCACTTGAGGTATTTGAATATATGAGACAGCAAGAGTTATTGCTTTCGTTCTGATTTGGTGGTAACATTGTGTGTGGGAGTGCCAACTGGGAGAAATTACTCGGGGAGCTGGAGGGCCCCGTGAGCGCCTTGGGGAAGAGGTGACACCTGCGTTATTTGTCATTGGACCATTATGCACGGAGCAGCCGAGGTGCTGACTCCAAATCAGCTCCTTAGTTTTCCTAAGGGACAGAGTGCCACTCTGTCAGCTGCCAAACAAGGCAGAAAAATAGAAAACCTGAAAATAAATTTATTCTCAAAGTAAGTAAGTTGTCTTCAAAACAGCCCTGCATGAGGCTTTTTCCCTCTGAGGAGCTCCAGGGGCGGCGGCCCTCATGTCCGGCCCCTGATTATGATGTCCCAGAACACAGGGCTGCAGCTGCCCGGGCAGGACAGATAATTACATTTCAATGCAAAGAACATTAATGAAACGGGTAAGTCTGTAAATCAGTGTGTGATTCATACGCTCCGCCCATGAAGTATTTCAGATTCATGGTTTCCCGAATCGTCTCTCGTATCTGTTTTTGTTTCCTTGCTTCCTAACGCTAAAACATCATGCCATTTTTTAAAAAAATATCAAGTGCTGAGAGAGTTCCCAGGGAAGAGTGTTCTCTCAGGTAAACAGGATCCAGATCACTTAGGGCTTATTGATTTTATGATCAGTACTTAGGTTGCCGCTAAAAGCAGATAGGCTTCCAGTACATATCTGAAACCTAAGAGGTCTTCCCTCCGCCATCTATCTTCAGGCGCAGTGAAGAGACCTCGCTTTGCAGGTGATTACTAATGAGAGCTCAAGTGGATCGCCAGGGTCACGCATCTGTGAAACACTAGCCTGAACGAATATAAAATACCATTATTTAACTCCAATGATTATTAGAGGATCAAAGGGAACTTGAAGCATTTAAGAGATTTGCATCTCATCTCCATTACTGGTTTTTATCCCTGTGGGACTGATGTTAAAAGTGCTCTGATGGTATCACCATTTTTATGGCTTACCATAAGCTTTAGGGTGGTAAATTAGTCCACCAGATGGCTGGCATTGTTCAGGTATCATGCCATAACATCTCTTTAATGGGAATTTATGAAATAAGTTGAGAGTACAATAAGACTTGTCAATCCAGAGACTTCCATTATTGGCACGTGTGATTGCTTGATTTGGGTTTAACTGGAACTTACCTTTAATGTCTGTATAAAATGAGAAGCATGGTAATATACGGTTGTACAATTTTTACTTCGATGACGATATGTAAATGGTTGGAAAGATGCACCTGTGGAGAAGAGAGGAGAAACACCTGCCTCCACTAGAGTTGTTCCTGAGTCGGGAATCTGCTGTGGGAAAGGGCATCTCCAGGCAGAAGTCAGGAAGCAGAGCACAGGGAGGCTTTCGGAAGGAAGGTGTTAGTATATCCATATTGTGCAGGAAGCTGCATCCTGTAGTAGGAAGAATGTGAGAATGGAATTGAGGAGACTCTAAGTACTAAACTGGAGGGAGATCCAAATGTGAGGTATCATTACTACTTGAGATCTTTCAGGCTCATGGACCACTGGGTGGCAACTGCTGCTCCAGAGGTTTCCTTCAGCCTGCAGTTGCCAACCTTTTGGACATCACGGACCACCAGTGGTTTGTGGACCACTGGTTGGCAACCACTGCTCTAAAACTGATCATGTCCTGTCAAGGGAATAAAGCTTTAGTGATGTATAACAGTTTTTTCTTAAATATTTTTAGATTTTTATTATTGTTGTTGTTGTTAAATGATTGATTTGAATCAAAATTACCAATTTGTCCTTGTAGGGCCGGTGGGAAAGTCAACAGGATGTATCGCAAATCGCAGTTTCCAGAGGAGCCGCTCCGATCGCCCCATCCCTCCCTAGTTGTCCCCAGAATAACCATTCTCCTGATCCAGGTAAGTTAGGGCTTCATTTGCCAATCACTGTCATGAAGTTCCAACAGCTTTCAGAAATAGTATAAATCAGGATTTCCTACCAGGTAACCGCTGTTCTACTAGTTCATGCCCATCTGAGTGTTTCCCTTTGTCTTAACATGTTAAATTCCACTGATTTCTGAACGTTGAATTTGTCTTGCATTCCTGAGATAAACACTTCTTGATAGTGATATGTTATCCCTTTATGAAATATCCCTTATTTCATAAATTGCTTGATTCCTTTTGCTGACATTTTAAGTTTTGCGTGTATGTTCTACAGTGAATATCTGTCAGTACTTTACTCATAATAATAATGTCTTTGTTAGCTTTTGGTATCATGATTATATTGGCCTCATAAAATGACTTCGAAATATTTTCTTATTAGTCTTCTCACAGAACCAACATTTAGTTTTATTTTCTGTTTCATTGATTTCTGTTATTTCTTCATTTTACAAATTTGGCATGCTGTGCTTTCATTATTAGATATTCAAAATATTTTCTAATTTCACTCTGATTTATTTTTTGAGCCATGGATTATTTAGCATGTTAATTCATTTTCATATATCTGGGGGGGGGGTCTTCTTATTGATTTCTTATTTAATTTAATTATAATTAGAGAACAGACTCTTTAACATTTCAGACTTTTGAAATTTTTTGAGCCTTTGCTCTGTCTTGGTGAACATTCTGTTTTCACTTGAAAAGAATGTCTATTCTGTTTTGGGGCATCGTGTTCTGGGTATATCAATTAGGTCATCGTGCTTGTGATAATGTCATCTCTGTCTTTATTGGCTTTTTGCTATTTGTTCTATTAATCACTAAGAGGAGGCATTGAATCTCTAAGTACTATGATTGTGAAAATTGTCTACTTTTCCCTTTAATTATATGGTTTTTTTTTCATCATTCACTTAGAAACTCTGCATTAGATATAGACTCATTAAAGATTATTATTTTTTCCTGAAGAAGCGATATTTCTCATTCTGAAATATCCCTTTATATCTCTGGTAATAGTTACTTTGAATAATATCAAGTCTTGCTTGATATTAATATAGTCACATCAACTTTCTTTTGCTTGTTGTTTGCACAGTGTATCTTTTTCTCAATTTTCAAAATTTTAGCCTATATTGTCTTTAAATTAAAAGTGAACTGTCTTTTAATTAATATATGGTTAGGATAAAATTTTGTTTTAAATCTAGTCTGACAAATTCTGTCTTTTAATTAACATCTTTAGTTATTTTATATCTAATATTATTATTATGTCTGCCATGTTGCTATTGGTTTCTATTTAAAAAGAGTTAATTTGGAGAGAGAGAGAGAGAGAGAGATCAACTTGTTCACTTGTTGACTTACTGATGCATTCATTGGCTGATTCTTATATGTGTCCTGATTGGAGATGAGACTATGCTCTAACCAACTGAGCTACCTGGCCAGGGCTGGTTTCTATTTGACTTTTTTATTTTTTCACTCTGACCTCCTTTTTGTCTTCTTTTAGTTTAACTGAAAAATATATTTTAGACAACCATATATACTCTACTAACCTGAAACTAATACAAAATAGTATTGAATATAAACTGCAATTGAAAAATGAAAATACCGTAATAAAAAGAAGAAACTCAGTGGGGAAGGTTGGTGAGTTGGATAGGATCTCATAGCTATAAATAAAATAGGTATTCCCTACCCCCCCCCCCAAAAAAAAAAAGACAGAAAAAAATGTAATGTTTGATTTTATTTCCTGTTTTGGCTTTTGAGTATGCCTGTATTTCTTTGATTATTTAGGAAAGTCTTTGCTCAAGGACCCTAGTTTGCATCCTTGACTTGTCACAGCCTATGAATTATTATCATCTCCCACTGCACACATATAAGAGCCTTGCAACAGTAGTTCCATCTGACTTTTCCCTCCCTCCCTCCCTTATTTTGTATTGTTGTTGTTGTATAGTCTACTTTTCCAGATGTTATGAACCCATTTTACAGTGTTACTTCTTTTGCTTTAAAATAACCACATTTAAGAAAATAAAGACACTAGAGAGAATCTTTTCTATTTCCCTTCATTATTTCTGGCATTAGCCAGGCCTCCCTGAAGATCTTATCCTTTTCTGATATCATTTAGCCCATGAGTATCCTGAATTATTTCTTATTGTGTCATTCTCCTGGGGAAGAATGCTCTCCTCTTTTAAGAATATCTTTATTTCACCTTTTTTTTTTAAGGATACTTTCTCTAGATAATTTTGAGTTGACAAGTTTAGTTCAGCTCTTCACATATGTTACATTATCTTTTAGGCTCCTTTTCTGAGGAGAATTCAGCCATCATTTCTGTCAGGTTTTCCTTACATAATGTCTTTTTTTATTTGCTTTCAAGATTTTCACTCTCTTTCTTTTTAGCAGTTGGACAATGATGTGCTTAGGTATAGTTTTCTTAATATTTATTTTGCTTGGATTTCACTGATGTTCTTAGATCTGTAGGTTGGGTTTTTGAAGAAATTTGGGCAATATTCAGCTATTAGTTCATTAAACTTTTTCTACTGGACTTTTCTCTCTTTTGAATCCTCTGTCCAATATTGTACATGCAGGTCACAGGAGCTCTACTTTTTTTTTTTTTTTTAAGTTTCTATTTTCAATCTTTTTATCTTATTCTTGTTTCTTCTGGTTGGATAATTTCTTTTGCTATTTCCAGTCTTCTGTTAAGCACATTTAGGGAACTTTTTATTTAAATTACTAGAGGCCCAGTACATGAAATTCATGCATGGGGTCAGGGGTTTCTCAGCCCGGTCCCTGCACCCTCTCTAATCTGGGACCCCTCAGGTGATGTCCGACTGTCAGTTTAGGCCCCATCCTGGCCTAAACCGTGGTTGGACATCCCTCTCGCAATCTGGGACCGCTGGCTCCTAACTGCTTGCCTGCTTGCCAGCCTGATTGCCGCCTAACCGCTCCTCTGCTGGCCCCCAACTGTCCTGCCCTGCCAGCCTGATGGCCCCTGACTGCCGTCTCCTGAGGGCCTAATCACCCCTAACTGCCTCTGCTTTGGCCTCCACCACCATGGCTTTGTTTGGAAGGAAGTCATATGTCCGGAAGATGTCAGGTCACCCAGTCTAATTAGCATGTTACCCTTTTATTAGTATAGATTATTCTTTTCAGTTCTAGAATTTCCATTTGCTTCTTTTTTTGTAACAGTTTTACTTTCTCTGCTGATGTTCCCTATCTGTATATTTGTTAAGACCACATTCTTCTTTACATCCTTGGACTTGTTTATAGAAGCTTCTTTAAAGTTTTTACATGTTCAAGCCAGCATCTAAACCATCTCATGTTCTATTATGTTGACTGCTTTTATCTTTACTATGGGTCATATTTAATGAGTTTTTACAAATGTATTTGCCCATTTAACTGACACCCATACAAGGTAGAACAGATTTATGCGACTCCTCCTGATCAGCCAATGTTCTGATTTCAGATTAGTTTTGCTTGTTCTATAAGTTCATATAAAAGGAATTATACAAGCCCTGGCTGGTGTGACTCAGTTGTTTGGGCATTGTCTGGTGCACCAAAAGGTTGCTGGTTCTATTTTGGTCAGGGCACATGTCTAGGTTATGGACGTGATTGCCAGTGGGGGACATGCAAGAGGCAACAAATCAGTGTTTCTTTCTCAGTGATGTTTCTCTATTAGTTTCTCTATTATCTCTTCCTCTCTCTCTAAAAATCAATGAGCTATTCTTAAAAAAAAAAAAAAAAAAGGAAGAAAGAAAAGAAAAGAAAGAAAGAAAGAAAGAAAAAGAAAAGGAACCATACTATATTCCTTTTGTGTGTTTTTTTTTTTTTTTGCTCACTATTTCTATTCAAGTCATCCATATTGCTGTATGCATCACTAATTTATTCTTTTTTACTGCTGAGAAATATTGAGAAATATTTCATTATCACAATTGAATTTATTACCATTTTTAATCAGCTCCATTTATGGACATTTGGTTTCTTTCCAGTTTTTGGCTACTACCATAGGCCCCTTGCTCAGGCCGCCCCATGCCCCAAGAGAACCCCCACCCTGATCCAAGACACCCTTCAGGGCAAACCAACTGGCCCCCATCCGTGCACCAGGCCTCTATCCTATCTAATAAAAGAGTAATATGCAGATTGACCATCACTCCAACACACAAGATGGCTGCCCCATGTGGTCAAAGATCCTGCCCCCAAGTGGACACAAGATGGCCCCACAAATGGCCAGCAGGGGAGGGCAATTGGGAGGCACCAGGCCTTCAAGGGAGGGCAGTTGTAGATGACCAGGCAAGTAGGAGAGGGCAGTTGGGAGGCACCAGGCCTGCAAGGGAGGGCAGTTGAAGGCAATCAACCCTGAAGGGGAGGGCAGTTAGGGGTGACCAGACTGGCAGAGGAGGGAAGTTGGGGGCAAATGGGCTGGCAGAGGAGTGAAGTTGGGGGCAAATGAAGCAGTTAGACATCAATCAGGTTGCATGAGAGTGGTTAGGGGGTAATCAGGCTGGCAGGCAGAAGTGGTTAGGGGCAATTAGGAAGGCAGGCAGGCGAGCATTTGGGAGCCAGCAGTCCTGGGTTGTGAGAGGGATGTCCGACTGCCTGTTTACCAGACATCCTTCGAGGGGTCCCAGATTGGAGAGGGGGCAGGCTGGGCTGAGGGACAACCCCTACCCCACCCTCGTGCACGAATTTTGTGCACCGGGCCTCTAGTATTGTTATATTTGCTTTTAAATGATCCTTGTCAAATCTGCAGTAAAGAGATGTCTTTGTAATTGTTTTTCTTCTCCTTTCAATATTTTGACAGGACATAGTAGCCCAGCAGCCTCCTACCTGACCCCAGTCAAATCCTTTGTGCCACAGATGCCCAAGCTGCTGAAGTCCCTCTTCCCTGTGCGTGACGAGAGAAGGGGCAAACAGCCGTCTCCCCTTGCACATCAGGTAAGAGCATTAAGAAAGCAACAGTGAAGCCCTGGCCAGTGTTCTCAGCATCAGCCTGTGCACCAAAAGGTCACGAGTTCAATTTCTGGTCAAGGGCAGGTACCTGGGTTGTAGATTCGAACCCTGGTTGGGGAGCGTTCAGAAGGCAACCAATCAATGTGTATCTCACATCAGTGATTCTCTCTCTCTCTCCTCTTCCTTTCTCTCTCTTCCTCCCTCCCTTCCAGTCTTTCTAAAAATCAATGGGAAAAATGCCCTTGGGTGAGGATTAACAAAATAAAAAGAAAGCAGCAGTGAACATTTCTTTCTGAGATTGCTGGCAAAAGGGTACTCTATTTTGCACTGAAGCTGGAGGGAGAGTGATGCCAACAATGGGGATTGGGGTGGGAGGGGTAAAAACTGGGCTTTTAGATCTGGTAAAAGCTTGTGATAATTTCTCTTCCCCTCTCTTCAGAGATAACAGAGCTGTTTAAACTTATTGACACACTCAATCCTTTTTGCTTTTAAAAAATGCCAAGTACACTCCTAATGTGATTTATGGTAATATCACTTAGAGCAACAATAGTAAAATTTATGAAGTGCACTTAGTGTTTCTTGTGTATTGCCAAACAGAAAATGTAATTCTATTTTTAATTCTTGATTTCATTTCTCATTTCAAACAATTTCACATCACACTGTTCTTCCTTCTCTGCCTTTTTCCCCTCTTCTGTGGTTTACCTGTTCTTTCACTTAAAATATTAAAAGTGATCATTTGTCTTATTTCCCCTTTTTCTCTGAAACTCAACTCAGCCTTAGAATAAGTTTTAGAGAAAATGTGAAAGGGCTTTCCAAATAATCAGGAAACTGTTCACATGAGATGGTGAATGGAAAGCCTGTTGGCAGTGCAATTTCTGGACTTATATAGGTGTGCATTCAGCAGAAATTGATAAATGAGGATTTATTTATATTCATTCAAAAACACATACAGTGCAAGTTCGGTTGTTGAAATAGGTCTTTTGACATCAGTTTCTCCACATTCACTTAAACATTCAAGTTACAGAAATGCAGGTAAGTTCCTGTCTGAGACCAGAACTACTTAAAAGAATATTCTGAGTTCATGAATGCATATGTAAGGGCGATGGTGTTAGTTTTGTAAGGCTGCTGTGCAGATATATAATATTTTCAGCCTAGCATTATATAAACATATACATAAGCATGCATGTACACATATTAGATGAAAAAAATTAAACACTGAGATTTTGGAAGTGTTTAAATTTAACTAGGCATATCATTGGTATTTAACAATTATCAAAATGAATCTATGACCATGAGAGCTAAAAGAAATAGCAAGTCTAATACTTGGTGGGGTTAGGATGGGCAGAAATTATTTTCCCAAGAGTTTGTTACTGCATTCAGTATTCTTTTCTGATCTCCCACATTGTTATTTAGTATGATTCATGGACAAAATTTCCATGGTAATTTTTTAAAAAGGTAACTAAAAAATATATACAGCCTGGTCTCAAGCCATGCCTCAGCTGGGGCGCCTTATATTCGGCCTCTATAAGCAGCCAAGGTGATTCTTAGTCACATTAAAGCTTGATAGCCACCATTTTTCAACTGCTATTTGGTGAAGACAGAGTTATAGACATTAAGGGAAATCAGAATGGCATTAGAAATCATTGAATCAGTCCCCTATAGTTATAATTATTTTTAAAATATATTTTTATTGATTTTAGACAGGAAGAGAGTGGGAGGGAGATATAGAAACATCAATAATGAGAGAAAATCATTGATCAGCTGCCTCCTGCATGCCCCCTCCTGGCGATCGAGCCCGCAACCCAGGCATGTGCCCTTGACTAGAATTGAACCCAGAAACCTTCAGTCCACAGGCCGACCCTCTACCTATTGAGTCAAACCAACTAGGGCCAGTTATTATTTTTTAAAGCCTCTCTGAGTTTTTGATGTAGAAGTCAAGTCCTGTGCTACAATCAAAAATTATTTTTACTGTTTCATAATAAGTGATTGCTTCTTCTGCAAGAACAATAATGTGTCAGAAACAAATATAGTGATTGGAGGATAACTAATTTGTAATGTCCAATTTAAGAGAGTTAATCTCACAATATTTTGAAGATATCTTAGAGCAGTATTTGCTCATTCAGTTTACTTTTTTTGAGCATATATGAGCAAAAGTGTTGGGGAAAGTGGTCCCAAGTGTTAAATATTTCATAAATAAATGGAAAGATAAAGCTGGACTTACCATAGCCAGTTTGGCTCAGTGGATAGAGTGTCAGCCCTCGGACTGAAGAGTCCCAGGTTGGATTCTGGTAAGGACACGTACCTCGGTCGCAGGCTCGATCCCCAGCCCTAGTCTGGGCATCACAGGAGGTAACCAATCGATGTGTGTGTGTCTCACATTGATGTTTCTTTTTCTCTGTCTCTCCCTTTCCCTTCCATTCTCTCTAAAAATCAATGGAAAAGTATTCTCAGGTGAGGATTAACAAAATAAAAAAGCTGTACTTAGCAAAGATGTCCAATAGTAGGGCTAAAATGTTCCAGCTGGTTCATGAATGGAAGGCTCTTTACTCCAGGCCATCAGGGAGATGCACCTTCCCACACCATCTCTGTCCCTGTCTGGTGACCTTCCAGCTACAACATGCTGGAGACACTTGGTCTCTAGGCTTCATTCAGCGCTGCTGCCAGTTTCCTTCTGCGGACTGCTCAGTCCCTCCTGATTGCCTTCCCTGGGCCCACTTAGTCCATAAGCCACTGATACTCAGGTGCCCCAGAGTGCTAGCCTGGGCTCTCTCTCTAGTCCTTTGCTTGGGTAATGCCATTCAGCTCCATGGCTTTACCTGTCCATACACTGACACTGCTCACTTTTCCATCTCTAGCCCAGGAGGCCCTGAGCCCTGGCTTTATGTATTTCATTGTCCATTCAACTTCTTCACTTACATATCAGGGAGGCATTCGCAGTTTATAAGTCCAAAACATTACTGTTGTTTCAGCTCACAGTCTGCTTACTCCCATCACACAGGATACTTGCTGAAACACATGACCATTTTAGGGTGTAGCACAAACATCCACTCTGCTTACCTCTTACAAGTAGAGCACCAGTGAAAAGGTATAGGTACCACTCCCGAACCAGTGACCTCTGACTTCCTCCATTTCCCATCACTCCTAGTGCCACTCCCGTCTCTTGGCCGTTGCAGCAGCTGAGCAGTTGGTCTGTTTTTGCCTCGGGACAGTCTCTCATTTACAAAATAGCCAGAGTGATCTTCCACACCCTTCCATTAATTCATGGCTGGAAACCTTCCACTGTTTCTCACTGAAACGGAATTAAGTCTAAATTCCTTCCTGGGTGATGCGGTCCCCTGATCTTTACTTGTGCTCCTTTTATTTTCCTCTTTGTTCACAATACTAAGCCATATTGGCCATTCTTTTGTTTGCTTGTTTGTTTTAGACCTCAGTAACACATGAAGTTCTTTTTCGTCTTAAGAGTTTTTTTTATTTCCCCCTTTCACTTGGACTACTCTTTCCCAAGTCTTTTTTATGGCTTTAGGTCACATGTAGAACAGTTCATACTAGCGGGGCCATGAAAGGCTACTGAGAGGAAGTATGTGTCAATGCAGAGTGGCCCTGACAACAGCCTCCCCATACACACTGCACTGGATCAGCGTCCTTAATTTTTCCCTTGGGAGTTACTGTTAAGTCTCTATTTTCATTGATTATCTCTAGAATATAATCTTTGAGGGCAAGGGAATATTGATAATAAAATGACATATATATACAGATTATAATATTAGATAACTTATATGTACAAGAGTCATAAAGTAGCATAAAGGACTCTGTTTATAGTTTAGAGATGAGAGAATCACATCTGAGTGGAGATTTGAGATATCAAGTCATATTGATGAACCTTTTTTTCCTGGATTGATGTAAGTTTTACTAAAGAACCATTTCTTAAGGAGAGAAAAACTTTGAGTATCGTTTTGGATTTAGTTGATCAAAGATGGGTGTGTTCATCTCAGATCATGACTGTCTCTGCTAGAGCTCTAAGGGAAGTAAATTCTTTTAAATGAGAGTATCAATGTAGAGGTCCCACTACCTTGGCCACTTTAAATATGCTTTAGGTTGTTACTCCTGAGTGGTGTTTTACTCTTGGAAATGCTGCCCTTCAGTGCCAATGGAATCTCAAAATATCAGCAACAGAACAAGCTGCATTGGCTACTTTAGTGTTCCCCAAATTTTTACTCTCATGGCATCCTGTTCACTTGGAAATCAGAGTTGAAACCTGAAAGCTGAGGTCCTGTTTTTGATAATCTAGCTATTACTCAGGGGTTAGAGGGAGGGGAGGTGGGGGCTCTAGGCTGACTCCAGACCTCACAGGTGTAGGTTAGTCAGCTATATCTCATAATAAATGCTTCATCATTCTTCGGTTGTCTTGCCAAGCTCTTGCTTAAAGTTGGGAGCCCAGATGTGATACAGTAATCCCTGTGCTTAAAAATAGTGCAACTGTTCGCTCCCTCTTCTAAATAATGTACTTTTACCAAAGTAGCATATTATTGCACTCTCTTTTTTTAAAGGCAAGTATTATTAGCCCATCATGCTTCTGGTCAATTAACATTAGTTTTTTTTCTGTTTATTTGTGTACAATCTTGTCAATGAGTTCTCTTTTATTACGATGCTGTTTAACTGATGTATAAAAATACTTAAATAAGGAACTTTAGATTCATTTATAAAATTTTGCCATCTTGATTGTGTTGTAACATTTCTAAGCAATCAAGGTATTTTTGAGTGCTTATTTACATGTTCTAGCTATCATCTATAAAGTTTTTAAAAAATATATATATTACTGATTTTTTACAGAAAGGAAGGGAGAGGAATAGAGAGCTAGAAACATCGATGAGAGAGAAACATCAATCAGCTGCCACCTGCACACACATCCCTCCCACCCCCCCCCCCCCGCCCCCACTGGTGATGTGCCCATAACCAAGGTACATGCTCTTGACCGGAATCGAACC